GCACAAACTTCCGAGAGAGCGACACACTTAATCCAGTGTTAAAGTAACCAAAATAAGTCGATAACCGGACGGAAGGATTAAAATCTTGCGTTTATAATTAGAATGCGCTTTAACCGGAGTCCTTTCGAGCATTTTCGTAACCGACGAATTATACGAGTACGAACTCGCGCGTGAATCGAGATGATAATAATAATAATAATTATAAAAAAAAAAAAAAACCCAATCGAATTTATATTTTGATTATTTCACGATTACATTTCCAAGGAGATCTTGATGGTGGACAAAAAAAAAAATTACCTCTACCTCCCCCCACCCCTCTTTTCTTCTAAACACACCTCGAGACCTTTTTGATATTATTGTCGATATATAAATAGGGCAACAAGTACTTTAATTTGGTGTTTTTTTTTAATGTTTTAACACCGCTAAGTGCTTTTACTTATACCGTGGGAAACGTATAGGTACTACCGAAAAACCTATAGAGTGGCCGACTAAGCTTATTACTGTAGAATGATCCACGGTCTTTGAAGATCCTACAAGACCGTGACAGTGCCGCTTAAGGCTTAACATAATCAATAGCGCAGTTACCCATTATACTGCGTGCTATATTATGACAAAATGTAATATTCTAAATTCTAATAGTTTCTAATAGTTTTACTTAGGATTATTAATGATAATAAGTACACATACAAAATGTCGGTCCGCGTAAAATATTACGGATTTATAGACAACTGCAATTCATTCAATCGGAATGAATTATGCGGTTGGCCACTATCTTGGTGTGATATTATTATAGGCTCTGTCAGGGCACCGGAAGTGGGGTGGGAAGTGGAGATTTATTCGTGGGCGTAAAATTTTCGGTGGCGCATTCGCGTATTTTTATTATGTATTGGTGATAGACACGTCGATCTTTAATTCAATCGTTCATTATCTCATAAGGCACTAGGCGAGAAATAGTAACTACATAAGTGATACGTTATGGGAATAATGAGATACGTGTGGAACGAGTACCGAGCTAGTGTCTGAGGGGGGGGTGGGAGAACACCGCACAGGTGTATAGTATTTTTATGCCGGGTGTACAAATTCCTATTTTCGGGTTCTTTCCGGGACGGCGAGGGTTCTCTACCTAATGCTATTTACTAAGAAAAAAAATGAATAAAATAAGTAGATACAATGTATCCATAACGTTAAATTCGAAATGACATTTGGAATATTTGAAATCTAGTTGATGCATTGAAGAAGCCGATTTTCGATTTTCCAATAACAGTTTTCACAATAATTAGGAAAAAAACGGGGGTATAAGAAAATCAGACGAATTTACGGCCTTACAGATGTTATTAGTTTCGATTTTGTTTTTACACCAGAAATCTTTTAATTTTGGACATTTTTATTGATTTTCTTAGTAGTTTTTCTTAATAACAAGGAAAAACCTGTGAAATACATAGAAGAAAACGGGAAATAACGGTTGTTTTTTTTTTTTTTTTTTTTCTAACAGGTTCTATAGTGCATTAAATGTACATTCCTAGTAATAACGACCGTAGAAAATCCAAAAAAAATTTCGAAAAATATCATATAGGTACAAACAAAAGACGAACTAAATGATGACACTAAAAAAAAACATGACATTTGTAGACATACCTTATCGAAATTCGGGTGATGGAGAAACGTTTCTTCAGCCCGTATTACTACCCCACCTAACTATTTCGGTTGCAACGGTCGTAGGAAATCGAAATAAATTCTGAAAAATATTATTATAAGTAGGTGGGTATACTTCGTGTAAGTTTTATTTTTCGAGTTTTCATTTTATTTAAGTTTACCTCATAGTAGCACGCATCATTATGAATTTTCAAAAAAAAGACGAAAAGTCTTTAATTTATAATATAAGTCATCGCACGGCGTTGTTTCATTATTCATACGCATAATAAATTTTTTTTTTTTTTTTACGGTGTCAAATTTAAACTTTTTCGACGGTATTAATACGTATTCGGATCACGTTTTTTACCCAGTCCACGGCAAAGTGCCTGCGCGAATATACGGTTTCGCGTCCACTAGGAAAGATCGAAATATTATTATAATATGTGTTTTTTACCTACAGGGTATTGCCGCGCATTTTATTGTCCCGACAATAATAATTGCTGGGCGTATGTGTACAACATCTGGCGGCAGGTAGGTCGTAAAAAACACACGTAAAAACAAAACGAGAAAAAAAAATCGGACCCCAAAATATTATATTTTCATATCGGAAAATCAATGTGTGTGACTTGTGTAATTTAAAATATTTATTACCTGACTGCGGCACACTGATGAGGGGACATGGGAGGAATACAATAAAATAAATATCATAATACTGTATATTGTTCTCGGAAATCATTTAGGCAAATAGAGTTAGTTACCGAAACGCAATGGCGTCTATATACCCTACCCAATAATACAACTGCACCGGTAGCCGAATGGGTGAATGGATTGTCTAAGATATTTTGTGTGTCAAAATTAAATATGATCTATCAAAATGGGCGACACTGATAAATCATGGCAACTAATATTATGGGGTCGCGATTGATCTGGACCTGTTCTGTACTATAACGTGTAGTGGTAATGATACAAATAATTTGAATGTTATGTAGGTATGTACCTAGTTGGTTTGGTAAATGATTTGATTATTTTTCCATTTGTACCTGGGTGTTTACTTTAATTTACAATGATAATACTTTTAGGTCATTCTTTAGATTATAATAAAATTACAAAATACATTGTTTTAATTTAAAAATATTTATGGGTTTGTCAACAAACCAGCTAAAAAATTTTCCAAGTTAGGTATTTAGCAAGTCGATTTTCAATAGTAAAAAACAACAAAACTTAAAAATATTAATATTATTGTAATCATATTACGTTTGTAGATATTTAAGATTTTAAATGAAAATTACACCACAAGTAGTGGGTTAGATAGGTGTTAACAAGTCAACATTTCAAGTCTGTACGAACATTTTCAACTAAATTAAAACAAAAAATCAAAATTGAAAATAATAAACCCCTTATTTCGGTAAACTTTTCTATTCTTTCTATATATTATTTCGGATTTTTCTCAGTTGTTAAAACAACTTCAAAGAAAATTAAAAAACGATTTTCTTACTTCCCAATTATCAAGCTTGTTAGATCTAAAATTGATCAAAAGAGGTATCTTGTGTTTTTTGGTAGAATCAAGATTTCTAGTATTTATGTTGATTGTACAATGGTATCAGCCAGTTAAATGTGTAGTATTGGCTAAGAATATTATGTTAAAACAAATGTTAGGCAGTAAGATTTCATTGCGAAATATTATCTATAATAGATATATTAGACAACAGTTTTTAAACTTGTTAGAATTTAAATTAACTTTTTCAGTGGTTTTTTTTTTAAATTTTATACTACTTAGTGCTGAGTGTATACATACACTGTCAGGTACTACATAAATATGAAGTGAAATATTTCTAAAACTTTTATTGAACAAGTTCATAGAATTGTCTAACAATACCGAGTATAGTCCCATAAATATTTTTTGATATTTTTTTACATTGTTTGTCTGATGTGCTTGATATTTACTTAGCACCACAAATCTTAAAAGTTTAAATTTTTAAACTTTTTTCTAATCAACTAACAATTGTCTAACAATGTCTAACGACTCACAGTAAGATTCGTTAAAGTGGTTCCGTAAACTAGTGCCATGATTTTATGTTAGTGTAGTGCCAGCTTCACGTAGGAGGAACAGCCAGTGAGTGGTGACTTTATTTGCCGGCGAGCAGCAATGATGTATAGGCGATTCTTTTGATAGAGCAGCATGTAAATTGTCTTCATACAATAGACACTAAAAATTACGTATTGGAAATTAAATAACTGTTTAATAGCTTCAGGTGACTGTTTCACCAGTAAAATTGAGGGTGTAAGTATAGCGGTGGGTATAGAATCACCCAGTGTAATCTAACCTTACAACTAAAGGTAGAAAACTAACTATATTTTTGAACCTGGTGTTTAAATCCATTTTCCTATGTGTAAACTGTAAGAATTCATGTTTATATTATATCAATAAGCAGGGCTGGATTTACCTATATAAGGCATCCTTAAGATAATAAAAAAACAAGCCCCAACTTCTTAGAACATAGACACCTCTCCCAATTTATTTACCAACATTTTGTATGCATATAAAAAAAAAATGTCAACCTAGGATACTAAAATGATACATTCCCAGGAATTAAATTTCACAAAATAAAATAAATCTTATTCTGCAAATGAGTGTCAGTAAATTGACAAGGTTGGTGCTGTGATGAAAAAGAGAAAAGTGTATGGCAGAGTATAGCCATTTGTAGAAATTACAACAAATACTGCAAAAATATAATAATATTTGGAACATCTTCAGGATAATATAATTACCATTTCATTAAACTAGGTCCCATAGATAAGTATCATTTTAATAATCTTTGACATTTTTAAAACTTATACTATATGTCCATTAAATAGAATTACCACTTTCTTACGTGTTTTAAATAAATTTACATTATACTTGTGAGTATTTTACAGTTATAATTCCATAGTTATTAATTTTTTGCTTTTTAAATACTGTAATATTCACAAATAAACAAATAGGTATATAAATATTATATTCATGAATGTTTCAATACTTTTGTTTGTTTTTTTTTATAATAACTACAGGATTATAATATAAACTAAAAAAGAAACAAGTATAACGTAATAACAGTACAAAGTGTTCAAAATAGTAAAAATAAAATGTTTGAAAAAATATTAATTTTAAACCACTCAATACATAATACTCAACGTTTAGGTTTATGCATTAATACCAAGCAACTGCATATGACAATCTTTCATATAAAAATATATCTTCCATAAAATTTTACTTGTATATAAACTGTTTATTATTTATATAAAAAATAAGTTGTAATTTATCAAGTTACAAAAATTATTCATAGGAATATAATAAATTATAAAAAATGTAAAAAAAAAAAACTAATTTTGGTCGTTTTAACATCAATATTAACTAATTGTTATCACATGGAAAAACGAGTATATGTTTAACCATAAAATACTCTATTGAGACAAATTGTCTATGCATTAAAAACTTAATAATAAAATATATATATATATAATATAAAAAAAAAGAAATATAAAAATACCAAGACACTATATTATGTGTAATGGTTGATATAAAATTATATTATGTATAGTATAAAGAATTTTTAATTAAATACTGACTGGATTACAATATTATTATCATCATTTTTCAATTCTCAGACCAAAATATTACGTAATGAATTCTGATATGGACGATGAACGTCTGGAAGAAGAGGATGATGCTTGTAAAGGAATAGTTGAGTCCTGTTGTTGCCCATGAGTTGGCAAGTCAAGTAGCGTTATAGGCGAAAATCGAACGCGAGCTGTAGACAATGACGTTGCTGAACTATCTCTAGCTGACATATAACTACTGTCATCACTAGTTAAACTATCCGGGGGTGTAGGATTGGTTGGGGACACTGAAAAATTAACAAAATATACTATAATAATATCCAAAGTTTTCGACATATTAATACTAACCTCCAGGACTCAACGATCCAAAAGCTGTTTGCCGACTACCGTACACAGATTTTTTCAAGCTGGATCGTAATCTTGAAGGTGTACTTGGCTGCAAACAAAACAATAAACACGTTCATAAGCCATATTAAATAACATTATTGATATCAATTTTCAATTTTAAACAATACACATTATTATTATATTTTTGTTAATATGTATTAAAAAAAAATGGTAAAATGCATTGTTTCATTTACACTTCAAAAGCACGCAATTTTTCACAATAAAATAATATACACACACCTCTAACGTAGTGGGCCGTTTCAGTGGCATTTCTACTGATGAATAGTTTTGATTTTCTTGTTGAGAAAAATAATTAGAATAGTCACCGGCCCGTCTCAAGTACGGCAGGGACAATGAAGTGATTGTCTCATCAGACACCTGATCTTGCTGCTCCATGTAATACGTTTCCGATGGTTCCATCAGGAACGTGGGATTACCGCCTCCACAAGGGTGATATCGACTTCGACTGAACGATGAAGAGTCGCCACTTCCGAAATCGTTATTGGCAGTAGGATTGTCATACGCATATAGGCTGCCAGCTTCGTACTCGTATCCACTCACACAGTCGCTTGAGAGCTGCTGATATGACCGATCGCTGGACAGCTGGTGGTACCCTTGGTCGCTGGACAGCTGGTGGTACCCTTGGTCGCTGGACAGCTGGTGGTACCCTTGGTCGCTGGACAGTTGCCGATACCCTCGGTCGCTGGACAATTGACGGTATCCTGTGACAAACAAACCGTACAAATATCATTTGCAAAAAGACGTCCTAGAATAATGAAGACAGTTACAGTCACTGTTATAAGTAATTTAATGTATACCTGTAAGCAACGATAAACCATTGCTAACGAGAAAACGATTCTGAGAGCAATTCAGTTGATAGTGATGCTCAACAATATATATGTAAACGACTTGCGCCATGAGAAACAAGATGTACAATGAAACAAAAAAGGCCTTTTGTCGTTTTTCAATTGGAGCCATATTTGTGTTGGAAAACATGGTAGGTACTTATTTAAAATAACGAAATTATGAAAAAATCGTATTTTTTTCCACGATTAATCGTTTTTATATTAAATACCATTTCGAAAATCAAAAAAAAAATGAACTACGTATTTACCAAGAAGATAAAATTAACTTTCAGAAAAGGTGCTACACTTATATATCGGAGCAAGTTTTCTAAGATAAAAGTGGTTTAAAGTACAAAAAAAAAAAATAACTGATACTGGGGATAGTAGCGGCCACTGTTGTAGGTGCGAAGTTGGGAGAAGGTAGAATAGATACATAAATACATAAGGTTATTTCATTTATATCTGTAAGCAACGAAAAACCATTGCTTGAAGAAAGACGATTCCGAGCGCAGTTTAGTAATACATAATTTGAAGTGCCGTAATTTTTTTTACAATTTTCATTTAAATTTTATTTCAAAAAGGTTATTAAAAAATTCATCCGGTCATTATGGATATTTTATCACGTTTCGGTAAGTCCAATATAAGTATTATCACCAAGTTTCAAGTCCCTACTTGTATTTATGACCGAATTACAGCAAAAATACTTTCGAAAATTAGAATTTCTTAAAAGCTCAAAAGTGGCTCGAAAGTTTTGGCGAAGTAAAAATTTTTTCTGGTAGAAAACGTCGTCCGTGTTTTTATAAAATAATGAAATCGTGAAAATTTACGTTTTCTTACGTTTTTTCCCACTAAAATGCTTTTATTTAAAAAATGGCATCGAAAATCAAAAAATGGCCTGTTAAAAGTACAATCTAGACAACTTGAGATTGCAGAAAAATTGCTACACGTGAAAATCGGGGTAAGTTTACTAGGAAAAAACGTGTCTACAGACTAGAACAACAAAGAAAAAAAAATAAACAGCATTGTAAAACCAATAGCACCCTCGCTACGCTTGGAATCTAAGAATGACTTTCTCGGCCAATGGCTGTATATTAAAAGGAACAAAATCGATATCTCGTCATTTTTTGATTGGAGCAAAATTTCTGATAGAGCACATCGTTTGCGAAAATTAAAATAATTAAACCGGGACGCCAGATTGCCGTAAATCTAATTGAATTGTAACTATTTAGTTTTTCTCATTGCCCATCAGTAAATATTTACGGTGTTACCGATTTCATTGGTTTTAGTTCTTGCCAACCATGTTTATAACAATGGTTTATTGTTGCTCACAAATATAAATTAAATAACTCTACGTATCCTAACTTCCCAGCTAAACAACCTATAACAGTTGCACATCCGTGACCATCTAAAAAAAATAATACCCATTCCTACCGGATAAATAATCTACATCCCTAAATTACTGAACTTGTATTATATAATATACTAACCGGTATGCGGTGCACATTCTGTCTGTTTGTAATAATCACTCGATGTACCGCCGTAAAAATGCTGCGAACAAAATCCGAATATCATTATTAATATTCTTAAAAACGACATACAATTGATTGATTGGTATATTTCCTTCAAACTGAGTATACAACAGTGTACCGTAAGTCACGTAAATACGTTCAATTATTTGGGCCATAATCAATGCACAGGAATAATATTGTTCTTCTCATTCGCCATCATCCTAACTATTTAGGGTCTACCACCCTCGTCCTAAATTTTCATTTGACCCGATCTCCCCCCCCCCTCCCCCATAAACCGGATGTCATATCATTCTCGATCACATCCAAAACACAAATTTATTTTCATTACTCCTTTTTTCTTATGACATGCTAAAACCATCTCGGTCTATTTTATCTTATTTTGTCTACTATTGAAGCTACATCTAAGCTACCTCTTATGCACTTATTCATTATCCTATGATTTCTCGTCTCTCCACTCATTCACCCAAGCATTCCCATTTCCACTGCACTCATTCTCTGTTCCATTTTTCTGTTTACTCCCGAAAATTCCAAACCATATAACATAGTCAGTCCTCATCACACTTTTGTATAACTTTTAGTTTCATTTGAATTCATACATATCCACTATCGAATTAAATTAAATTAAATTAAATTAATTTAATCTCGGAACTCTGTTTCTCATTAACATACTCATCAGAACTACCTCTTGGTATTCTACCATATACCTTCTCTAAATCTAAATAAGCCATAACATAGGTAGGCACTTTTTCTGTAATTTTCTACAATCCGTTTCACACAGAACACCAGCTCTGTTGTTGATTTCTCTGGTATAAAATTACCATTGGTAATTACAGTGGTTATTATGTTTATAGACTAAATTTCTTATGAAGTACTATTAATATTATGAACAGACTTAAATACTGAATACTCAAGTATCTACTCACATTGGTGTATTGTCAAAATTTGGTAGGCGGGTAAAATACAACGAAAATTGGCACTCTGTATCAAAACAGTTCACCGTTTATAATAACAAAATTATTTTAAAAAACATTACACAATTAGATAATTAAGTTAATCCAGCTTTATTTTTTACGTTTTCAGTGTGTAGGTAAATTTACCATAATAATATTAATTATCAATTGGAATATAATATTAGTTATATAGTACTATCTGTCCTGCGCTCGACGGTGCCCGTTTTTTTTTTTCATTTAATTTTTCATTCTTTTTACCTTTATTTTCGTTTTGCTTTACCCGTATCAGTATATTGAACAAAAACAAAAAGGTGGAAAGTGGGTCAGTGGCGAACTAAAAGTGTTCTAAAACTATGAGGACATAATAGTACTGTAGTAGTGTAATGTTACTGTACCAAAAATACAAAGATTCAATGATAAAATTGTACGCGTTTTCACTTTTCACAGCACAGCATAATTTTTTTTGTTTTTTTTTCTCATTTATATTATCAAGTTGGCTCATCTTATTTATTATCTCAAGCCAATAATAGACCAGCAGACACCCAGAGAGACTATTTTAAGTTGTTATGGCATTTTTATTTCTTTTTTGTTTTAAATTGTTTTTCCTTTCATTCGTATAACTAAAGTAACCCATAATTTAACAAAAATAATTTCATTTTAATTTTAAAAATATCAAAGAACCTTTCATCCCCGTCTAGATCATTAATCGAGATTAAGACTATCCTATATTTTAAGTTAAACCAAATCACACATATCAAGTATTATTTTATAAAAATCAGTTGAGTAATTTCAGAGTGCATCGCACGTAAACTCGTCGTACACGTGATTTTTATATATAAATAAGATAAGATATACTAACATATGATTTCCCTCTTATCTAGTTTTGATGCTAATGTGTTGTTTCTACAACTTATGTAAAGAGTGCGATTCATTATACTATGAATGTATGAACTCACATCACTTTTGTCATTGCTGACACTGGTCGACTTCCGCCGGGGGGACGGTCTGGTTTTTCTTCGCGAACGACTCAAACGATGCTGTGGGCTGTCGGTAAACCGCAAAGGTTTTGCGTCCGCGTTCTGTGACAAGGAAGCCCGAAAATGCTTCGACGGGCCATGGTACGTATTGTGCTTGTGCGCCAAAGTGTAATGGTGGTCGCTGGCCGACTGTACTGGGCACACACGCGACGCCAATTCGGACGACCATTGTTCATTACGACTGAAAACAAATTTTTAAAAAAAGGTTGGTTGATCATACAGTGGCTCGAGCCAATGTTAGTGGTTATACCTCCCCCCCCCCATTAGCTAAAAAATACTACAACTATGAGTAATCTGATTTATTTGGTAATTTAATCTTGACATATATATATATATATATATATATATTTCTGTCAAGCTACAGGGAAAATCTTGTTTTATTAATTAAAGATTTGAGTTTCGTAAAGAAAAAGGTCAACGATTCATTCATGATTATTATTTATTACAACCTCTCTCTTTTATTGGGACGCCATTGTGACCTTGCTATAGTTGCGAGTTTTAATGAATTCGTACAGTAAGTGCATTTTTTCGTCTATCTACATTTCTTGGCATTACATAGACAGCGTTCAGTTTAGTATAATTTATTAAGTTTTCAGTCAGAATCTCTGCTAGGCACTTTTCCACTAATATACAGGAATATACAGGATAAACTAGAAATACAAGACGTTTTAAACTATAAGTACCTACTCGAGCTTTGCACGGGATTTACCTACATACACTTCAAGTCCAAACCAGCCTAAAATAAAAGCTTTAATTGCCCAGCCTGGTCAATTAAGTTGAATGTCAAGCTTATAAATATAACCCAAATAAATTTAATTAACATGTGACCGAATTCGGCCCAGTCTGTTTCATTTAGGTACTTAAACATTTGACTAAGCACGGTTTTATTTTTATTTTGTTTGATAAAAAAGTTAATTCACTGCAACTAAATTTAAAAAAAATCAGAAATGTTAAAGAGAATTAATTTAGTTTTTAGCTTGGTCCGGTACGAATTATAAATTAAGTCAAAGCTCAACTTGGCCTATTTCAGCTAAAATTAATTATTGTTTGGTCCGGCCAAATAAGAAACTTGCACGAAAAAACTACGCCGGGTCTGACTTAAATAACTGAAAACCACAAATTCCGAATCCAATGAGTTTACGGCTATGTCAGACCTAAAATACTCATTGAGTAATATGATTTAGACTAAATAAAAAACACAGCATGGCAAAAGACATTTCTCTTTGAAGAGTTTCTTTACAATATTAGTTTAATTTTAAAATATAAAATTAATTCATAACAAAGTCTTGAGAGAAAATTGTAACCGAGAAAATATAAGTTTCCCGGTACATGAACTATGATCGATTCAAATCATTTTAGGGAAAATATGATAGGTTTATTTGAGGAGGGGTTTAGCATTTAAGGGGAATTTAAAACGTAATTTAAATTTTACCTGGGTGGGGCCGAAGATAACGTCCTGAGGTCCACGCCCAGCACAAGACTGGCCAACATGGACGCAGCCGTGTGCAAAACGCTGTCCACCAGCGCCGTTTTCGTCGTGGTCACGGGGATCGATGACGATAATGACTTAGATGACACGCTTGCTGAAGCTGGCAATATACTACCGTAGTCGTTTGTGGTCGTATAACAACTGCCTCCACTTCCTCCATCAACGGTCCAATCTGATGGCCGCGGTCGTTCGTCATTCAGCCAACAATCCGCGGACATTGGAGGACCACTGTAGTCTAGAGAAAATATTGAAAAAACAAACAACTGTTAAAACTGTGAAACAAAAAAAAATCATCAAAATGTTATGGGTAAAATAATGGAGTCCCTACATAGTAATCAATATAGGTATAGATACAAAAAGGCTGCAAAAAGTTAAGACACAACATATTTTGATGGTTGCTGAGAAAAATATTAGAAAATTGGACGTAATATAATTTTATAGTAGCAATTACTGTTTCTTCACAAATTATATTGGAGTACAACAAACCTATAATAATATAAATACCTTATTAAAAGGCAATGGTCAAAATAGTATTATGCAATATAATACAAGAATTTAATGTTATTATTGTAAAAGTAAATCAATTGATATAATATATTAGGAATTCCATTACATTTAAATAGTAACTAAACTGTTTGGCTAGGTTCACTTATTTTAAACCAAAAATTAAAATGTAAGTTTTTAATAAGTGATAAATTAATCATAAAACATATGTAAATTACACTAAAATGTTATTTTATTATCTTTATACTGGTTTAGCTTACATGGAAATTTATTTTATTAATATATATATAATTATTTTTTTGTTAAAAATATGTTAAGAAATAAATAATTAATAAGTATTTGTATATATTTTCTGTTTGCATGCTTACCAAAAACTGTAGCAACTAAGTATCAATAATACGAAACATGCATAATCTACAATATAATCTAAAATATGGCGCGTAAACAAATCAATTATTAGACTATTAAGCTTTATACAATGAAGCTAAATAATAGAACTTGATAGATGATCATTCATAGTTACTTACCATACACTGTAACAAATATACAACTTAATTATTTTATTAAAAAAAATTGAAATAATTTTTTTTAAAACTTGTTTAACTAAATATTTTATTTATTTATTAATTTTGCATGTTCCCAGTATAAATATTATACACAATAATAACCTAAATAAATTATTATAAAAATACTAATTATAAATTTTGAAAGTTTTGTTAAAAAATCTTAAAACTAATCAAAATAATGATAAAAAAAAAAATCACTACGGTAAAATGGTTAAAACAAAAAAAATAAACAACTCTAAATAAACGGGACCAAAATTTTTATGTCCTTCTTTCTTTTGTGTGTACACGCCTGATATTTTAGGCAGTAGGTACATATTAAAATAATAATTCATAATTCATAATTATAATAATAATAATAATAATAATAATAATAAATAATAATAATAATAATAATATAATAAAATATTAAATAATAATAATAATAATAATAATAACAGCCATTGGCCTAAGTCTAAAGATACAGGTACAGAATACATTTTTTGTGATGTGCAATATGGAATGTGTGCTTCTTTTAACTTCAATTTTATTGAAGATAAAAGAATAAAAATAAACAATTCAACAGTCAAGCAGTGCTTTAAGCACAAAAATATATAAGCTTCATTTTGAAATAAAAATAATAATAAAAATAATTTTTAACAAATTAATAACAATTTTTATATAAAAATAAAGAGACCTCAGAACCAGAACCATTGAATTTTGTATAATTTATAATTTGTTTTTGTTTTGTTTTGTTTTAATTCCACCACCAAGAAATGATTTATGTAAAAGTGTTAGAGGGTTATTATAGTATGTATGGGATGCAAAAATAAAAATTATAGACTTATGGTCTCTGCTTCGTCATCGTCCTGGTTATGGGTACCTATTTCTTGTAAAGCCGCAAAATTTGAACGAACTGACGATGGGTGTTTTTCTAAATTGGGCGCAGATCGAGACCATCCCTTGAAAGATGTGACTGGTGATGACGTACATGATGGACTTCCACGAATCTGAACGCGCTCACGTTGATGAAAAGTACTAGGGCCCCACGTTTTGCCCTTGACTCCATCTGCTGGCACTGAAATCATTTTTATAGAGGAATACGATCATAGTGGCCATACATAATATATATATATATATGCATATGTCCATATTATCCTTTAATTTTGTTAATTTTATCATAAAATATCTTAACATAAAAATAATTGACATGCAATTATACAGTTTTATAAATCACATACATTTCCCTAGATGGCTATAAAATATTTCTTAAACCTTAGAAAACACAGCGTTTTGTTAATGAATAGTTTTTCCATACAAGTAATATGTATTTTTTTTTGTAATTATCACATTTGTGCTTGTTAAAAAAAAAAAGAAAATAACATTTACTTATTGTACAGCTCATTAAATAAAAAACTATACAAAAAACAATGTTCATATTGCTTTTAACTAAAATGAACTAAATCGCTGATCTATAAAATACCTAATACCAAACCAAATTAAACTCCCCATAAAAACAGAATTTCAAATATGAATCTAAATGTAGAACAAATATTTGTTAGAACATCTAAATATCTTAATTTCAATAGACAACATTATTTTTTAAGCGTACAAAAATCAAACTAAAGAAAATACTTTCCGAATGGTTTTAGTAAACACATAAATGTAAATTAATTTTCACTAAATAAAACTCGTTCACCAACAACATGTATTCACAAAGCAACCATTAACATTGATAACTAATTATGTGCATAATACATATACCTTGTAACAGAATCATGAACAAATTATTTTTCATCTACTAATCCTATATTGTCCTTCAAAACTATAAAATCTATTCTAACTATTCATCAATGATGGGGCACATACACAGAGTTCTTTGATATTATCTGTTATACAATAGGGTTTTGAATATTTTAAATTAAATGCAAACACTAGACTCCATCATTTGCATAAATTCAGCTTCCCTGAAATAGCAATAGCGAAATATTTAAATAAACTTTTCTGAAACAATATTTTCCAAAATATAACATATAAATGGAATTGCTTAATTAAAGTATCAATATTCATGTTTGCCTGCTTTATGTAAATAATTTGACATATTTATATGAATATAACCTACATATATTGTATACCTATTATAAAAATAACTATTAAAATCATAAATATGGAATATTATTATTATTATTTTTTTATATTAAACTTGATTAATTGTTCTTTTGCTATTTTAATATAACACAATATTATTATTATTATTATTTTACTAACAGGCATAAAATATCATTTTAAAGAACTAAATTAATGAACAAACAATGTTTAATATTTCATTCAATTATGATTTTTTTATTTTAGTAGATCTTAATAAGGGGTGGACCGATACATAAAACAATAATTGATATTAGTGTTATCGGTTTTTTCTTTTCAAAACTGATATTTCACCAGATTTTTTCAAGAAGAATAATGTCTAAAAAAAAAATAATAAATTTGATTTTCAATTATTAAATTGATTGATTTTAATATTAACTCTTGTTTTTCGATTCAAATATTGGATATTGATTTTATATTGTTATATCAGATATCAGTAAACAGCGGTATCGATCCATCCCTAGTCTTAATGTTTTTAATGTATTGTACTACATTCTTATAGGCAAATATGCCTATAGTTGAAAGATTTTTCAAATTAATTTCTATGGTTTCTAAATTGTGATCCCTTAAATTGATAAATATAATGCGTATAACACTATTGTAATAATAATAAAGAATAAGCTTTTCAAAACATTTGTAATATCAATTGTTTTTAAAATGTATCTATACACATCAAGAAAATAAAACTTCTAATATAGTGTGAACAAATACTTTAACTGTTACCAAATCATCAAAACTATTTATTGCATTTATTTCACAAAATCTAATACTTGTTAAATTTACTAGAGCAAAATTATTAAAGTAAAATTTGTATACAAATTTAATCAAACAATATGAAATACTAGCAATATAATTTCTTTCTAATCATAAGAACATTTCACACAGATTGTTTTATTACTCACGTGCAATAGCTCTCAGTCTTGTAGTACCAGGTGGACTGTTAGGACCAGATGCATCACGATTTTTCCTATCACCTGTGTGTTGTACAGTTATTGTATGTCGAAAATCTGTATAACATACATTAATTAATAAAGAATTAAAATCAATTAAAAATAATAAAAATTACCAGATGGAGAACTAATAGGCAACTGGTTTGGTTCCTTTTTTAACATTTTTAAAATATTAGATTTTTTAAAATGTCCACGTCGTTTGTTGGGAGTTGGAATGGCCGGTGTTGTTTGTTGTTGTTGCATTATGATATTGAGTTCCCACTTGAGCAATTCCATTTCTCGAGCTTCTAAATCACGTTCTCTTTGTTTCAAATGTTTTTCAGCAATTTTCTGTTGTACTTGAGCTCGACTTAATTCTTCTTCACGACACCTTAATTCCTAAATAAAAAAAAAAAAAATGAATTATTATAAAAATTACTCTTTGACCATTCAATACAATAAATACACACAGACTTACTTCTTCTTTGGATCTAAAAGCCTTATGAAAGCATTTCAAAAATAGAATAATATTTTACATTTGAAAATTAAAAAGTAAAATCTAATATATTAAGTTTATTGTCTTACTTTTTCTTTCATTTTTAGTCCATCAAGTACTTGTTCAATTTCAACTTTCCAGACATCTTGCAAAGTATGGAAAGATTCATGTGGAGTCTGTGTGAAAGCAGAATGAACTATATCATCCAATGAAGTCAATATGTCATCAAAACTTGGTCTCATGTGAGAATCAGAATGCCAACAAACTAAAAAAAAAATAATAAATAAATATATTGATGTTAACAAAATTAATTAATTCATTCAAATACCTTCCATAAGTTCTCTAAATGGTTGTGGACAAGTTGAAGGTATAGGTAGAGTAAGTTTGTTAACTGCTACTCCATAAGCTACAGCCAATGCATCAATACCTTTGTATGGTGTTTCACCAGTTAGTAATTCCCAAAGCAGTACACCATAACTAGAATATCAAATAATTCAAATCATTGCTAATTATGAACTAAAATTCAATCAGAAATCTATATTAACCAACTTCTTTAAATAAAAAATTAAATGTATTTATTTTTATGCTCTACAGGTCATAAAGGCAAAATGATCTATAATATAATGCAGGCACTGGCAACCAGCGAGCGGCATAACTTTTTCCTACAGTCCTACAAATATATATCATGATATTTAAAATTCTAATTTTATATTTTAAATTTTAATAAATAAAAGTATTAATTTTATGCTTTCAAACAAATCGTAATTATAATACTTTTACAAATATAAGCTATGAACTTATCTCACATTGTTCTCAAGTTTTTAAACAAAACAATCTATTATAACTACAAAATATAAGGAATACTGTATATTAGATTTTATTAGATTACAACAAATCTGTTTATAATTTTAGTGCAGTTCGTAATGAAACATCAATGTACAGACATCAAATAACAATCTTAAAATTGAAATTCAAACTACTCTAAGTATTTTATAAATATCAATACTATGGCAAAAAAAATAAAATTTATTATGGACACTGTATATTTAATGAATCATAGACAAATTTTTATCGAAAATAAAAAAAAACTGTTATGATTAATTTGCCAAAAAACTATTTTATTAGTAAAAGAGTATAATAATAAATGTCACTATAAAAAAAATTATAAATTAAAATTTAACAGTCGCAAACATACCCTAACTGGTCTACACAAGTTAAAATAAATAACTTAAAAAGTTTTTTAAATATTCAACATAATCAAAACGAATTAGGAGTACGTGTTAATTTTATAGTTGTTGAAATGATAACCAAAAATAATAATTTATTTACCAACGCAGAGTATATAAAATAATGTATGTTAGCCATTGTAGATGAAATATGCCAATTATAAGAAATATTTTTTTAAATATAATTGTTAATTAAAAGATTAATTTTAAGAAAGATTTTCTGATTTCTACAAACACGAGGAAAATATCAAGTTGTTTCAAAACCCTTTTTCTATTGGCATTGATGATGTTGAATCTGATTTACAGATGGAAGTAATAATGAAACAACCATGTTTTTAAAACTGATTTTAAAGAAAGTAATGAACCAAAAATATTGTAAATAGTCTTTCCAAAATAAATTTGAAAGATTACTAAAAGCTTTGCTAAAAAATTATTACTACTTTCGGTAGCATTTATATTTGTGAGGAGACATTTTCACTAGTTAAATATCAAAACAAAATAAATATTGTTCACAATATCCGATTTGAAAGAGGATATAAATAAATTATTGGAAAATATTCAATTTTAAAAATCACACTAGAAATTAAATATTTATTTTTTTTTTCACTCAAAAATTAATTTTTTTTAAAAAACAATTACAATAAAGGTAATATATTATTTTTTAATTTTCTCTACTAATGTATTTTAATTAAAATTACTTATTAAGGAGAACCAAGCCATGAAACTTAAAATATAATTGTTGATGTTCATAAATATATTAGTATTATATTATTTTAAAATTGTACTTTTAATAATGTTAATTTTAATTTTGTAGATGGCCCTCAATGAAAGGTGATTAAATAATAGTAATCAAAATTGAGTTGAATTTCAATTTTTTCTTCTTTAGAATTTTTTTTTTTTTTTTTAAGATTTTACTTCCTGAACCAGATTTACAGTATAAATTCTTTAATAAGAACATTCGCTAAAAATAGTTTTCAACTATAATTTGTTCAAACCTCCAGACATCACTTGCTTTTGAAAATGTTGATTTTTTTATAACTTCAGGGGCCATCCAAGCATATGTTCCAGCTGCTGACATTCTAGTTGTTTTGTAAACTTCTCTGGCAAGACCAAAGTCAGTGATTTTTAAAGTTTTAAATTGTAAATCATTGTTTTCAATTGGTTCATTTAAAAGCACTGCAAATTAAAATGTTAGACATATATTAAACAATGTAGTTATTAATATTCATTTCACATATTATTCTAAGCAATAACAAATAGGTATCCAGAATGAATATTAATATAAAATTATACAATAATTGTGGGTTCTGGTTATTCTTTTTAACTATTAGTCATGGGGTAGTCCAAATTTAAAACTATATATGTATGCCAAATTGTAAAAATGTACTTATCGCAATAATAAAACTTAACTTTCATTATTATTCATATTTACACAAGTAGATATAGATAATTGTTTATTGTAGCTTTATAAAAGTTAATTTACGAAAAAACAAAAATCAATATGTTTATGGAATATATAGATTTTAACAAACAAGATTGCAATGAAACAAATATTATTTTATTAACTACACAAAATATGATATTACAAACATGAATATAAAAGTTAAAGCTACACTCAAGTATTTAACAAAGTGTATGCATATCAAAAATTTTGTTGTCAAACAAAAAATACTTAATAATGTACCTATTTTAAATTATTATGAAAATTCTTCTATGTTTGACATTATTTTTTTTTTTTTATCAAATAAGGCCAGTGTTTAATACTTAATTCAACAACTATGTACATTAGCATACAATAAATTGTATAAAATATAAGATATTATAATTTCAATAAATTTTTAAGGAAACTCCAAACAAATAAATTAATAGATTTGAAAAATATTATCATTTAATATGTGATAATATATTATGAAGTATTGAAGTATCTATTTTTATGCTGTAAAACTAACTAAGGTTGATTTCAATGTTAATAGCATTGAAATAATTTTGTAAATAGTTATAAAATGTTTTATATATTATTAAATAAAGTAAATACAAAAGAATTACAAATCTGATAACTGCACCTAATACTATATTAATTTGTTTAAATTAAATTTGTATGGGTTTCTAAAAATATCTTGATGAAAAATTCATGAATGAAGTTTAAATTGTAGATCTTTATTTTATACATAATAATATTTTATATTTTTAAGTGTATGTAGGTAAATATATTATGTCAATGTTATAAGTGTAAAATTTGTTTGTTCGATATTAATACAGAAAAAATAGATTTTTAAACTACCACAATAACCACCCGCAAAAAAAGAAAATATAATAGGTACCCATAATGTTAATAGGTACCAATATTCAATAAAAATGTTAAGTATAATTTAATATGAAGTAATGAAATGTTTTATGAGTTGATACCTATGCAATTTTAACTATAGTTACATATTTTTTTTCATTTTTATCATAATTTATATTTGATTAGGTACTTATTAAAACAAACATAATTTTGATTGTATCAACTTACCATTTGATGATTTCAAGTCTCGATGAATTAGTGATATTGGAGCTCCTTTGTGTAAATAATTCATCCCCCTAGCAATTTGAATTGCCCAATCAACAAGTACATCTGGTCGTATTTTTCTTCCCATTAGCACACGATTAAGTGATCCTCCACGTGCATACTCCATGACTAGGCACAAATTTGGAATTTCTAAACAAACACCTAGCATTGATACAATATTTTCATTGTCTAATAGCCAAAACAAATTTGCTTCTTGTTTGACATTTTTTAATGTTTCACTAATATCTTCATCAGGATCTTGGCGTGCTGCTTTGACAGCGACTTCTTTATTATTCCAATATCCACGGTAAACTTTACCAAAACCACCGACACCAATAATTTCTTCCAATTCCAGTTCATCAAAATTGATTTCAGTTATGTGAATATTGTCTACTACCGTTGACACATTTTCTAAAATGTTGTTTTCTGTGACAAAATTTGCAGGAAATATGCCAACTTTGTCGCCGAGTTTACCTGTCCACCAACCTTCATCTCCAGATATTTTTGCATCGGTCGAAAGTACCTCGACAATATCACCTCGTTTGAGGCTCAACTCATCTTCACCTTGTGCCTCATAACTGAATACTGCCGTCCACAATGGCAGGTTAGTTGTCGGTTGAGAGACACATTTATGTTTATAATAAGGAGAAGATGGTGTGTTGTTCACGTATGTATTGGAGTTTGCACTATGGAACTTTGAACGAGACGATGAATAGGTATTGCGCAAGTTAGGATTGCAAAAACCTGGACCAAGGTGTTCCATGGACGTCGGAGGCATTCGTTTTGGCTGCTACCTGATTTCTATGCCACTTTGATGGTGTGCAAGGACTTTTAACATCATTTGTCGTTCAACTTTTAACGAAGCTTAATATTTTAACACATTATTATGATTGGCTTATCAATGTTGTGACTACAATCTGTATAAAACTTATCTTGTACATTTCCTAACAAGGGACATTGGGCCTTTGCCCATAAAATAATTTTTTTCAGCTAAATAATCTTTTAAAACAGATATCCATTAAATAAAAATAAATATTATAAAATTTTAATTAAAAAATATAAATAAAAAAGTTGATAAAAAAATTACCTAGAACTACAATGAAATATTTAACACAAATTTTTAGTCGCCATTTTGAATTTTTATATCTTGTTATCTATGCTCTATAAAATATTCCGAGGAGTATAAACTTTAAGATAACAATAATAGGTTACGATTTCTTTGGAAGAATTGTTTTGTAATTTTAATCACGAATTTGATAAGACGATAAGTTGAGATGAAACATAAAATTAAGATTTGAAAACTATTTTCAATATCTCTAGTGATCCGTGCGTCGTACACTCGTACATGAAAATATTTTCTTATTAACATCGTCTTATTCTTGATTTTTAAAATGGATAATAATGTTATTTCATTATTGGATCCTTTTTACTTGGCTTGTATAAACTTGCGAAAACACAATTACGATAAATGTATTGAAAATTGCACGACCATTTTGTTGAAAAATCCTTATGACCAGGTAATGTAAGTTTATTTAGTAAACATTATCGACTAGACACATCTATTAAAATTATGTACCTATTTGCATCTAAAATATATTAATTATATACAGTAGAAACCGTTTATTGTCATTCTATGTAACCAAAATGATAAAATAAAATTTAAAAACCTGATTATGATTTATATGAACATAATATTGAATTACAATCGATATGTCATATTTTTATAATGAAATTGTCAGTTCAATATAATATTATACACTTACATACACTTTATTACTTTAAATTAAATTTACATAGTATTAAAATAATCTATTATCTTAGTATGAAAAATCATGCTGATTTTTCCAATATAACCAAAAATAACAGTCATTACATCCATATAGCCCTTAGACAGATGTCATAATAATTATACAAATTAGTACATACAATATTAGAGATTTGCCGAGACCTACAGCCGGTGTCATTATAAATGGTATCTACTATATTTAATTTACAGTTTTATAAAATTGTGTACATGTATACCAAAGCAATAGTCCACTACTAAATATAGAATATAGTTCCATTTACAATTAAAACGTCAATCTATATGTTAATTTCAATGTTTATTATATCAGATTTATAACACAATTTATAAATATAATATATAAGTGTATGCTACTCCAAAAATAGACAGATATTTATTTTTTAAATATACATTTTAAGAAAAATAATTTGTATAAAATATTATTTAAAAAATATTTATATTTTCTGAATCTATAAAGCATAAATCCAATATTTAATTATGATGATATTAAATAAGGAAAATAAATGCAAATCATTAACAACCTATTTATAATAATAATTTTTTTAGATTCAATTGAGTGTTTTAATGTAATTTAATCGAATGCTGTTTTGTGTTTGAAGGCTACATGGGCTCTTAAAATGCGCGCATTAACTGAACAATTGTCTATTGATGACATTGAAGTAGAAGAAGAGGGTATTGCTGATTCTTATTTTAACTCTGATGCAATAGCTGAAAATGCTAGAGTAGGAACCTCATTAAGAACAGCTCCCAGCACTAGTAATCAGAGGTATGCTATAGTCAATTTGATCACTAAATATGAAGTCAATTTATATTTATTTATATTTAAAATATATTTAATAGTAGATAATTTTGCTCTTGGTATTTGTAGGCCTCGGACAATTGGTGGGCGGCCTTTAAGTGGTATTGTACGTCCTTCAACTTCGTCTGCTGGTGGAAATAATTTACAAAAGGCATTAAAAACACCGCGTACTGTTGGTTCAGCAAGACCTCTGACGTCTCAATCAGCTCGGAACTTACGTCTTGGTACAGCATCAATGGTTTCTCAAATGGATGGCCCTTTTATTAATATATCTCGTTTAAATTTCCCAAAATATGCATCTGATAAACAGCTCTCAAAGTTATTATTTAACTATATCTATTATCAACAAAATGATATCAGAAATGTAAATATATTAATATTGTTTTTTATTTATAATAATGTATTTATATGTATTTTAAATATCATATTATTCAGGCATTAGATTTTGCTGTAGAAGCAACTAAATGTTCTAACTTTGAGGATCCTTGGTGGAAAGTGCAATTGGGAAAATGTTACATGATGTTAGGTTTACTCAGAGATGGGGAGGCACAGTTTAGATCTGCTTTACAACATGGACCAAATATTGAAGTATTCTTACGTCTTTCACGACTATTTATACGGCTCGATCAGCCTTTAAGTTCATTAGATATATGTCGGCAAGGGTTGACTTGGTTTCCACATGAAGTTACATTACTTATAGAAATGGCTCGGTATACCCAACAGTAGTAATTAAATAGTCATTATTTTATCAAACACTCGGGATTTTAATGGCTTTCCATGTAAATAGTGATAGCACTTAATTTGTTTATGGTAGTGTACACATTTTTTTTTTCAATTTTATTCTAATTTATATATGCACAATATTGATGGACAAAATTATTTCTGTTAATATTACAAACAAATATTTAGTAAAAGTCTACTTTTAAATATTTTTATTTTATTCCACTTTATAATAAAACACTATGTTGTTATTTATAAACTATTATACATTTCGCCAAAATATTAGTATTTGGTTTAGATTAAATGCAGTACATTTACACTTTTTTTTTTTTAGAATATTTGAAGGTTTAAATAACATACCAATGTCGGTAAAGTATTATAGAGATATACTTGAATTGGACGCAACAGATATGGAATCAATGGCCTGTATAGGATTACATCATTTTTATTCTGATCAACCTGAAGTAGCATTAAGATATTATAGGTATTTATTTTTAAAAGTTCAAGTTTGATTTTGATTAAATTGTGTTAAAATTGTTATGGTTTTATTTTTAAATTTGTATAGAAGATTGCTACAAATGGGCTTATATAATGCAGAACTTTTCAATAATCTAGGGCTATGCTCGTTCTATGCTCAACAATTTGATGTTGTCATGGCCTGTTTTGAAAATGCATTACGATTAGCAATAGATGATAACGCAGCAGATGTCTGGTATAATATCAGTCATGTAGCAATTGTATGTGTTATTTTTATATAACAATATAGTATTCTTATAATAATAAATGTAATGCATTTTCAGGGTTTTGGAGATATAGATATAGCTGAACATAGTTTGCATTTAACATTGTCATTAAATAGTTCTCATGGTGCGGCAATTAACAATTTGGCTGTGTTACAGTGGCGTAAAAACGATATTTCCAGAGCTGAAGCTTTATTGAATTCTGCTATAGCTGTCGAAGATCACCTTTACGAACCGCATTATAACAGAGCTTTACTAGCTCAAGATGTAAGTTATGTAATTCATACTTGTTTTTAAGTTATATAAATCAAATGTTATAGTTAAAGTAAAACCTAACCTTAGTCAGGTTATATAAAATCTATACAATTTAAACTTTTCATAATTTTAATAATATAAAATAAAATGTTAAACGAGCAATTTTAATAAAATATTCACACCTTATTTTAATAAAATTACTTTACCTTTATTATTATTATTTTTTTTTTTTTTAATTTTTATTTTAAAATGATAGATTAATTAAAAATATAAATGAGATATTAAAATAAACTTGATTATTGATGTTTTTTTTTGACAAAGATTCTTATATACAAAACAAAACATCAACATATATGAATATATATATATATATATATCTTTTTTTGTATATATACCAAAGAAATGTTTTCATATAAGATATTATATAAATAATTTATAACAATATATTATATTTCTAAATTTATAATAATTTTTTTTTTTTTAGGAAGGTGATCACCAAACAAGTTACGCTATGGTAAAGAAGTCACTGGCAATATATCCAAACCATTACAATTCTAGAGATATTTTAAACGAATTAAAAAAATATTTTTCTAGTCTTTAAAAACAAATATTATAGACTATAATTCAATGTAGTTTTTTTTTTTTTTTATCATTTGGTCAAATCTTTAACTTTAATTTACGGATATATAATTTGTAATAAATATAATCTATCAGGTAACATTTTACCTATTAGGCAAACTGGTGGAAATATATATATGTATATGTATATAAATATATATATATATAATTTTTTTTTGTGACATTTTCATTTGAATTGTCTAATATAATTAATTAAATTATTGGTCGTTTGCATTCAGATATGTTAAAACCCGATGTTTATTCCTTTTTTTGCTGCTATAGGTAAAAATTCACCTTGCAAGTATGGGTTGAAAGCCTGTAAAATAAAAATGTAATATGTTAAGAGTTTTTTGATATTAAAATTCCCTATTATAATAACTATTTTATTTTATTGCACAATAAACCAACCAATAATATTTTGAAAATGTTTAAGAAAATCATTAAAAACTCACTTTTTTAACATGGAATTTTTTAGCGACCAAATTTTTGTGTTCATCATCCACCTAGTCATAACAAAAACAAATTTCAATAAACTATTTTAAAATGGCCTAAATTACAATTATACAAGTACAATATGCTTTAAATTAATCAGAATATCCAATTACACAAGGAAAATGCATGAAACAATATTATGAGAAGATTGTTTTTTATTTACAATGGTGGGAAGGTTAGATTAGTTCATGAGTTTGATAGTTAATTTGCAATATTAAAAATATGAGAAAAAAACTGTCAAACTGGAAGTTATTACAAACTTGTATAAATGATTTATGTATTTTTTTTTTTTTTTTAATTGTAATAAATTATGTTTGTTTAAAATTTTATTCCAAGATGACCCTTTAAATATTTAGTCTATGATCATCTTGGTGTTTCTCCTCATATTTGAGGAATGCAAAGTCTGGTCAAATTTATTTGGCATAATATTATCATCAATCACATATTATACATAGGGTGTAAAATATTTTGAGGGAGGGACTGTTATCCTATTTGCGTTTAATATGCAGAGGCTATTCTAAAATTCAAAATTTTTTGAGGGTGGCTACACCTATGATCAGTAACCACCAACCAATCTATCATTTGTAAAACATTACCTGGAATGTTTTTACTATTTCATCTACATTAGCAGTGGTTTTTGTGCCAGTATCTGCAGCTGATCTTCCACATTCAAACATGTGTTCAGAATCGCACATACATTCTTGCGATTCCTGGTATTCCCGACTAAACGCTGCTGTGTTCTCAAAGTCTGTTATACAGCCATCCTCCTCTGAAAACAAAATAGTGCAATAAATATTTGTAGGTAGGTATTAAGAAAAATAAATAAAAGGCTAATATAGTATTATATTAGTAATAATTATAAATATAGTAATTTGTTTTATAATACTTATAATTATAAATTATAATATTATATTGTTACTCCTACTACTACTATTACCATTGACGTAGTAATGGAAAGTCATGGTATCCAATTTCCCTTAGCTTTTTAAATTCTTACACAAGAACACAGAATCTATACATTTTATCAACGTGTATTTTAGATTCTGAACAGAATAAGTAATACTATAATATGTTATACCATTCAGTGAAACCTCTAAATTTCGGACGTTGAAATTTGTCCGCTATTCAGAGGTATCTGTTATTTAAAGGGAGAAATTGTAATTTTATTAAACTAATTAATTAAATACTTACTACTACTACATATGGATAATATAAGATATACTTCATGTACAGGATAATAGTGTATATACATAGTAATAAAAAATAACAATAGTGTAGACTTTTATTTAGGTATTCTACAATAATTATTTACGATAAAAATGATCAATATCAATGTTAAAAAATGTCCTGCATTTAGAGGTTTTCCTATCTATAAATAGTGAAAATGTCTGTTAGCAAAAATTAACCATTGCGTACATATATAGATTACAATCCCATCTATATAAAGTGGTGGGATATATCCTATCTTCCCAACTTCTCACCTACAACAGTGGCCCACCCATAGTCTTAAACATTCGTTTAAGACTAGCCGGAGCGAGGAATGTTTTGGTTTTATAATGATGTTTGTTTTTTTTTTTATCTGTGAACAACTTTCTACCAGAAATCTTGCTCCGATTTACAAGTATAGCACTTTTTATCTTAAAGGAAATCTGACTGGAATGTTACTTTAGGTAGGTTATTTGGTGATTTTCCCATTAGTTTTTCCAATAAAAGAAAAAAAACGGTAAAATAGGTACAATATTAAACAAATACACACTAATAAAGAAAATATATAATTCACATGTAATTAATTTACCATAACATAACATGTATAGGTATATTGCTGACAAAGCAACATTAATAATCGAATTCCGTTCAGAATTATTTTTCGTTAAAAATGGCCAATGGTTAATCGTTGTGTGCAGATATACATTAAATTTCCCACTACATTCCCGACTTTTCACTCACAACAGCGGCCCACCCACGTGCGAAGTATGTCCGTTTTTTTTTCTCTGGTTTTTTCTACATTTATATTTGAATAGAATAATTATTCAAATATCCGAGGACTTACAAAGTGAAGTACGGCTTTCCGGCGACGGCTACAATAATAACATAGGCAGGTAGGTTCATTTAATACACTCACCCGTGTAGCCCACCGGACAAGGATTTGGCGGGTTGCAGTATGCCGGCAACGTAGCGTCCGTTTTCACTTCGTTTGTGTTCCTAGCCGGATTTTCCGCGTTTAGCGTCTGCGCTCCTTCGCCCGTACCGCCTATGGAGGTGTATTATGTTTTAGATAAATGAATGACAAATAAAAATCGTGGTGAATAACCATGAAAAACTCTCAAAATACCGTTCATATATTGCGTTCCCCACAGCGTGCTGTGCTGTATATACTCGTTGTCCCGAATGGACGGCATGATGTTCGTCTCGTCGACCTCGTCGTCGTAATCGGTCGCGTCCGTGGGCTCTGGTTCGGTCGTCTTCATCCGCGGATACTTGCCGTCCATTTCCGACTTGACAATGTCGTTTTCTAATTGGCTTATAACGTTCTCTAGAAGTTTACTCCGCATGTATTCAGAGTCCTCCACGGATTACAAAAATTACAAATTAAATAATAACAACACATCGGAGCATTTAGATTAATTACGTGAATATACGAGTAAGTTTCGATTGAGCACGGTAAAAAAAAATAAATATTGTGTACAACGTTGTCAGATTTTCAATAGTATGTGTGTTGTGTAGATTACTAATAGGTAGCTAGCATATTAGTCGAAAAAGATATTGCTATCGATCGATGGGTACCCACGAAAGTTGAAAATAACAGAGATGGATGAGAAACCAGAATTTTATCTAAAAAACGATTGCACTAAATTGTGATTAACTGTTATTGTATGTACCTACGCTGTAAATAAGACTTGTTCACAGTCAGTCTTTTCTGTTGTCTCGTGCTCGTGTTCCTTCAAAAATAGTGTGTATTTTGCAAATTTTACGATTTTTATGATGGAAAATAATGAAATGCGTATTATTTTATCCGAGAGAGGCAAAGAGTTGGCAAATGTTGGAGCTTTCAAGTAAAGATTTATTGGGCCGACAAAAAAGGCAATTTGTTGAAATGGTGATGTACAAAAAATTATCTGCATCAGCCTTATAAACACTCCTGAAACATGTATAAATCTTATAACTAATGGTCTTAAATGCCGGATTATTTCCAGATCAAAAAAAAAAAATTAAAAAAAAAACCATTGTACAGCAACAATCTATTCTGGGCAAGAGAAAAATATCGTACTGCAATTAAATGGACAACATAATCGTGACGCGTCATGACAGAAATTTATAAAATAAAAAGTATTTTTTAATAATAATATTCTATGGTACAAAGTGGCAACGTCACACCTATTTTCGTGCTCAATCGGGTTGTGAAAAAGGTCATTCGTGCTCAATTGGGTTCCAGCCGTAGGTATCTGTAAGCAGTAGTGTTTTCATAATATACTGTCAGATAGGCACTCCGTATACTCTCAAAAACTTAAAATTTTGTTGAAAAATCACGGGAATACTGCGTATACTCTCAAGTAACTTAAGAAAAAAAAAAGAACAAAGACGGACATCCTTCGCACGTAGGTGGACCACTACTGTAGATGAAAAGCTGGAAAGGTAGTAGAGAGCAAATTTAATGTATATCTGTTCGCAACGATTAACCATTGCTAATGGAAAAACGATTCTGAGTGGAGTTCAGTTGTTAGTGTTGCTCAACAATATATTATATACATATATATGTCATATTATGGTCATATTATATCGTAAGCTACTATTATTTAAGTGGATGAACACAGAAATGTCTTACTTTTTGACAAACACATAGGTACTTAGCAAATAAATTTAAACCAATTTTTCATCAATTAATTCGATCGATGTAGTGAAACGGTAAGAATTTATTCTAAAAGCACATTTGAATTCAGCGTGCATATGTGTATATAGTGTGTATATGAAATCGATCAGACTACTTTTTTCGATATAATTAATTTTTTTTTTTTCATAAATTAATTGGTAGATTTTCAAACCAAATTTTTGAAAATTATGGACTGAAATATACAAAAATATGACCGGGCCTATCTCATGTGCATTTTACAATGAAATCAAATAAGTTTTCAGAGTTTTTATCGATTCACACACCATTTGCACTGAAGGAGAAAAATTGGTCTAAATTCGTATGATACACATGTGTTATATAAAGGAAAGAAAATCTTTATCGCGGTATCCATTACTTTTAATAAAGTAAGAAACAAAAATGTTCTCTTTTTTTAAATATGAAAAAGTAGTGCACTACTTTTTAAAACAAGTGAATGTTATATCGCTCTACTGTTATAAAAAAAAATAGCGATGATTGTATAGAACTCCTACCTATTTTTTTTTTCCAGAAATGTAGTCATAATGGTTGTACATTACATTGAAAAAAGTGATTTCCAAACAATGGAAAATACTGAATCATAGGAATTTACTGCGATATATACGTACATATATTGGTTATCCGAGGAGTAGCTTATGAGCGTTAGAACAATATTGCCGCGTAAGCCGGAATCCCGAGTTTAATTCGCGATCCGATACCTTACTTTTGTGTCTGTATTGTTATATATATATATATAATATATACTCTATATTGGTACAACCGAAAAGTTTTAATGAACAAAAGTCAAAAGAATATTATTAAATATTTAAAAGGAGAAAACCAAGTCGAGATATTAAGAATTTAAAACCGTCTAAGAAAACGGAGAACGAGAATAAATATAAAATGAGTGATGTGAATTGATTTTTTTTTTTTTTTAATCTATGTTCTGCAATAAACGCCAGCCACGCCGCCGCGAATATGTTCACAGTTATTTCATTTGAACAATATTGTGAATTACAAAAATATATAATTCAGTCTTTGATAAATCAATGCATATTCAGACGTAATCTGTTTTGAATTTTAAACGTTATTATGCAGTGTAGTATAAAAATACATTTTTAAATATCTGTACAAAGATAAGAGATAATTGCTAGAATAATTGTCTAGAAGAGGATTGAAGATAAAAACCAACTTAATTATTTAGATAAAGGCTAATAAACGGGCACTATTGATTATCATTCATTACCTATCATCGCACCAAATACCTACTAAAAATATAGGTAATACAAATGTGTAAGTAGGTATCGGCTAGATATGAATTATATGACGTAAATCTAAATTTCAAAAGGGCTGTTGTAGAAATCGACACACCGCAGACTGATTTTACGAATGGAAAATGTCAATCAACGTTACAAAAATCGCATCCATTACGTTTTCCATCAAATCCGTTACCTTTACTACATCGCGACAACTCTCCGATCCAATGGTCAAACTTTAAACTTCAATTTCACAAAACACATCAATGTTGTTTCTATCAAAGCCGTAATCTTATAAAACAATATTTTCCCACTCATTAACACTAAAATATTTTGTCTACCAAATAGAAAACCCCACATTTTTTTTACTCTATCCGCTCGATACTCATCTCTATGGTCGTCCAACAAGGCAACAAACAATGACAGACATTTGAAGAAACTCGAACGTATTCGATATGCATATTACTAAAATACAATACGAATACATATCAGTATAAATATTTGTTATTTAGACATTTTTGTTATTTGGAAATTGTAGATTTGTCAAAATATTTGTGTAACAATGAATCTATTTCTAAGGAAAATTAAACATTTAAAATTTCATGGCGAGATTTTCATTATTTTATTTCATTTTAGATCTCTAGGTATTTTTTTTTTTTTTTATGTTTTGCATCTGTGTACATGATTTTAACGAAAAGAAAAAAAATCCATACTTTTCAATAATAATCGATATTAGCGAAATTTAAATATAAAAATGTTTAACATAAATAATGATATACGTCGCCATCCTTAATCATATCTATTCTCTATTCATATATTCATATAATCCTATTAACAATACAAACAAATTATATAAATTATAGAATAATTAAAAGATTTGAAACTACATAAATCGAACGTATTATTTAATTAAATTTAATAAATAAACTTTAGATAGGTAACGTAAGTTGATAGGTAGAAATAATGAAAAGAAATACGATTTGAATATCTGAATCTTTGAGCCATTTAATTGAATCCATGGTATAACTTTATTGAGTTCTGCTATAGTCCTCTTGGGAATGATCTGATAGGACATTTATCGACGAAAGTATTTTGAGGATTGAATTTGGTGCCTGCAGTCACCATATTTATTAAAGAATGGACTAATTGTAACGTTTCATTGTGCGACTGATGTAAATAACTTAATAATTAATTTATAAAACCATAATTAACATTAATTATATATTTTACCCTATTATATATAAATACGATTTAAAAAGATTTATCTAAATAAAAGATGACTCGCGTATGTATATTAGCTAGATAACAGATCAAAATAAACTATTAATCGTTTATCTGCATAAGGTAAAAAATACAAATATACCTATGTTTCGTTCAAACACAACACTAGTTTGAAAAACATAATTCTAATTTAATTAATTTTTATTTTCAATCTAAGAATATCTTTTAAATATAAAAGTTAAAAGTTAGTTAAAAAAGTTTTATAGTTTTTAAGTGTCAAAGTTAGACAACATAAATATATGGTTAAAACAACGGTACCTAATCAAAGTATAATAATAATAATATTATTATTATTTATGCGACATAAGTGTTATGTTGTGTGTAAATTATTGTAGGTTAGATTATTTATGAAAGTTTTGATTGGGGGTTTATGTTTCAGATTTAATTGAGTAAATTCGAAATATCAATATATATAATTACCAAGATTGAAAAAAAAAATCTATTAATAACAGTAATTACTCATAAAAGTTTACAAATGGCTGCAGCTTACACTCCATTACAAAATGTCTACGATATTTCATCGGCGGATAATCAGAATTTATTTCGATAAAAGGTTTGCTTGGAGTTATTGTTTTATTGACAACAGCAGTTAAAGTGACAAGGGGAAATCGGTCGGATTCCATATTAGCTCTAATCTCTATACATTTGTAACTGACATAATATTTAATTTACCAACAGTGCACATTTATTTATTATTATATTAATACAGGGCGATCAATCCTCGATAAGACACTCATTATCTCGGAAAGTATTTTTTTAATTTTTTTTTTTATTTGAACTATTTAAATGAAATGTGACATAATGACGTTATTTTTTGTCACCATACTTTTATTGATGAAATCACTGCCCGCATTTGATTTTCAAATAGCAATCTATATAACAAATCCCGTAAATACGTGGAGTTTTAGTTTAAACACGTTTTAGTGTTGACATTTTTAATTCCCGTCAACCCGTTTACTAAATATTCCACTTTTAAGTTTGGGGTAGCGGATAGTAGTTGAAAACTATTTAAACACCCCGCCGCGTCGCCATATGCATAATGCTCGTTATGAACTAAAACTTAATGTAATCGTGGAATTTTGAATATAGGTTACTATTTGAAAATCAAAAGTGGATAGTGCTTCCAAGCCCGAAAATAAGAGTAACAAAACTATGGGAATTTTAAAATGTTTCTTAAATGGTAAAAAAAAAATAAAAATTCTGAGACAATGAGTCGTTCTGATCCTGTATATTATATAATTTTCGACTCAATTTTTCCGACCTATAACAATATATCCGGGAGGCAGGATTATCGAAGTTCAAGCCTTTTAAATAAAAATTACATATTTTATTGATATCAAAGCTACCAAATAATACCTATAAGCGCCGAATTCGGGGTACAGGTCGAGCGACGGCCCGACCAAATTGTTAGGTGGTAGTCGAGTGGATGATGCTAGTAGTGAGAAATATACATAGTATAATGAGTAGTAATAGTAGAAAATATAACTACACAAAATAGCACTTTATGAAATATATAATATTCCGCTCAAAGAAGACCAGTATTATAATAATAATACAGTATTGCTTTGTTTGCCCGAGTATTAATATAAACTACTTCGGCGCCACTTTAGGCACCTACTTAACTTAATATTATAGTCAGTAGTAGAGGTATCCAGAGGCGTCTGGATCCCCCTACTCTAGACGCCGATATAGTTTCAATAAAATGTCGTCCAATAAAGATGCATTTTAAATACGAGCGCATATGATTTTTCAGAGCCCCTTCCAGAAAATTGTTGAAAATCCGCTATTGATAATATAGTTATAGAACCACAATAAAATATTGAAAATCGATACTGTTACTACGGATAGGTTAGGTTAGGTTGATAATGCGGTAATAATGTTCGTCGTTTTTTCTCCAGTGGAGAAAAATCAATACCTTGAAAGGTTTTCTCACAAAAACAACCAGAAATAGGCAACATCACAGAAGTACCATCCATGTTAAAAGATCAAGAGATGTGTTATAGGTTGGTATTTTTGTACATAATATTGGTACAAGGTTTTTTTTTTTTTTTTTAATATACCTATAGACAAAAATAAAAAAAAACTTTATTGGTAAGTACATAAAATGTGAGTTCAATCGAAGTCGATCATGTGTTTACCTTTTTAGATTCTAAGCGTAAAGAAGAATGTATTATAGTTTTTTTATTTTTCTGTAGGTAAACAACTTTTCTATTAATTGAAATTATGGTTTGATCATCAAATGTATAGTATTCGTTCTTGAAGAAATTATTGTTTATTTCTGATTAGTACATTAGGGGTGGGATTTCTTGATTTTCCGCGCGTGTTGTTTTTATAAAATAGGAACATGTATAATATTTAATTACGATTTTCGGTATTGCGGTATCAGATTATTTTTATTAGTTGTTATTTTTAGTAACTAGTATATATTTTTTATTTACATTTTACATTTTTTTTTTTTTTTTTATAAAACATTAAATTCACGGTTTTGCAATAAAACGTTTGTATTTTAAATAGTCCTCCTCCCTCCTTTGACTATAATTTATTTTCCTCATATTTTTCTATTCATTTTTGAGGTTGAACCGACTGAGACATTTAGTGTTTTCTACCATTTGTTGATATTCAAATGGTATAGACATATCATATTATTATGTTTGCAATAACTGATATGTATATAATATTTATTTCAATTTTTTTTTTTTTTTTTAATAGAATATTGACGTGTAACGCACTTTATTAAATGCCACTCGGAAAATTGCACAACGTTTTATGAATACTATAATATACGGTACATTTCACCGAAATATGCGTGTAGGTAGGTACTAAACTTTTCACGTGAATCTGTCTAAATAAATCCCACTAATCTCAGGACTCTGAGTAATCCGGCCAGAATTCTATATAACGTATGTGACTGCAGGGCGGGCACTGGGCAGCTGTTCGCGGACGTTTTAAAACCCTCCGTCGCGATAAACTATATTACATTGCATAATAACGTTAAGGGGATTTTAAATAAAAATAAAAATAAACTATTTATTAATAATAACTACAATATTAATGCCTGATATTATTATTAGTGTTATTATTTTATCAACAAATACGAGACAGCACCGACCGCAGCGTACCATACTGTACAATGTTCCTAATTGTTTTTTGATGACTTCGGTGATGGACACCGTAAAATAATAGAGGAACCGACATCGTTTTCGGTGTTTGCATGGGGCACAGGATCCGCCACAGTTTTTATTGAACACAAAATAGGAGTTTGGTAATGATATAGGTACTCGGTGAAAAATTACAGCGAATCCACGAGAATAAAATATAATATAAATAGGTCATCTAGACTATATGAACAATATAATAATATTACAATCCGTGTGTCACGTCACTATAATAACATTATTACTTATATTATATCTTAACGGTGTTCCTTTAATAATATCTCCACACGTATAGGTCGACCTATCGATAATATTTTATTAGAACTTGTAATAAGAATCGCCCCGAATTTCTGAAGATAATTGGGTTAGGTTAGGGACGTACGCGTATAAGTATATATTAGGTAAATATAAGTAAGTGTTGCATAGGTATATTTTCTCGGGTCGTAAATTCGTTTACCACTCACCTACACCCCCAGTTGTACGCACGTGACCGACCGTGTGCGAATACAGAAAGTTACATCAGACTGCTAAGCAAGTATACTGCATTTAATGCATTTCGATATTTTTTTTTCCAAATGAAACAATTCGAATTCTAAGCAATATTAAAAAATTAAATGTGGTTTTGCAATATTATAATAATCAAAACTTAATTTTTTTTTTTTTTTGATATTTACTGTACACGTTAATAATTATAATTTATAATGTATTGTAAATGTATATAATTTTATTGAACTGTTGTAGAGAAAAATATTGCCTTTTGTTTATTTTAAATAATATGTGGGACGTATTCCTATTTCAGACAGTTAATCACTCGAACTTAAATCAATAAATAGGCTTGTCTACGGTGGTGATGGTGCAATACGATAAGGTAGCAGCGCCACGTTAAAACGTGCAAGTGGTGCAAGCGCCAATAACTTTGCACGGACCGATTTACGCCACTGATACAGGGGTAGATGCCATATTTCGCGTGACGGCCGTACAATACTTACCGTAAGTTGTACACGTCTACAAATAATTATGTTTAGTAGTATACTTATTACATGAGCACTTACTTTTATAATTCCCGAGTAAGTGCCGAACGCGATGACGCAGACGGGCGCCAAAGCGATGCACAGAATGACAACGTTCGTCGCCATAACGATGGAGTTTTTCGTACGCCTGACGGACAAGAAGAAAATATGTTATAATTTATACAAATATCTAAACTAAAAACAATTATAAATATAGGTAATCTCGTGTAATACGGTTATTATATTATACGGTCAGTGTATTGTAACATATGATACTCTTCGGGACAGCTCGCGATATTTTTAACAAAATTTATAATTATTTTTTCACTATTAGAATACGATTGAACGACACTCCGAAACGGATTAATTAAAATACAAAAGTGTTCTGTACGAAGCATATAATTTCTTTTATTATAATTTAGAGTGTTTGGCACCCGCAGCCGGTAGGTAATGAACGCGAACGACGAACGGCCGCTAGCCAGACGCGTATAAAAAAAAAAAAAAAAACCCGTCGTCAGCATAGTTATTATTATTAATTATAAAATAATTTATTTGAATATTTTTTACCTTTTTCAACGATTCGACCCGCATAAAATACGACGTACGACTCTCCGGTTCCACAGGTACCACGACGACGCGTCGACGGGGGCGAGTCGTGTGGCTGGCGGATCGATAGGCGCGGCCGTCGATGTTGTGCAGTCGCGTATAATGACGCGGGGCGGCGCGACGTATAATAGTCGGTGGCGGAAATGACGTACAGCGCGCGCCACACCGGTGGCGGAAAACCGTACCACTGTATATTATTGTAATACCTACTACAATATCATTTTACGATGGTACACAGTCCAGAGGCTAAAATGTATACTTTTTCGTACTGCACCACTCTACATCAAACCATTATATATAATGGATGTAATCAGGCCCCCGATCCCCCTCGAAATGGAATCTTTTCAGTTTTTGATGGGGGGAGGAGGGTGGAATTTTTGATCAGCACATCAACGAAAAAATGACCTCTCAAATTAATCTCAAATTACATTTTTCTCTATACATTATCATAATATATAAGGACAAATAGCTCTAAAAATCTAAAAAAAGATCGGATTCTAAATTAATATAGTACCTATCTTAAAGATGTTATTTTAGATTTTCTCAGAGGAACTAAATTATAATATTTTTTCAATTTAGTTTAATTTTTTATAAATTAACTCAAAACAATTTAAAAAAAAAACATAACTTATACAATCTATACTCTAATATAACTTATACTCATCATGAATATAATAAATATTAATTACAGATATTATGATCAGTGTTGATTCTTTATTTAATAATGCATTACCTATGAATTAAACACCGATAATAAAAGTATCTTTAATCTATTCTGTTCCTTCGTCATTTATTAAATAATATGTGATAACTGTCAATATTTTACGAGTCAACTTGCTACTATTTAAAATTTTAACAAAGGTACATTTCAGAATTTTTTTCTCTAAAAATAATTAAATAAATAAATTAATTAATAAATCAATTAAATAATTTGTTCAAAGTGCAAAAAAAAGTAAAATTAAAATCTAATACAAATAAATATCATATTATAGCGGCTACACACTTTTTAATTTCGTACTGCGTATCTAAAATTTCGTATTACACAAAGTGTGTCGTACTACACACACGATTTTAGTCCCTGCTATACATCTATAACTAATCGATTACAATAATATCATAGTAGGTATATAACGTTCGAATTGGAAATAAATTAAAAGGAAGACACAATATTCTAAAACAAATGTGCGTACATCAAGATTTAATAACTTTTAATTCACAGCCAATAATATATAAAATATATAATGGTCACTCAGAGCCAGGGGGATTGTAAACGTTCGAACTTGGAAATTTAGATTAGATAGATATACTGTGATAAAAATTCAACGGTATAATTTAATTTTAAATTTGGAAAACGTACAACTTCTTAGTTTTTTTACATACATATATATTTTTTTTAATACGAGATTACCGTTATACTATTATCGTCAAATTTTTTATTTATCAATTATTAATAAAAGATACAAAAATGGTTGGTTGTTGGTTTTCTACTTAGATCATATACTAGACATATCTAAAGTTTTCTACTAAAATAAGCAATCTGTAGTAATCCCGAAATCGAAAACTATATAATTCCATATTTGTATACAAATCATATATTAATTATATATTTTTATTGATAGACATACGAATATATTATGGTCGTATTAAAAATTATGATTGGTACGAATATAAATGGAGCTTTAACTTTCCTCGAAAGACAGATGGAAAAATAGTGGTGGCGATAATTTTATCCATCCGTGAATACATTATTTGATGTTTTCTTTACAAACTTGGAAACGAAATTTTCAGTTTAAGAGAAAATTAATGATAATATACGTGAATTCATTGACTTCCTAATGATTATAAAAATAATGTATTAATACCAAATACCTAACACGGGCGTGTTTAGTTTTTCGTGATTGGAGGAGCTAACATTAATATGATGTGGTGAGCATGTGTCTTCAAATTTTAAAAAGAATAGGTACTTCTGGAATTATATGAAAAAGTAAATGTGCTATAGACTTATAGTTACTTGTTCCTATATACTTACGACTATTTGTGTCAATTTTAGGACTAGGTGCACACACCAATAACTATACATAATGTGGTACGAAACCGTAATATTAATGCAGTGTGACAGTGACGCATTGATGCGCCATGGCGATGGCGTGGCGTAGGTACCTATACGAGTTTCCTCGTACAAAAAAATTTTTAAAAAAAATGCGGTTATGCAAATATTTCAAAAATGACCACAATCCACCCAAAACGAAAACATCATTAACGACTACTATGTGTGGTACTGTGGTGCACCATTTTCCGCACTATCTCCATACTGCATTGATGTTATCATTCACATACAAATTCTTAATACAGAACTACCTATTGTGGAATATAATTTTGTTTTACGTGTGGGCGTTCAGCAAAAACACCACCTCCACACTGTTTTGGTGTTCGTTTGGCATAAAAGCTGTTATCTAGTGACACAAAAGTTGGACAATAGTCTGTAAAAAAACCTAAGCCTAGGTACGTCTTGAACTGGACCTGAAAACAGATAAGGTAATCAGTGATTTGTGCTTATGCAGTGTGTTTCACTCAAATGGTAACATGAAATATTTTTGTTCAGTGATCTTGGATTGAAATGGGGTTTTCAAGAGAAGATAGGAAATACTGAAATACACATTTTGTATGGATTTTAAAATTTCTTATCCTCTCAGTGTGCGTATGCGCAATAAAACTTGTATTTTTTTAAAATGGAAGGAAGGGTGAGTGTTTTCTGGTCTCATTATACAGTCGATAGAATTATTTTGACTGTAATTAGAGCGTTTAGGTAACTGAGTAAACTGAGGAATATAGCGAGTTTGACGTCGAGGAACTCGACATTTGATGAGGCAAAGGAGCGATGGAGCACCAGCCGAACCGCCAATAAGATTTTGGAAGAATTTTATGTTGTTGCCTATTCCTCTATTAGCTAGTGTTGATGGACCAGCAGAAGAGCAGCAGAACAGTCGTGCAACGGTTGAGGAATATTTAAAACATAGCCGACACGGGACGATAAACGTCTGAAACGTTATGAAATTAATAAAATAATATGTATATTATATATTCATTACCGTGAAATGTCTTATTAAAAAAACGAGTATCGCATTTACGTCTCTGGCCTCTGCCATAGTGTGTACATTTAATATATATATTCACGACGACGACGATGAAAATATTATAATAATATAACGCTGATGTATAGTCTGTATACACAAACACTATATTGGGTATTATATTGGTACACCATACATCATACATCACAATATTATTCCAGTAAACACGGCACAACTACCTATACTATACGAATATTACGATATTCGACAAGCACAATATTTGATTTATAAATTATGATGTACTTTTATCTAGTATATTGTAGGGTACCTACGCCCAGTACCCCCCATATTATTGTGTACTCGGATATTATACCTATCACGCTATAGCGTGTGCGAAATTAATTGAACCACGCCGAATAATATATTTTATTTAAACGTACTTCCTGTTAGTAAATTATTTTATTTTATTTTATTAATTAAAATATTACTTCCTTAATGCACCGATTAAATCCAAAACGAAATGAAAAATGGTCGCTTAATATTTATTGATTGGAGCAAGATTTCTGGTACCTATCTATCTAGAAAAGTTGTTTACAGACAGAAAAAAATCTTTAAAAAAAAAAAAACGTACAACAAAATTAATAAATTTTCGGAATCTAAAATAGAATTATAATTATCATGTTTCAATGTTGTTAAGTACCTACCTTGTACGTATGAAAAAAAAAAAAAATGATCATAGTTCCCACAACTGTTGGTATAATCAAAAATCTCAACTTTATTATAATTTAATCGAGGCAATGTGGTATTCGAGTGTTCCTCATATCGGTCGGTTGCTAAGTCCGACGGAACAAATGTTTTTGAAATAAATGGCAAAATGTGGAACAAAGTCAGTCGGAACAAAAGTGGCTGTGATACAAGTATTTTGTGAAACAAACGGGTTACACCCGTGTTATCTATGTTTACTCACGGCCCACGTTTTTAGGCATACATTTTTCGCGACCCACGACCGCACAACTAAACAGCAAAACTGCGTTTGTAGAAAAACAAAAAAAAATCTAAAATTACTTAATACTTTGTACTAGTACTATCATGACTGAATAAATAAAAACTACATTGTTGATGAAACGAACGGGGTACAATTTTTTAACGGACACATAAATATGACTGGAATAATAACGCGACTAACATTTATAATAATCCGTCTTTAAAAACGGCAACAACATCGATAATGTTTGTAGATTATGGGACCATTTAACGATAACAGTACAATGTATTAATTTCATTGTTAGCACGGTTTACTCGTAAATCATCATATTCAATGTAAATACTGCGTAGAATCATACCGACATATGAAACATACACTGTGATTTGATATCCATTATTCTATTATATTGTAGAATATAAATTATATGGTGTTGTTGATACATAATATATCACAATAATTTTTTAAACTGTATTTTCGTTTATTAATATTCTAAATTTAATAATTACATTTTTAACACCTTATATAATTGTATAAACTTAATTTTTATTTTAAAAAGAAACCTTATCATCGTGACCCAATTTAAAAGCTTACGCGACCCAAAAGTGGGTCACAAGAGATACTAACAGAGATAGACACCAAATGATTGCATACCGGGCATGGGAAGATGGAGGACGCTTTTCGTTGACTGAACGACTGTAAATTATCGTGTACACCATAAAAGCACGATCCACTTATTAGCACAATATACAAATCACATACAATTATTCACAGTAAAACCGTTGATTATGACGTGACATGTGTACAGTAAACGTACGGTAATTTGCATTAGCGTATTATTGTAAAATTGGTGCACTTGGTGTCAAGGCGGGCTACATCACTGCGAGTTTCGTGTACATTAATATAAGGTCTATGATGCGTTAACTAAACAAAACCACTGTCCCGTGTTATCGTTTGTAGTTTTTGCTGTTATCAATTATTATCAATCGCGAAGTTTGTGTATTTTTAAATTTTTAAACATTTTGAGCTAAACAAATTCGATTTTGTATTATATATTTCAAATAAGACAATCAATTTTTTTTTCAAACATGAAAGTCGTTGTTCAACGTGTTTTAAGAGCCAAAGTTTCAGGTAATTATAGGCATTGATGTAAACATAATATTATTTATACAATGAATTTAAAATGTTTTTTTTATTAAAATCATTAAATTTGGTTATTATATAAATGTACAACTACAATATTTTAAACAAAAAAAATTAACAAACCTAGATTCATTATATTATGGTTTAGTTATTTCAAGATATTTGTGTCATGAATAATGCTTGTTTAATATTTCAAAACTATTTGTATTTATAAGTATTATAAATTATTTATTAGGTATTTTATTAAAGTAAGCATCTGTTAATCCTAAGGTCTTGTTTGTTATTTGTTAATACCTCGACTGTCTATTTGTAAATACAGAATACCTACAGTAAAAAAAAATGAAAATTGGTATTTACTGTGTTTTACAAATAGACAGCAGACCTGGGTAAAAAATGTTAGTTTATATCTCATTTGAGTTTTAAATTTTAAATTAACCTAAAAATAGAAAACTATGTTTATTATTAATTGAAATAAATAATATTATATTTGATAGGTACGTTTATAAAATATTATATTTTTTTTAGTGGATGGTTTTGAAATAAATTCGATTTCTAAAGGTTTGTGTTTGTTAGTTGGTTTTCAGAAAACTGATGGAAAAAATGATGTTGATGCCATGTAAGAAAGTAAATACAATTCACATTTTAATATTTTGAATAATTAATATATCCAATTATAAATAGTAGGTAGTCTTAGGGCTAGTTGCATACATTTTCTGTAGTTACTTATAGAAACATCCCTCGCAGATCTGTAAATAACATTAGGTGTTACTATAGCGCTTAATAATACTTAATGTATTATAAATTATCACTTATTTCGGAACAATAACTTATAGGTCCAATTTTGTACCTATAACATTTACTATGTTATTAATATTATAATATTTCAGACATTTAATAATTTAAATAAATATTTGGTGTGAATGATTTTTTTTTATTTTATCAGTTGTTATTGTTTAGCGATAGCAAATAAATTTGGTTTAATTTATCCACAAGTTATCATACTTAATATTAAATTACAATTTACAAATTCTTTTATGCAACAATTTTTATATAGTACGAAGCCATTACGATTTTACAGAACCTAAAGTTTCAGACATCTATTGTATAATATATTTACTAATGTGTTTTTATACAACCCGGCCTAAGTATTAGTTTTAGCTTCTTTACTTATTGATCATCACTCATAATACTATCTAGTAGCCAAAATTCTAAGGTTGTGATTTATTTTTTGTTATTATGCAAACATTTTTTTTTTCTCGGTAACTTGAACTTTAAAAGAAAAAAAATAAGTAAATCTATAGTATTTACTTGTAATATTACATAATATGGTTCAATTATTTATAAAATTAATTAAAAATAATGAATTCATTTTATTAGGGTATTAACTATTTAGTGTTTGTATACTTAGTACTTGTTATTTGGATGAAAAAAATATAATGTTTTATATAATTGTTATTTATATCATGTATTATTACAGGGTACAGAAAATATTAAAGCTGCGTCTTTTTGATGATGGGGAAAAAAAATGGCATTGTAATGTGTCTGACATGAATTATGAAATTTTATCAATTAGTCAATTTACATTGTGTTATAAGCTCAAAGGTAACAAGTTAGATTTTCATATGGCAATGCCCGGAGATCTTGCCCTGCAAAATTATCAATATTTTTTAAATTCTTTACGTAAACATTATGATGAAAGTAAAGTTAAAGGTAATATTAGTAACTGATATTATAACTATATTTTATTTGATACTTTAAAATCTTCCTGTGGGAGGTGATTAGAATACTCCCATGTTAAAAGTGGGACGTACAATTGAAAAATATTGTACAAACTTAAAATTAAATAGTGTAGCCTTCCTTATATTGATATTAGACTTAAAAAAAAAAACCTAAAACAGTGCTTGATTATTTAAGAGACTAGCATCATCATTGAACTGAACTTAAAAAAAATGTTTTTGAACCAGAATGGGCTTTTTAAAAGAATTTTTTTCAGGTTGGGTTAGTGTTTTTTTTATAAAATATTTTGTATTGGGCTTAAAATAAATTATTGAACTGGACTAGACCAAACATTGATGATCCTTGCAGGTCAATAATGCTTAGGTAGATAAGAGGAGTGATGAAAGAAAACTAGGAATGAGTACATAAGAGGTAGCTTAAGCGTGGCTTTCATAGTTGACAAAATAATAAAATAAGACTGAGATTGTTTGGGCATATTATGAGAAGAAAGCAATCAGAAGCAACAAGAATTATAATGCAAATAAATGCAGGAGGAAAGAGAGGAAAATAAGACCAAAAGAGAGGTGGTTGGATGCTATTATGAATGATATGAGGACAGTCAGTGTATGCGAGGTGTATAATTGTTGTTGGGATGAAAGCAAAGAAAAAGATGTAGAATATTGTATATTTTAAAATAAAAATTACCAAGACTACAAAACAAATTATAAGTGATAGTGAGTCACTTATCCATATTGTATATTATATAATTTTTAACTATTACACATTCATTTCATTTAATTTTGTATAATAATTACTTTAGATGGAGCATTTGGGAAAAATATGGAAGTTGAAATAGTGAATGATGGACCTGTGACTGTACAGTTAGAATTTCCTAATCCTGAACATCGTTCTAAAGAAAAGTCTAACAATGATAACAATGTTGATTAAAATTACAAATTAAATTAATTTGTTTATTTTTTTTTTTATGTTATGTTTAATTATGTTTATAGTGCATAAATAATACACATGTTATTAGGCATAATAAAGTAAATGTTATAGTTTAAGAGAACATCATTCCCATATTTACCTCATATATCTCATATATCTCCATGAATAAAGCACAGGAAAATAATTCTTAGAAGTGATTTTATGGTGGAACATAATAATTGATTTCTAAAATATTTTTGTTTCTTCTGAAAGTAGAAGTTTTAAAATCCCATTTTTACCTGTTACCTAACTGATGTGATTTAGCCCAGCAAATTGGGTTTACTGTTGATTAAAAGTACAACATTAACTTGCACTTTAATTGACTTCTTCCACCAGTACTTTTAACACATGTTGGGCTAGGATTCATTCAGTGTTTTTTACTAAATTTCCCTATTTTTACTTTCCTCAATTTTACATATTTCGGTAGAAAATATTCTTAGAAAAGTTTTAAAAGTAAAATATTTTAGTATGAAAGTAATTCATTTGAAAATAGAATTCTAAAAAAGTTTTTTGTTTGAAGTTATTTACAAAAATTAATTTGTTGGATAATAATAATTTACATGAAACGCATTTTGTTGGAAAATTAGTTGTACCTAATTAACTATAAATAGATCTTGATGTAGAAAAAGTAAATCACAATTGTAGATAATACTTCCAGTGTACCTACTCTTTAATTTATTACGAAGATACAAATTATAAAAATATGTGAGTATCACTAGCGATAACTACCAAACAGCTTTGTGTGTTTTGCATATCATAGGTTGACACAACAAGGAGACTAAATAATAATAATCTTTTCTTGTTGTAATTATTATTAATTAGAAGCTAAATTTGATCTGAAGAGAAAAGAGAAAAATCTATGCCGGCATGTCGTTATGGTTCTGTTATTAACAGATAAGATGAGATAACATTATTATCACCTTTGTATATATTTTGTACCGTAGTAGCACAGTTGTCCGCAACACGGTTCAAACAAAAACAATGTCTATCAAAAGTCAAAATACGTACTAAATATTTCTCTACTAAAATATAGTTCGAAGTAAATGTTTTTCGGAGTAATTATTTTTTAGCAGCGATTTTTTTCTGATTATATATCATTACAATAAAATATTTTCGTACCTACTTTAAATACGTCCCCGCTAAAAATCTGTAAATGATAGGTATCTGATAAGAGTTAAATATTTAAAAATAATAATTAAGGACTATCGTGTTGTGTTAACTATTGTGTTGGTATGTAACCAATGAAATTGACAAACAGGCTAATCAATCATTAGGTATTTAATGTTATTTGATAAAAAAAAGTAAACGTTGAAAACAAATTGTAATTCGAGATTAATTAATTTGTTGAACAGGGATTACTGTAACCACTGAATTAATAAATACATCATTTCGACTATATTAATCGTTTTGTGTACGTGTTTGTACTACTTCCTAAAACCTAAGATTTGGTAAAAATTACTATAACAGCTGCTGTTTTCTTGAGGTGAAATGGTAAGTAAATATTTACATATTATGTTATTTTATTTTTTAATTTTGACTTTTACTAAGGATGTTTGTGGTAATTATATACCTATATTCATTTTGAATCATTTTCATTGAAATAATGCGTATTAGGTATAATATTTTAAGATTTTCAATATGGTAGAAAATGGCCAATTACTGAGTAGTATAAATGTACAATATCAGAGGTGGTTGGATAAATAAAATTAATTTGTGTTTTACTATTGACACATTGACAGATACTTGTAATATAATTTTTACTGTTATAGGTATTAGTAGTGCTATATCTACATACAAAAACTATGTACATTGTCAGTGTGGACTGTTGTAATGTAGCAGTCCACTGTTTTCTATGATTTGATACCATTGAAAAGATTACTGCTTCAGCAGTGTTGATGTAATATGACATTTTACATATTACTACTATAGCAATAATGTCTGTCAATGTGTTAATTTAAAACTGTATTAATCTCATCTTAACTACACTCATTTATTACCCTATATTTCTATTTACTGCACAACATATTGTACAATAGTATGGCATGCATTGTTGGTTTCACCATGTTTCATATTATGTTACACAAATTTGACTTTATATTCATGAAAAAATATTTCCGTACTTCTCTACTTTACCAGCTTTATCCTCATCCATTGTAATTGTTGTATAAGTACTCTTGTTTTATTTCTATTTATCAAATATTCATATTTAATTCTTCCTAGTGAAATTACATTACTATAGAACAATATGATATATTATTAGTACCTATTATGTATACTTCGAAAAAATTTAAATCTCAAGTGACTTGAACTTATGTTTAAAATGATTTATACTTCGGTACAATTTGGATACATTTTTAATAATGCCTGGGCATAAATTATTATTAATAAATACTTATAACCTTAGTACTGAAGAAGGGATCAATACTATCTACACCTACACAATGAATAAACACCTTGAAAATTATATAGTTCTATTAACTCGATAAAAAATATTTATGAACTTACAGCAATTTACTATTTCACTATTTTATATATTTACAGGGTACTAAAGTGTGTGATATTGGAGACGATGTTAAAGAAACTTTAAGAAAATTTCGGTTTCGTAAAGCAACAACAAATGCTGCACTTATAAGTAACTAATACTAACTAACATCTATATTTGTTTAAAATTGAATTATTTGTGTTGTATTTAAATAGTGAAAGTAGATAGAGAAAAACAGCAAGTTTGTGTCGACGAAATGTTAGATGATGTTACCCTTGAAGAATTAAGAGAAATTTTACCTGGTCATCAGCCACGTTATGTTATTTATTGCTGTAAGATGGAACATGGAGATGGACGTGTGTCATTTCCAATGTGTTTTATTTACTTCACTCCTAGAGGTTTTGTTTATTAATAATGTATCCCATTACATATATTAATTTGAATAATATTTTTTTAGATAGCCATATGGAATTACAAATAATGTATGCAGGTACGAAAATGGCATTACAACGTGAAGCCAATTTAACCAGGGTATATGAAGTAAGAGAATTGGACGAAATGACAGATGAGTGGCTGCAAGACTGTGTGATGGGAAAGTAATATTTTAAAATCTATTTTTAAAATACTTACCATGACCCTTGTATACGATTAAAAAAACCATCATTAGAAATTATTTCCTAACTTATACAAGTCCATATTTTATTTAGTAACACACACTTTCCGTAGTTAAAATAGATTTATTATTTTTATTGTTAACTTGCCACCAAATATTTTATGTATTCAATTTTTCACTACCATTTTATTTGTTTTTATAATTATTTGACACTAATAGTAAAGCCCTCTTGACCATTCCTTTTAACTTTGTAAGTGTGTGTGCCATCTTAAATTATTTTTTTATAATAACACGATAATTAAAATTATCTTACCCAAAATTGAACTGTACACATTTTTTTATACATGAATTAATAACATAAGTTTTTAAATTTGTGAATTATTTTTATAATTGATATATGTATGCATAAGGTGAAAATTGCATACATTATAAAAAGAAACTTAGACCATTGAGAATAACTAAGTGATTCTATATTTTAGAAGACATATAATATTATTTAATGTTATATTAATTTATGTTTATAGATACTATATATAATAATTTAAATATGATGTTATTCATTTTTATATATTATTAATATATTTTTCAAGTTTATTAGTTTATATATTTTGATAACAAAATGTATTTTTAATATTACACTTTGTTTATAAGATCTTCATATTATAATAAGTTTTTTTTTTTTTTTTTTGTAATAAATCATTAAATGTGTTTTTGAAATAATTTTTACTTAATACATATTTTGTATTATTTTTACTCTTCAAAACACCATCCTAAACAGATTCATGATTAAAATTACTAAAATGAATAATAATTCTTGGTTAATAAGAAAAACTTAAATTAGTAAATTTGAAATGTAATTAAATATTTTGCATATTATGTATATTTTCAATGATCAATCCATTTTAGGTTGTTAATGGTATTGGTATTTTTTGTTTAAAGAGATCAGCTAACAAAGAAAAAAGTGAAATTTAATTACAAAAATGGTGTAATAATTGAAATTTGAAACACCCTTAAATGATAGCACCATGCATATACAAAATTTAATCTAGCTTCATTTGAGTTTCATTGTACACGTGTTTAAAGCTAAAAAACCGTTCTACTACAATAATATGGTGAAGTTCAATCCAACTTTGACTTAAGAACCGGTTATAAAATCATTATTATTCCGAAGTTTGAACTCATTTTTTTGTCCAGGTGTCACTAAAAATGTAAAAAATTAGCGAGAAAAAATATTTGTACGTATTCTCACAATTACAACATACAATTTAGGAATTCTTTAATTTAATGCTTATAAGTATGAATTAATTACTATTAGAGTGTAAAAACATAATAAAATTAAAGCACTTAATACTGTATTTATTAATTAGAGTAATTATACTAAAACATTTGTTTACAGTGTAATTTACTAATATTATTCTGGTCAGTGGTACCACCAGGATTTTGCTAAGGAAGGGAGGTCCAAAAATATAATTATTTTAACTTCTCGGTTAGAAAGAATAACAAGCGAAAAAAATACTGAACAGAATATAAGAAAATCCAGAAATTTAGCATAGTATAAGTCAGAAGTGATAACTGGGCATTGATTGCACCACTATAGCTTTATGATAAGTGTCATAGAAAGTGACATGAAAGGCCATAGAAGAAGAAAGCCAAGGATAGAATTTATGATAGACCTAACTTACAAGACGGATTTATGGAGAACTACAAAAAATTAATAAAATAATTGAAGAAGAACTTTTTGATCAGAATCAGCATTTGATTTTCTTCTTTTTGGCACAAGAGCCGAATTGTCCCGATATTATGTTCTTTACCCAAGTCAAATCAATTTTTCATTTTTTTTTTTTAAATGTACTATTATTATAAGAAAGTACAACACAGTCTAAGAAAGGGGGGTCTATGGACTCTCCCTATGGTTGTGCTACTGATTTTTAATGTTCTTATACATATGATTATGAGAAGCAACGTATTGCCCATTAAATTTAATCTAGACAACATGAAATACTCAAATATTTTATTTGTGTAATTACAGTTTTTTTTTTTCAAGCTTATAATACAAAATATAATTATAATGATAAAGTAATTAAATAAATATAATGACTTATTAATAAAATGTACAAAGTATATTAAATAAATGTCACTAAGAGTAACTTTAACATGTACAGTGTATAATTTTACATTTAAAAATAATTTGAAAAAGCTACCTAGGTACATGCTAAACAAAAGTGTGGAAATAACACTGAACACATTATTAGGTAGATATATAATAATAATTATATAGGTACATACGACTCATACACATAATACCTACACATTGAACACACAGGCAAGTAACAATCAAATATTTACTTGTGTGTGTATGTGTGTTTGTTGTTTCGTGTAGAGAAATATAATATCGTGTGTATAAAACAAATTACAAAAGTCTTAAGTATTATTAGTTATTATTTAGAAATAGTGTTTGTTTTTTAAAGAATATAGATAATCCAATCTTTGCGGGCAACGTCCGGTTTGGTGTGAGTAAACGCCATGATCGCACATTGGCAACAAACACTGACCCGAAAATATGCAGCTGTAAAATATTAAAAAAAAAAAAAAAAACCAATATTTTTCCATTAAATTACATTCGGAATTTATCTAGGAACGACAATATGGGTTCAAAAAAAAAATATCTTACTCTTGGTCCAGCTGATTAAACTTTAATTTGCCTTTCTTGTATCTGATGCACTCGTGCTGTTTATCGAAACAATCGCACGAACACGATCCGTTGGGCAAATACCGAACAGTGTACTCCGTGGGACACTTGCAACTGTCAACAACGTTTTCAATATTATAACATTATAAAAGACCCTCCAAGTGGAGTTTTATGAAATTTGAAATTCGCACGTAGGGTATACATTGCAATAATCAAGGTAAGTGGGGTACCTGGGAAGTCGGGTGTTCCCTGTCCAGTGCATCGGCCTATTGACTAGGAAGTCCGCCGTCGTAGGCACTGTGTCTCTGGGCATCGTGTCTTCCGTCCTGGACTGGCACTCGCATTCCGTGTGGTTGTAGAAAAGTAACGACTTCTCATTTGACTGTTGGTCGTCCATCTTCAGTGCGGTCTGTAAAATAGGTACAAAAACCAACGAAATAAGACTTTTGAAGAAACTGTTATTACGTGGACAGCTGCTATTGCAAATATAGGCGCACCTATATAAGTACTTTGTGACGTTCGAAAACTAGATGTCTACTCGACGATTATTAATATAAAAAAAAAAAAAAATGTCAATCTTCAATGTTTATGATCAGATTTTTCTATTACAGGTATTGGTTGGGTTAGGTTAGTCTATTTATATAGGAACTTTACCTACACTCTTTCAAACAAAAAAAATCGTCCGTATTGATGTACATTCGAGTGTGTCATGTGCTTATACATATATACATGCATACATAAATACATACAGAAAATACGCGTGTTTAATACGGCAAATAGATAATCTCTTTTTTTCATTTTTTTTTTCTCTGCAGTAGGCTGTTACAACTGGGTTCGTTACACGACTGTTGCGTGCGATTTGAAGAGCTCCCGGTGTTCGGGATCAGGAACCTGCGAACGGTGAAAGCATCTGCGCTCGTCTGTCGTACACAAACTATTATGATGATGATGATGATAAATCACGAACCTGTTCACAATTTTATTTGTTTTTTTTTCACGTAGGTATACAATTTTATGATTTTATATTCTTAAATATCGTTGACGGTATTTTGATTTTCATCTCGTCGTTTGTTGTCGTAAAACCCGTACCCGCGGTGCGATTAGCAATCGTACGTGCTGTATTATAGATAGGTGCCCGCAATAATGTCGTGCGTGAAAGGTCCCGCCGAATCCGTCAATAATAATAATAATAAAGGGATTCTTCCGAATGATCATTTCGCGATAATAAATACGCAAGTCGCCTTTGTCATCGGTAGATAGGTTCCCCTTTTTTTTTTGCACACGCATCAACTGTCTTCGTTGTTGTTAATTCATTACCGGACGACTCGCTGTCGAACTAGGGATTTTAGATTCTATGAATCAGATAATAATATTTGTATTGGATTTTGATATTCAAGTTGTTACACGAAAGACGCAAAAATCAATAAATACGAATTTAAAACGGGACGAACTTGTAAAATGTGATTGAAACTTCTTCATTTTTTTTTTTTTTTTTACGTTATCTGTAATGAATTAAGAAGATACCATACCTAAGACCTAAATTACCATATACTATTAATGCAATTGAACATTATTTAATTTTCCAAATATCGACTAAATTGTTTTTATACAGATTGATCAGTACCATAAACTCTATGGTGCCGTATCCATACACAGTCATTTTTTTGGTTATTATGAACCAGCGTTTTCCTCTGAGGATTTTAAGACAAGTAATTTGATATGTTTTTTCCAATTATTAGGTATAATATATAGAATTGTTTAATATTTTTTTTTGTCAATTGTTCACTACTATAGTTATTACGTATAGTCGTGTAGGCATGCATTATATGAGTAATTAACCTACCTATTACCTTTTTATTTTCAAATGGCAACTCTCCCTTTTTAAGACATATTCGAAAAAATAATATTTTTCTAATAATTGAGATATGCATAACACTATCTAACTGGTAATAAGTAATTACCAGTAATACCTATCGTTCATGAGTTTAACAGTTTAAATCTATTTTTAGACGATAACCCATCATCTCTATTACTTCGGTTTAAATTTTAAAATGCCATCAAGGTTATCACTGATAAATAATAAGTAAATCGAATACTTATTGGTATTATGCAACAATGCATATTAACATGTCAACAAATAATTCCATGGCTGAAAAAATCAAAAACAATGAAATAACAAAGAAAAAAACAATCAAAATGTTCGTAAGTAATTATTGATAATTGATTAAAAAAAAAATTATAAAATAGACGCACATACTTAACACGATTGGTGGACCACTATTGTAAGTTGAGAAGTTAAGAAGGTAGGATATATAGTGGGTATATATTATTATATTAGCATATGGCATCGGTATAATAAAAAAAGAAATAAAAATAATATATAATGTAGAGGGTAATTTAACGATTAATCATTGCTAATGAAAAAAGATTCTGAACGGAGTCCGGTTATATATGTTTAAATGTCCGTAATATTTACGATTTTATATATATATATAAAATATTTAATTTAATTAAAACTTTTTCTTGTTGACCACCAAGTACAACTTTTAATGAACTTCCCTAACCTTTCAAGCATTTCTGTTTGGTATAATAATTTAAGAGTACAGAGTACCTAAGAAAAATGGCTTAAAATATTTTAATAATTTTATATGTCTGTTAACAGCAAAATATAATTTTCCTGTCAACATTTCAAGTCTCTAAGTACATTTTTAACTGAATTACATTAAAAAAAACACAATTAAAAATTATAAAAGTATTATTTTGGTACATTTTTCCGGTTTTCCCGATTATTATGAAAACTGCTCGGAAAATCAAAAAAATGACCTCCATAAAGTACAAAATAGGTAAAATTTCCTTTCAGAAAAGGTTTTACACTTAAAAATTATAGCAAAATTTCTGGTAGAAATATTGTACACAATATAAAAAAATAAACATCAAAGTAAAACCAATTTATTCCTCGCTTCCCACATAATCTAAAATCACTGTGTATCTTATTTTGTAATATATTAACTAATATTATGTAAAGAGCGAAATCGTGCTATACCGTTTTTCTGTAGATATTATATTATAGTTTATAATATTAATATATAAGCAGATAGCCCTACATCAATTTAAATATTTAATAGTATAAAATAAACAGTATATTTATTTTATAGGTATTTGTAAAATATTTGGTATGTATATAATAATAATAATTGTTTATTATAAGTATGTGATAATAATGTTATTATATAGGCATACCTTTCATTTAATAATCTGATATCAGCTACGTATTTATGTCCTATCCCATTATATTTTATGTATTTTAAATTAGGTATGTAAAGATGTATAAGTGTATCCATAAAAATAAACGACGAGAAAAAATATTTGGTATAGGTAAATATTGTATTTTGTTTATCGTTAATGTTGAAATCTTTACAGACTTCTTAAGTATACGAAACGATACTTTTATGTTCCCATTATAATTACTTCATAATTTTAGGATGCTGTTGAACTTGCCTCGAGGGTTCTATTCAAGTACCAATAATACTGTCAGTTCTTGTTCCCTACAACAGTATTAGTATATAGTGTTTTTGATCACGGATGTCGTGATGTACTTCAAAAAGGTTTAAAAGAAAAAAAAAATTAAAAACTACGAATAGATAGTATTTTGACTTGTGAATAACTAATTGATTTTCGACATTTATTACTACGAATTATTATTACGTTTTATTAATTGTGTATTATAAAGAGGTATATTATATTGTTCTTGATATGAATTGCCTACTTGAGAATAATATTCAAATGACATTTACTCAAAATGTATGTAAATATTTTTAGGAGGTATACTTTCTTAAAAGACATCAATTATGTTTCAAAAAAGTCAAAACTTTATTTAATGGGTAGGTACGTCAAGATGAAAAACCTATATGCATTTAATGAATCCATAAACATTTATTCAGATTTATTACCAAAATTAAAAATAAGGTACACGTCAAATTGTAAAAAAAAAAAAAAATTAAGGCTGGGCAAGGTAACGAAAAATTTGAGTTACGTTAATTTTAAAATAAATTAACACGTTCACACTCTGATGTTAGGCGATTGTTCTATTAACTAACCAAGTCAAGTTAAAAGTTAATTTCAAAATTTAATTGCCTTATCAAGTTAATTTTATTTGTTACTGATATAGTGAAAACTATTAAACCTAGTTTGTAATTTTTTGAAAACAAGGATGACAAACTTAGGGGGTTTACTCTAAGAACACTACATCATACTTATTTTAAACTTAGAACTCCCACACATATTATTGAGTAAAAAGATTACTATTGTTTGTACAGCTGTATTTTAATACCTATTCAAATGTAATGTCTAGATTACAAATTTAATATTATGTCAAATTCTAAAAACATTTAAATTAATATAATTGATTCATTATTTATTAATTTGTAAACAAAATAGGTACGATTTATAAAAATCATAGTTTAAAAGTTAAAATCACGTAACTAAACATTTAACTTTTCAATTCGTTCATGTCTACTATATCTAGCCTTGGAAAAACTAAAAACGGATAATGATATTAAACGTATACCTGCAGGTGCTCATTAAATGTGAACACTAATAATTATTGGTCGTTAATTTCTTAAATTTGTTAACTGAATCATAATCTCCAAAACAATTTATTTTATCGGTTGATTTCTATTGAATTGCCGCTACCACACTTGTATGTTTATAATAAACACAATAAATTGCAGTATAAAGTGGTAGGTATAATGGAACGTCAAAAGGACGAAAAAAAAAAAAAAAAAAAAAATCGATTGATGACATACGGTAACTCGAAGTTATTTATTACCTATACCTCTACATTGTTGTTTTATTGTACCATAGTCCCGAAATATGTGTAACACAAGTCTATGCGAAAGAAAACGGTAATTTTATTCATCCCATTCAGTTCCGACAAATTAAGATATAACTTCATCGTCTCGTTTATAGCCCGGGGTCCCGCACAGTAGGCGTGTTAGTATTTTTTTTTCCTTTTTCTGATCCACTGTTTGTTTAAAAAAAAAAAAACCAATATAATGTCCCGAGGACCGTCATTATAAAAGCGAGATTATAATATCCTGTATGCACCCATAAAAAAAAAAAAAAACCCATACCTATTACATATTATGTGTTGTACACGAAAAAAAACCAACAAAACCCAGTACGTATGTATACTGCAGGTATAGCCAAAAGACAATAGGCCTAGGTTGGTATTTTTTCCCGCACTACTTGGTGATTACACGATTTATATAATACAATATAATGACTCGTTTTTTAAACGGGCAGACGATATTTCATCGCGGCAATGTAAGAAATCGACTACACAGCCTACCTAATATAATATTATAGTAGCTATACTATAATATAGTGTAAATGTTATAAGTTATAATAGGCCTCTGTCGCCGTGTGCTCGTGACGATCCAGCCCATTCGTATAATACCCATATACTATAGCCGAGTGCTGATAATAGATAGAGAATTTCACAACATAAATACGAACGAATTACACGAGGTGTATAGAAAGTTGTGCCTAATTTTTGAGCAGAGTTATATCTAGACGAGTGGGTAAATAGTGAATTTATTATACTGTTAACCCGCGGCTAATTGCTTTGCACACACATTCACGTGGACAATAGACCTACCCATACATTATACCGTACAAAACTATCATAATACAGCGTCAATTTATTTTTCGTTTATTTTACCAGATCGCTGTTTTGCGATATGCCAGAATGCACACGAAACCTCAAAAATTGTTTTTGTTTTAATAGCAGTACCTATCGCGATGATAATATCCTGACCGTATTTTATTGAACAATGCAATAAGAATAAGCGTGCGATTATTATAATATTTTTTTTTCACCGTTAAACACATTGAAAAGATAAAATAAAATAGTTATAACTTTATAAGTGCCTATAGTGAAAGTTTAAAAATTAACCACAATAGATTAGTATTTTGTATTCGTATAATACGTATAATCCGATCAGAGAAAATATTTAGGCACTAACAAATACCGTTTTAGCGTCTCTCGTGAATTATGTTTGAATGCATATTATTTTCTATACCTTTTAAATTTGTATTTTTAATGCTATGGTGAACGTTAAAACGGTAAAAGTTTACGCGTGCAGATTATTCGACTACAAGCTATTAAGTATATATGTTAGTAATATATTATTACCTATGATTTTTCAATGTTTTATAAGTTAGGAGAAATTTTAAACGATTCAAGAAATTGAAATCCAATAACTATATTATGTAAATTAAATTGAGATTCTATAAGCTGAGATACTAGATTATTTTACGATGTCGGTGTTTGTAAAGATATAGAGATAGTATTTTTGAAAAAGTAATTTCCCATTTGGCCACAAGCCCGGTCAATTACAAACAGAAGGAAAAAATCAACGAAAATAATCATAGGCAAATATTTAAATTCTGATATTTTTTCAGGATTACTTTGGTGGCGGTGATAATAATAATTTTAACTATTTACACGTTCCAAATATGTAATACTATCTTGAGCCGCTATATCCATAATAGGTTTTTAACGTCAAATATAAAATGCATACAGTTAAAGTTTAATTGAAATACAATGGCTTTAGATTCTGCGTATAATGAAAAAGTTATTAGTTTTATAAAAATGGTTTTTTTTTTTAAGAAAACATTATACGGTTAGTAAAATATTTTGTTTTCTTCATACCATAAAGATGCGGATTTTTGCTTTGGTATTTTCTTAGAACATTTTTTCGAAATTTACAATATCTTTTCAAAAAAAAAAAAAAAAAAAAAAAAATGGGTGATAAAATGAATATCTCGTTAACGGGTTGACGAAAATTAAAAATTTTAACATTAAATTTCAAAAATCAGAATTTAAATACATGCTAAATTTAATAAAAAAAATAAAAGAGTAAGTACGTTTAGTAAATTACCCAGTATATGTTTTGAGCAAAGTTGAATATCGGGCAATGTGTGCATTGCCCGATTTTTTTTAATAATAGAATAAAACATTACTTTACTCGGGCAGGGTAATACATTGGCTGGTCAAGTATATTCAGCCCGTAGTTCATGTAACAGATATGACACTTCAAAAGTGAAACTGTAATTTTGTCTTTTTTTTTACATTTCCGTAAGCAATTTTATTGCTCTATTCATGATTTCGATAACGACTTTATTTCATCTCTATTAACGGCTATAAGTGGTGCGTCATCCGGCTCAAACAAAAGTTAAACTTCTTTTTTCATTTTTCGTTGTTTATTTATTATTTCGCTAAAATGAAATATTATTAAGGCATTTTCGTTCTTTTGAAGCATTTAAAAATAATTTTCAGAGAATTTGAGGCTTAATAATAAGTGTACAATTAAATAATTATTATTGTAACCTATAAACTATTATTATTATGATGGACTGTGTATTTTGTTTTATTATTATGAAACGGCGTTTTATGTATGCAATAAAAATTCTTATACGTTAAGAGAATTAAAACTGAACATAATTATTATTACCATTTTTATGTAATTCATATTATATGACAGTACAGAGTTTATGAGATTGTATAATAATGCGGTCTCTAGTCATATTTTATTGACTGTTATTACAATAATGTTAAACAATACGGTGATACATACATATTAAAGATGAAACATTTTGCGGGACAAAAGCAATAGAATAAGTATAATGATAATATAACCGATATAGTTATACATTTATCAAGCCCACAGTGACAACACAAGGATTGAGAAAATAATAGATGACATTAAGCTTAATGACCTAAATATTAAACAGCTAAAAATATATTATTAGGATAATTTAAATTCAATCAAATTTAATTACCTAATATAAACACTATATCTTAGGTAATATACCTATAGAATATTCGAGTAATCGATGCATAGTAAATTTAAGCATCGTCGTTTTGAATATACGCAAATAAAGGTATATTGAACGCCGTGTAAAATAACCATTCCAAATATTAAATTCAAAATCGTTGTCAATTCGATAAATCGATTTTTACGATACGTGATTACAATAAAATATTAATAAATATTATAACAACAATTATATTATGTATTTGCCAGTCTCGAAACGAATACTTTTATTTTGTATTTGGAATACCTATTCGAATAATTTAAAAAACAATGTCTTCAGAAAATATATATTCGAATGTTTCAAAGGTATTTGAATACTTTTATAACGTCCTTTCGTTAGGCCGTTCTTTTTTAAAAATATTTTTCGTTTCGATTTCAACGTCTAATACCGTTTACCTATATATTATACATTACCTACCGCTATCGATATTTAACAAAGACTTCGATAAATAGTTTAGATACTTAGTTTGTTTGTTTCGTTTCGTCATTTTTTTATAGATTGCTAATACTAATACCAATCTCCTTGACGAGTCAAAAGCCGATCTCGTGGAGAATCGCCTGACACCGTTCAGTCGCCGCTGTGCCAACATAACCACCGTCGACTACTGTTGCTGACGTCACCGTCGACGCAACTCAGGCCCGTGAATCAGTCTTGGAAAAACCTTGGACGCAGTCGTCGACACCTGCCGGACCAAGACAGCAGTAACCCTTTGGCTCACCTGACGTACCTCTCTTCACCATTAAACCTATGTTTTAATTCACGGAGAAAATACTCAGTCTCTCTCTCTCTCTCTCTCTCTATATATATATATATATATATATATATGTATATGTAAGAAGAAAGCCTTTAACTCTGTTGACTACAATATTTTAATAAAAAAAAAAAAAAAAATAGAATAAATATGGCTTACACGGGAAACTTCTCTAATGGTTGTCATCATTTAATTCTGATAGAACACAGACAGTCAAAATTAAACATACTATCTCTCTATCCATAATTGTATCTTCTGGTGAACATTTATCATCACTTTTATTTCCAGCATTTGTTGTTTATACAGTCTTTTTTCATTATAATTATGTATTGTTTGCCGATGATTTAAAAATATTTCTTCCAGTTTATAATCTAGATGACTGCTTTAAAATTCATTTAATTGAATAATTTAATTTAGTGGTGTAAAATTAATGGTATGTCACTTAATGCTGAAAAATGCAAGTCAATTTCATTCTCTCGTAACCGAAACCCGGTTCGTTACAGTTTCAAAACTAATGATGCTTCTTTATTATAGTTTTGTAAACAAATTAAGATTTAGGTATAATATTGTCATCTGATAGTCATAATAAAACTATCTGTGGTACTACGGTCCTGTATTTGAATTTATTTCAGTAATATGGAACCTCTCAAAAGTAGGCTTAGTCGATAAAATTTTAAAAAGTCCAAAGATAATTCTTACGTTCTATTGCTTTCGTGTTACACTTAGCTAGTCAACCAATTTTTACTGTTTAGATTAATTGTAATGTGATGTAGTCTTACATCACTATTATATCGGCGTAATTATAATGATGTTTTATTTGTCCACAAATTACTAAACGATAAAGTAGTGTGTTTCAAGTTGCTACACAATATTAATTTTTACGTTCCACCTATGAACACTCTAAACATTTATTTCACATTGAAATGTGTAAACAAAATGCCCTTATTTTGAACAATATTTTAAAACATATTGCCAATTATTGTAATAACTACTTCAATAATTTTGATGTTTTCTTTATTAATGAAAATAAAAAAGTGAATTTCACTTAGCTATGCATGATATTTTGATTCTGTTAACCGTTGTTATATGTGTTGTTTTATTAAAGAAACTCGAATATGTTGGTATCAGAGGAATCACTTTACATTTAATTTTTAAATCTCACTTATTTAATCAAACACAGGTCAGATTAAACGGTATTATTAGTGATTCTATAAATATTTATATTTATTATAAATTACAGGACAAGCCCAGTTTACATTGAGTATTCATATGTTTAACATATATTTTACTTACATTAAACTTATGATAATTAAATATTTACTACTACTATTACTATTGTTATTTACTACATTACTTTGCATGTTACGTTTTTGTGTTTCAAAATTGAAATAGTAGGTCATTGTTTACGGTCCTCATAAGACGGTTTAGGGGAGAGTTTTGAAGGAAACTAGCAGAAAAGTAAGGAATATGAAATGGAGCATAGAAGCGGGTGCGACAAGGTGGAACTTCAAAATTTACGAGGGAGAGGAGAACAGGAGAATCTATTTTGCCAATAAGGAGATTTGATAGGAATGAAATGTTATTTATCTGTCTATGGTCTGCTAAGCTTGAGAGGTTCAGCTTACACAGGATAGGAGAGTAGTCGTGGGGTATGGGCCAGAGAATATTTAGACGAAAGAAACGGCACGGAGAAACCTTCTCTGAACTCGCTCAACAGAAGTACTAGCTGTTGCGGTTTCAGGATCCCATAATACACTGCCATACTCAATGATGGGTCTCACTAGGGCGCAGTACAAGATTTTAAGGGTATGACTATCTAGTCTATTATAGATTTAGACTAGATATAAACTATATAGATGAAAAAGTTGAGAGGAGCGAAGGATGAAACCAAGAACCTTAAGGGCCTTACAAAAAATGTCTTGTATATGCTTATTTTGGGAGAGGTGTACTACAAGGAACAGTATTAGGTCCAATTTTATTTTCAATTTATATAAATAATGTTTTGAAGTTGTGCTTACCATATATATATATATATATACTTAGAAATAACAAATAATGGTATAATAACATTTTTATTGAACAAACTCAAGTTTTATAATACAAAGCATATCTTAATAATTTTAACTTGCAGCATTTTGATAGATTATTTTATACAAATATATTCTCGTTATTATATAAGCATACGCATCTATTGACCACGATGAACCAAACTTATAACATTATATATAAAACTAATATAGTGGATCTTCGATTATCTGTGAAGCATCGGACTAAAGCTCTGATTTTTGAATAAGCAAAACGAAAAAAATGATTTTTAGTTTTTGTATATTGTTATACTTACATACACATGTATGTATATTGAATATATTTTATTATGAAATACTGTAATGTACAAGACAAGCAACTTTTCTTAAGTTAAATAATGATTTACAATTTATTTTTAAACGTAAGAACGTTTCTTTGATTTTTGACCGTGAAAAAGGTGGCATCGCGTATTCGGCGATAATATCGCTCAATGAATTTGCCCTTATCAAAAAATTGTTCACGTTCACGGGTAGTTAGGGCGGATTTGTAGTACGTTTGAATTGGATAGGATTTGGGTATTAGAATTTTAGATCGGAGATATTTTTTGCTGGTACTAGGAAAAATGTTCTTGACGGAGGTATTGGGTGGAGGTTCGTTCATAGTACTAATTTTAGCATTGACGGTTATACGTTGAGGGGTTGTGTCATTATTGTTATCCTTGATAGTAATGGAATTTACATTATTTTCTGTAGTATCTGGAAGAAGTTGATGGACATTTAGAGCGCGCCAATAGGAGGCGGTGATTTCAGCTGGGACGAATAATTTCTTTCTCACACTTTTAATATGTGGAGTATCGGTAACGATATCAGTAGGATATTTAACCTGGTGAACAGTTTTATTCAGTAGATTGTTTTCTGATGCGAGAGTCTAGATCGGTGGATGTATTTAGAAGAGTCTGGTTATATCTAACAATGTCAGCAGGAGAGAATTTTTCTTTATGGGTTTGATTCTTCCTTAGGGTTGTGGTTGGTTGTGGATTGTTGGTGTTGTTAGTAGGATAGCGGTTAATGGAAAGTTTTACCTGTAGATCTTTGTTGATATTATGTAAAAACGTAACCTTCGGCTTTTCATTACATATTTCAAGATATTCTTGAACAAGTTGTAATCCAGCATTTTCTGATTTTCTTTGTGTCCAACAATGATTTCTTATTAGTAGCCATGTTTAACTATAGTCAAAAAAGTGGTCGGAAACTTGCAAATATTTATCTTGTAAATGTTATGTTGTATAATGTACAAAAATTATTTTTAATTCCTTGTTGCAAATATTATACTGTTTATTAGTCAGTTGTCATAGATTTTTATACGCGGGATACCATAAAAACGAAAATTGTGAGATTATTGTTTATAATATATAATAATCAAGTTCAATCAGCCAATATTGGCTGATTACCAACGTTTAAATCATATTTTATAGTTCATATAGTGGCGCAATGGTTAAGTAGGTAGCTTATAACTTATATTAGGTGAGTAATTGTAATAAGTAGGAAAAGATACGCAGGTCCGAGTTCAAATCCTACGTCTGATCATATTTTCTGCTTTGGACTACCTATCCGCCAGTTTCAAGGTAATCTTAAAAGAAATTGTCATAGAATAGACGTTAGGATTATAATGGAAGTAGAATAGAATTACCGCCATTAATTTCCCAGTAAACTTGCTCGGGATTACTTGGGATACCTTAGGGTAATTGCTGCGCTGTGCCGGAAACTCTTGAATTTGCAAAGTAGATTCAAAAATATCTTTTTTTTAATTTCTGTATACAATTTGATAATACATACGGATTTTTTTTAGGCAAGGCGAAGTGAAATCTTTGTGTATTTAGTCCCATTAATATTGTTTGCTTTAGGTGTCGATAAATTAATTGTTAAATGTCCGTAAAGTGTTGTAGTGAATTGACTCAAGTGTCATAGGCCAAAGTTATTAATCACAGACACATGACGTCAAAACTATATATTTTCTTCGTGATTTTAACATCGGAGTTTATATACCTATATTTGAATCTTTCATAAATATAATATAGATACAGTGTTATACGAACATGTGTAGCTGTGATGGCGTGTTTGGAAAAATACTAGTAATAACTAGGTATATATACTAGTATACATATTATTACGTGACTTTCAAACTTAAAACTGAATCCAAGGACGATTTAAAGTTCACAGATACATATAAGAAGGTGAAACATAATCATATTTGTCGAATGTTTATCAATATGTATACGGTATCGCATTAAGCACCGAATTCCGTTTACGAGGCACAAACTATAATCACAAAGAAAATCATTAATATTGTGACAGGCCTATTGTTCCGGAGAAAAATGTCAATAATACCATTTATAGTATTAATATAAAATCTTTTTTTGTCATTTAATTTAATAGATGATTCAGTATAATATAATAATATAAGGTAGGTATATATAATGTATATGCATGTATGTATATATATATTTTTTTTCCAATTGATATACAGGGTGTTGTTACACCCGGTAACAACACCCACATTTGACATTTTTATATTAAAGTTAGATGCAAAAATGTCATATAGTCCTGTTACACTCTGTATAGTATGCCTATACTTTAAACAGTAGAAATCCTACTGGGTTTTGAATGGAGTGATGCCAACGAACTTGCCAAAACGCGGTTTAAACACGCTAGTCATTCTATGGCAAACACAAATACGATAAGTTTGCTAATTTTATTGGCGTAATTGTAGTTTTTATTTTTATATCAATTGTAAAAAAAATACAGAGACATTTCCGTTTTCGAAAATTATAAATTACATCAAACTTATTGTTTTAAATACTAAACATATTATTAGGAAAATTTAAATAGAATAAAGAATAGTTACCTATTATAAAGGCTATATATTAGGTACCTAATAAATCTAATGTGTAATATATAATAATAGTCAAGTGGGTACCTAGTGAATTTAGATACAGTCGGTTTAAGTTAAATTTACATGCAAATAAAGGAATGTTAATAACTGTGTGTAATTTAAGAACACACAACATAGTTGTACTGGACAAAGTTTTAATAGTATGGTTATCATATTATATTTTTTTATTATAGCGTGAAATACTTACGTAAACAAAGAAGTGTAAATTGACCGCATGCGAAGATTTAGGCCCGCACTTTAACGTTGAACTGCCACAACAACCTGTGTCATCGCCACATACATGAAGCACTGTGCACGAGGGCATGTATATCTTATTAGAGCTAGGATATACGTCTGAAACCTTGATCACTTTCGCCCTAGGTACTTTACACGACGCTTCTTTCGACATGCGTATTTGATGATTGTAAGCTTCGTTGTTATCTAAACATTTTTTTTTTTTAATATATATATTATTATTTTAATTTTCACTATTCCTATCCTATAGGTATGCATAAAATCAGAAGGTATAATAACTATTAATTATTATTATTGGGGTGGTAAAATGAAATTAATTCATTTATTAATATTGTTGTTATTATTATTTGTTGCATTAAGTGATAATTTTTGGAATCAAAATCAGTTTTAATTACACACAATCTATATAATACTACAGGCTATGTGTTTTTTCGTATTTTGGTATTTTATTTGTTTATTATCCACTCGTGTATAATATGTATTTTTAAAATATTTTATTGTTAATCCATTTGGTTTTTTACTCATAGAAATATAAATATACTTAACTCAATAAATTATCTTTAATAATTTGTCAAATTTAAATAAAATTAATAATTTTTGATAACGTTTGTTTGTTACAGTAATAGTTTTTGAGCCGACCGTTAATCAAAAATGATTTTGTTACATTAATAAGGTGTATGTTTATTTTATTTGTTTTTTTTTTTTAGTACAATAATAATATTATTAATATAATATTATATTAATTTAAAAAAATGAAATTCATAAGTAGCGAAATTATTGCTTAGAAAGGCAAAAAACTATACATTTAATGATTTTTTTTTTTTATAACCCTAGATACATATTTATTTTTATTCTACCATTCAACATTTTTTTTATAATTATTATTAAAATATTAGTTCATTGCTATGCGAATAAATAAGATTTGTGCATTTTCATTTGAAATGTTTGATTTAACAAACATAACTTTTATTTAACAACTGAATCGGATAAATTTAAACATACTTTGAAACTGCTTCATCCTGACTGAACTGCGCATAGTCTCTTCAATCGTCCTCCTAGATCCGAACAATTTCCATTTATTTTCGGATAACGGTGACATGGTTCTCGTCGGTTCAAGTTTTTGAATGTTCTACAAATATATAATATGATCATATTAGACAATGTAAATTTTATTTAATTTAATATTATATTTTTTATCATTTAAATAAATCCGATTCTACAATTTTTAAACGATTACTTAAATAATATACCAACATTAACATACCTAAAGCTTCTATCAAGATAATAAATTACATTTTTGATTGTAGAAAAATATAATTATTTATGACCAATGAACTGACTGATAATTCCGATTGCCCGAATAGGCGCCTTATAAACTCACGATCACTATACACTATATGCACATGTAGTAGTTTTATTCTGCTTATTTAGTAACAAATTCGTCGATATTTTGATCTTCTATCAGGAACCGGACGATCTCGATATCATAAAAAATTATTACCTAAAATCAAGAATTCTATTTTCGACAATTTTAATAACCAATACGCTCTGAATCTAAAATGTACACCCGTGTATTGGGTGTTTTCAATACATTGTATTGAAAAACTAAAATAACATGATTTTTTGCAAATTATTAATAATTTATAGCTATTATTACTAACATAATATGTAAAAGTATTTTAAACCGAAATCTTGAAATATTATACATATAGGTAATTAAAATCTAAAATATTATTTTAATTAACAAAAAAAAAAGAAGAAAAAAACGCATATTAAGTTTCTGTTAAGTGGCATTGCCACTCACAGATAATTATAGTTTTAATTTCTTATTACAGCACAATATTCGCACTGTAAGTTTAAAAATAATTATTTTCAGAAATTCACGGAAATCGAATTGATTATATTTAACAGTTAGAAACAAATATATTGTATTTATATATTAAATTTAGTTTATTTATTTGTGCACGAAATGTTGATGTACTTAAATTATTATGAAGGATCGTTGTTTAATATTGACGGAGGTATATTCGTGTAATAATTATAATTATTATTTACTGTTTAAAACAATAGACTGGTTAATGAAGCGAACAAATAATTTCTATACCCACTTTTATTAACAAAAAACCAAAAAGAAGAAATGCTGAATATGAATAAATATTCTTAATAACTAGTTTATCGTGTTATATGGACCTATTGATTTGGTACCAGTATTTATATTTTTTAATCATTATTACGCTATTTCATTTTATACGGTTCGCTATTCCATGACGTTAATTACCTTATATATACTATATTATAGTCGACAGCAAGCTGTTAATGTTGTTTTTCGTCGATCTATAATAGTAGTATATATTTAATTATATAATACAAATTTACATCATCCAATTGAACGTCTTGCATGCACATAATTATCACTTGTTGAACACTTTTCAAGTTTAAATACCGCGATTCGTATCTGAACCGAGGGGGACTAAAAGAGGCGATCGAGCCGGGTGCCAGACAATACAAGAATCTAGCGATGGATTGTAATTAAATGGTATAATAATAGATTAGGTATAATCCAGAGAGCATTTATGAAGTGTATTTATTTAATACATGTTTACTTCTCATTTAATTTTAAACTTTAAAAAATTAACATATATGTTATACAAGGCATAATTATTTCTAAATGCTGAACTGTTAACATTTTACCACATTTAACATCACATTTAGATATTAAAATGGTAATAAGATATAAATATGGAATACATGTTTCAATATAGAAATTTAATACAACTTATAATTTTAAATCCGAGTGTTACTGCTGGGTAGCTTCTCTCCTCACTCCTTCATGTCATTTTTTTTTTTTTAATACATCTGAACGCTCAAATGTTCAATATAAATATCATTATAGATTGTATATATAATAATAAATGTTAAAAAAATAAAATTATTTTGAAACTTAATGGGATTATTAAGGTGGGATACATAAAGTTATTTAAATTATACCTGTAAGTAACGATGACAATCTTGTAGAGTAGAATAAGTCAGAGGGAAAAGAAGAAGAAGAGAAGCAACGATAAACAATTTCTAACGAAAAACGATTTAGAGCAAAGTTCGTTTACATATGTTTTGAAAGACCATATTATTTACGATTTTGGTCAAAATTTGATTTTAAAACTCTTATAAAAAAGAAAATACTACATTACAGTAATTTTTTTTTTTACCACTAAGTACGACTTATAACGAATCTCTTGTTAAATTTTATTTGGTCACACAATTTTATTCACAGAGTACCTAACTGAATAAATTTTACGTATATTAGTACAAATCTCACAAAATTAAAATGTCTATAAATAACACAATTTCTCCACATTTATAAAAGGCAAATATAAGTTTCCTGTCCAAACTTCAAGTCTTTGCATACATATTGAACTAAATTACAACAAAAAACCAAAATTTACAGCAATAAAAATATTATTTTTATACATTTTCTCGTTTTTATCTATATTTTTTCCCGGTTTTTCTCAATTATTATGAAAACTGCATGAAAAATTAAAAAACGAATTATTTAATTAAAAATGTATTTGAAAATTAAACAAAAAAGATCACTTGTCGTTTTTTTATTGGAGCAATATTTATAGTAGAATACATAAACCGTAAACATGTAAAATAATGAAATCGCTACGCCGTAATTTGAAAAAAAATCGTATATTACGTCTTTTTGATTATTCTCAATTATTATGAAAACTACTTTGGATATCAAAAAACGACTCTCTTTACACGTGGTTATTTATTAAAAGGAACAAAATCTATATCTTGTCATTTTTCAATTGGAGTAATATTTCTGGTAGAAAACATCGTAAACAAAAATTAAAAATAATGAAAATGGTAATACCGCGACGCGCCGTAAATGTTTGCCGTTTTACCTAAAAATCGTTTTCTAGTTTTTCTCAATTATTCTGAAAATTCATCAGAAAATAAAAAAAATTACCTATACAATGTACTAACTAGAGAAAATCACTTTTCAGAAAAAGCACTATACTCTATACATCGGGGCAAGATATATTTTCGAATAATTGTTTGCATGCAGAAAAAAAATAAAAAAAAAAAACTCACGTCATAGTAAAACCAATACAACCCTTGCTACACAATAAATAATAAATACTTAATAATTAAAATAAACATAGAATATTTTAAGTTTTTAATTCCTAACTACTAATAAAAACATGATGTTATGACTAAACCACCTTTACTTTACACTGATAAAAAAATTATTAATTGTTTTGTATTATTATTAATTTATTACAGATTCTATACAAAGTATAAAACAATCTTTGGTGTTCAAAATTCTGATATTGAAGATTGCATAAAAGTATACTTGGCACAAGCACCATTCAGACTGCAGATGGTACAAAATAAATACGATAAGATATTTGGTTGTTCACTGAATAATTTATTATAATAATTATTATATGTTATGTGTATAAAATTATAATATATAAATACAAAATTATATGTAATATATATTATATATTGGTATTTTATATATTATTATATTAATATGAATTAAGAATAAACAGTTTTTATTAAGATTTTGTTTTTTATTTAGTTTAGATTTCCTCGTATCTTAATAAATATACTTTAGGAAATTAAATTGTTTGAAAAATGTTTAAACTAAAATTTAATAAGGTATGAATGTATTTATTAGGTAACTACTTAGTTACTTAGTTTCAGCATTGTGTAATCATTAGGTTATCGATTTTAAATTATCTGATAATTCACATTAGATATATTGATATATACTCGAAATAAAAATAACATAAAATTCAAATAAAAATCAAACAATAATGATCGTTACACATATTCACAATTTAAGTCTTAGTATAAAAATTGTTTAAACCGTTTAATTTCTTACATAATAAAAATGTTAAATAATTTCAAATTTAAAATAAATATGGTAATTGTTTGCATGCCGCAGCATTATTAAAAATTCACAAAAAAAGATATAAAATAATATGTTGTTAATATTGCATACATGTTCATATAATTAATTGCGATTTAGCAACATTTACTTCTGGCCGTTTCTCTCCAATCAGTTCATGGATCCGCTGAACCTACGTCCGTTTTTACGGTGACTATTTTCCTTTTTCAATTGCCACTATTCTCATCGGTCAGTCCAATACTCTTATTAGTAAATGGTCGGTGTCTCCGCGACGCGGAAATTCCGGTAATTTGTTGCATACAGAAAATGATACAAATATGCATGTGCACGTGTGTGCATAATGCAACTTATAACCCACGCCCGCCAGTGATGTGTTGGCCACATAAATCCATGAGCTCACATAATATAATAATACTATATACTCGTACAATGGTCCTATTGTGGCGCCTACGCCGTCGTCGTCGCCGTGTGAACGCGATCGTCGGGTTTTGTATTAACTGTTATTGTAATACTCCAGTGCCGATTTTTACAAACGCAAGCTTTTGTGTATAGGTAAACGTATATATATATATATATATATATACACATATAAATACGATAATCACACGTGACATTGTGTATACATTCGGTGTATTTATACACGATAATATAAGACACGTCTGCATTATTCAGGCCGGTGCAACTCTATAGGAGCGATTTGTACGGTGTAGTTTACGTGGTACAACCACCGGTCGCGCAGCATAACATCGTTAGTCGTGATTATTGCTACATGGACCATGGTGAGTGTAACGTTCATTTTCTCAGTTTTCCGTAACGGATTTGAGGACGATTTTCTATGATCCAAGTATCGCCGCATCGTTTTAATTCAAATATTTATGTTATATCATTGTTATATTTAACAGTGTCCTACGGAGATTGATAAATGTAATAATTTTTGTTCTGTTCAATATTTTTAAGATTTTATTTTTTGTAATAGCTACTAAAGTCTTGCGCTATTATTGTCATATTTAATATATTTGAAAACAAAATGTTAGTGTTTTATAAATATTAACTAATTCTCGATATATTGCGTTTCAAAATGAATTTACAAAATGGCTTGAATTAAAAAAAAAAAAAAAAAAATGTATAAAACAAGAATTAGAGTGTAGGCTCTAGAATTATTATAAAAAAAGAAAACTTAAAGTATTAAACAGAACAAAAGTTACTGCATTTATCAAATTTCCGTGGGACAATTGCATTTAAAATGTATATAGGTATAATGTAGTTTATATAAAAACTGACATAAAAAACAACTCAAAGAATGTACCTAAAATCAAAATGTGTAATGAATCGTTAATAAAAATAACGGTAACAACGAATACCTGTAATAGGGATAAGATTGAAAACGAGGAACACATTAAATTGAACTTCTTTTATTTATTTTTGTGTTTGAAAATATTTAACCTGGAAATTACCAGGTAATATAGCTAGTATAACATGTTTATAAAAACAAAAGATAAATTATTAATTCTTAAATTGTCATTAAATTGACTACTAAAGGACACAAACTTGATTGCTACGTATGTTACATATAGGAAGCAATCGCTTTCAATAGGCTCCGCCCAGAAAAACCGGTATTTTTTAAACGAAATCTTCATCATTAGTGTTTAAATGTTTAAAATGTGTAAAATAATTAAATTTAACATTGACGATTGATAAGAAAAAAAATTATGTCAAATAATACTTCTGGACCAATGACTATGCTAAATGCCAATGTAAGTTCACTTCTCTCGAGGGGGAGGAGGATATTGATATTCGTTAAGTTTAAATATTGTATAGCTCATGTTAGTTTCTAACTCATTAGGTAAGTTTTCAGTTTGAGTAAAATTCGTGCTAGAGAAACGATTAGATAAAGATTTTATATTATAGGAAATTAAAAAGAAGTAAATTTGTATACTATATATATACTATGATGACTTGCTTTTAATAATGTAACATTTGTGTGACATAAATATGTTTTGAGGGAAGGAGTTCTAAATTATAAAATATGAAAATAATGGTTTTATCCTCTGTATTAGAATATTGTGTACATTGTAATATTGTACATTAATATTAAATTTTTAATTATTTTGCTCAGCAGGGCAAAATTATGAGCAGGGGGGCTCATAGCTAAGGTCTGCAGACTCTCCTGATCGGTTATAGTTGTGTTAATAGTTGGTATGAATTATTGTCAAATATTAAATAGTTATGACGTTATGTACAGTATCTATAATGACGTTTAAAATTTAAATTTAATATTTAATAAATGTTAACCGGTAAAATAAAAATAATGTGTAAAAATGAAAAATTCTAGACCTTTAATGACGTCCAATAATATTGACCAATGTATAAAAATAAAAAAAAATTGCTATATTACATAATATTATACCATTACAATATTTAGAAAAATATAAATGAATATTCGATTAATGTATTAATTGAAAATTGAATAACTTTTAAACTAAAATAAAATAATAACTATAATATTCTTATTTCAAGAAAATTATTATTAAGATCTGTTATTTAAGTAAATCTATAAATTCAAATCGTTGTACAATTATAAATAATAATAAAACGTATTAAAAAGAATATTGATTAGTGAATTATAATAATAATTGGTAAATTATTGATAGGTAAGTATTTTAAAAATCAGAGTAATCAGATATTTCTTGAAAAATAATATATTTTACGATGATTTATTATATTTTGATAAATACATATTTTAGCGAATTACGCAATTGTGTACCTATATAAATAGATTTATCATTCACACACAGTAGTATCAATAATAAGTATTATAGTTTACATAAAATTATAGCAACGAAACATATTATTTACTTAAAATGCTTAAAATAATAAAATAGGTACAACTAATATTATAAGCAGATGAGTAGGAGAAAATTAAAAACTATACACACGTACAAATTAATATTTCATTTACATTTGAATTTATATTATACTACGTGAAATAAAAAAATATTGAAGTTTTGTTTAATGTGAAATGTACACATAAATCAGATAAAACCATTAATAAAATGTAATTGTAGTACCTATACGCTCGTACCTGCACAGTTTGATAAAATGAAACGTAACCTATCTAAAAGTTATATATTTTATATAGTACCAAACGAAAGTATAAGAATTCAACATTAATTTAGTGTTATGATTAGATGCTTAATATAATACTGACTGTATGTACTATTTACACTTGTCACTTTGTCAATGGGGGGGACGAAGTAATTAAACATTTAATATTAATGTAAACAATTATTTATTTGTTAAAGATAAACGGGCGTAAGCCCAGGTTACAATTATGGTGTAAGTTGACAAAATACGATACATATTATAAATGTAGAATAAAGGCACAAGTGTAAAAGATAACAAAAATAAACGTAAACATCGAATTTTAAGTCTCTACAAATATGTTTAACTGAATCACAACAAAAAACAAATTTGAAAATAATACATTTAATTAAAACGTAAATTTTCCCATTTTTGCTACGTATTATCCTAATTATTATTAAAACCACTCATCGGTCTCTACCGGTGTAGTGGTCGCAAATGGTGACCTCAACGTTAATATGTCATCCCGAAGATTGAAAAACTAGACTCGTCTTTTTTTTTTTATTAATATTTTTATTCACTATATGAACATGGTGCTAATGTCCGATACGTATAAACAGTGGCGTAGGATTATGTAATGGAGGGGGGAGGGTTTGAAGTATGAATTATACTATTAGCTTTTTAAAGTTTTAGATTCTAAGTGGAGCAAGGAATGTATTGGTTTCACAATGATATAAATTTATTCTATTTTATTTTCTTTATTGACATCTTTTCTACCAGAAATTTTACTCAGATTTACAATAATAACACTTTTTCTAAAAGGAAATCTGACTGAGGAGGTATTTTAAGGAGGTCATTTTTTGATTTTCTCATGTGTTTTCCCAATAAATTGGAAAACCCGAGAAAAACCCCGAAATGAATCTCTGGTTCCTCAGTACATTTTTTTTTTTCATATATTTTCCCCATTGTATTGTACCTCATCGAACGACCCGGTGACTGAACCATATACTTTCAAAAAAAGGTCGTCGTTCAAAACCGCACACTTGTATGTAAAGTTTTCTCAAAATGATACCATTCAATACCGCACACATTTTACTTTGTGCTCTATTGGCAAACGTGGTTTTATCCAACAAATTGAGAGTTATTTTCGAATAAAATTGTCCGAGTGAGCGTAGTGAGCGAGTGACCACATTGGGTCTCTAATTCCACCTATAATGTTTTTCACTATTCCTTGTTACCTACCCTACGTAGTTTTGCACCATAAATCGAGGGTTATTTTCGATTAAAATTCACAGCGAGTGAAGACCAAATTGGGTCTCTTAATTCCACTTATAATGCTTTTTAATGCCAATTAAATGTTTGCGGTTTTGAATTATCGACCTTCCAAATTTCCATTTTTAACAATAGACAAAATTTGTGCGATATTGAACGATGTAAAATATGCGGTTATGAACGGTAAGTATGCGGTTTTGAACGAAACCTGGACACCGACCCGTGACCACACGCACACGTCTAATTTAAGTTAATTTAAGTTCTTGTTACGAAGTTCAAGTCTTCGTGCGACCACATTTTATTTTTAAAGATTTTTCCTCTCGAGCCTCGAGGTAGACCGCCACTGTGCTCTAAATTTAGGTAGTTTCCTTGTGAGGCTGTTATAGTACATATAAGATATAATATTATTTTTTAATTATTATTTTAATAATAATTTTCTCAATCGTTTACAAGCTTATAATATATAAAATATGTCATCGCTACCGTTTATATTACCAACTCCTTTTGATGGCACACCTGTTATACACGTCCGTCACAAACAATATTTTAATATTCACAATAGGATCGGTATGGCGATAATTTGCTACTGTATAGTCATCGCGCTGTACAATTCGTCTAATATCTGGACACGCCGCCAGTGACAAATACGGGCATTGTGTTATTTCAGATCCCATTTATGTTTTTTTTTTTAATTTAATTGTTATATAGATGTTGTATTGAAATGTGGACTCCATAATAAAATACAATTTTCGAAATTGGTTAGACATATTACATGCGTTGTTTAAGTATATTCTGGTTTAACCTATAAAACGTCTTTTGAAAGAGTTAGAATATAATGTTTATATGATATTGATAAACAATATATGCAAACGAAAAAAAAACGTGGTTTATGGAACCAGCGATAGGTGGGATGGGTGTATCTATAGAAGAACTACATGAGTAGAGACCACACGTACTATATATTTTGCGCAGGCTTTCAAGTCACGTCTTAAGGAATTTGTACAAACAAAAAACAGTTTATTTCAACTGTTTTACATTCGATTTGAGTTGAGACGATTGTACATGAATTTCCAATTTTCAACGTGGTTCTCAGTGGAAACATGTATATCGTGCCATTAAAATATGACCGTTTTTTTATGCCTCGCTGTAACGACTACAAATTTAGTAAGTACCTAGTTATAATTTTTGTTATTTGTAATCGTACATTTTTTTTTTTAAAATTCCGTCGTATTTTTATAGCATTTTTTTTATAATAAATGTAATTCTTTGTATCATTGAATGACTGAATAGATAGGTATACTTTAATAATGATAATATAACTACATATATTAGCTATATGCATGAGGTTGATAGAGTTATACATTTATTTGAACAATTTAATATTGTACATTATATTTATGTAACTAACATATTTTATTTAACAAATGTGATAAAAAAATGATATTATATATCTTTTTAAATACCTCGTTGTAAGTAAAATCGTGTTAAAAAAATAGTAGTGTAAAGAAACATCTCATTTAAAGCAAAAATATAACCTTAGGATGATTATGTATATTTTGTATTGTGTAGGTATTATAAGCGTACTATAATATATTTGCTCTTGTTATAGTAGGCTAGTCTCCTGCGGTCGTATAAAGCCACCGGACAATATCTCATAAAATACAACCCCCCTCCCCCCTCGAATAGAAAACGTGTCATGGTAAAGAATTCGGAGATATATTCAACAAAAGTATAAAACAGCTTTTATTTCATTAAAAATTAGTATAAGATTAACTCGGCCTAATGATTTAATAAAACATCAGACATAGATGCGCATTGTTGTGCAGACGATATAGACCCCGGGGTTGCGCTCGACATTGGCCCAGTAATTATTACCGCACATTGACAAGGGAGTAGGGAACTTAATGTAATAATATCTTATAAATAATTAGTTGCTTGCCCCTTTTGTTATCATAAAAAAATTAATGGTCAGATGACGCCAAAACAAGGACACAGAACCTAATAACGACTGAGCAAGACTTCATATAGAAATTCAATTGATTTTTGACGTGGGTTTTTCGATGGATACTCGTGACACCTAGCTCTAAAATAACTTGAAAACTGTTCATAGATACTTTGACATTTAGAAAAAAAAAACTGTTTATATATAAAATAAAAGACCATAGCAATTATTTAGAAAGAATCAGTAGTTAAAAAACAGAATGTATACCTGTATAAACTCCCTATACTACATTGAATACACAGGGGAAAGATTCGTGATGTATAATTATGTTTGAAAAAAAAATCAATGAAATCGTTTTAAAAAACAACTTGTTTTTTAAGGCACATAAATATAATAATATAAGGAAGTATGTGGAATTAACTCATCACAGAGTTTCTAGTAATAATATTATTATCTGATACCCGTCGTGTTAATAAAAACTCAACAATAATAAACATTAAAAAAAAAAAAACAAATCAATATTTAATTAATATATGTAACTAGATAGTTAATTTATAAATAAATTAATATTGATCAATGGTCGGTCAACACTCAACATATTATAATTATTAGCACCGATTATAATAATATATATGATATTATTGTACTCAGTTGTACTAATCAAAGCACATTACCTACTACTACTGTTATTATTATTAATCGTAAACAATTTATACTACAGTTAAATAAATAAACGTAGGTATACAACACTTTAATTCGGTTTTTCGTAACCTGGGGGGATGCGGCGTTCAGACTTCTTAACCTATAAAGGGACTGCAAAATAAAATATTCGTGATCATTTTATAAAATAAATATTTTATGATGTTTTAAGAGTCTTACGCCCCCTAAAAATTTGGTGTCCGGGGCCAAAGACTCCTTTGGATCCCTCCCCCTAAATACATCCCCGACTGCTACAATTATTATACTATAAAATACTAATATAGTTTTAGTAATTTGAACTTTATCGTTTGTAACTATTATTTTACGTAATAATAATTAAGAAATTTATTTTTGCGATTAATTAGTGTTAGTAACTATTAATATGGTAGTTTCTTATGCAAATATTTATTATTACCACCTGTTCGAATATCGCAATATTATTGCTTAAGGCAGGTGTGTATTATAATATCAATATGGTATCTGGGCACATCCGGTGAGTACCTATCAGCTACACTTTAATAATTATAAGACTATACACAACATTGTTATAATATACGGATGTCGTGTGTGATGTCTGTTTGTTAGAGTACATCTTAACCGATATTTTAAAATCGATTGTTCTTCGTTCAACATAAACAGTTATCGCTAATGATGCGTAAAGTTTTTTTTTTTAGTCTAAATGTAAAAATTACGTCCCTATTCAACGCTTTTCGTTCGTCTCGCATATGACGGTGGCGATGCCGGTTTTGTATACATACACATTAGACGGGTTGTACGCTTTCCGGTTTCGTTTTTATTTTTTGTTCTCGACGCGTAAATATTTACGGGCAGTCCGTCCGATTATCGCCGATAGAAAAATGAGTATTACGTACCTACATACATTAAACAGGACCGTATGTCTCATATTTATCTTAAAAGAAAAAAATATAGACAGATTTTTCGTGGCTTTAGTTCGCATTCCATTAGGTATTGAAATTGAATGAAGGATTTTTTTTTATTCAAAGTCTAGACACGTAAATATATTTAAAAAGAAATAATTTTCAATAATATAATATTCTTATATAATGGACATTGTACCTATTCATAATTTTTTTTTAAATATTCTTCTTCTTTTCCTCTGTCTCTTTTCCTGGTAATTATTCAGGGTCTTCCGTCTTGGACCTAAATCTCTTCCTGACTGGGTCTCCCACATCACTATTTTGTCTCCCGATAGTTTTTAGAATGATACCAATAATACTTGGTGAATATAATACGAGTTTTCATTACGCGTTTTACTACGGTTACCAGATATTACGAATTGCTCGACCACGCGTTAATGAATAAATGACAAGCTCGTAAATAGAGATTTATAGGTTTTTTTTCTGTTTTTGTAATAACTAATAATACGAATAACCTTCCCCCATCGTCGTATACGCACAGAACTAGGAGTGAGGGGGAAATTGAGAATTTGTTTTATTTCGGCAATAATAATATAATAAATAATAAATTATTGTACACGCAGTATACTATATAGATTGAAATTTTAATTGAACACGCGGCGTGGCAGAACACATAGGTTTATTAATGTTATAATATACGCGTATGTCGTATTATACAATGAGCTTATATGTGTATATTATACATACACGAGTATATACTGCAAAGTGTAAAACAATGACTTCCGATGAATGGACCTAATAAAGACGTCGACTGTCGTCTTCGTTATTGTATTCGTGTGCCGGTGTCGGCGTATAGTATTCGGGCGGTAAGTTTTACGTGTGCGTCAGACGCATGGTAGCGGAGCCACAAAATAATAATAATAATTGTTATTATTATTGTCGTGATGTTCGATGATAACAATCGAGAAAACTACCTGTTGTACCACGATTGTCAGAGCTGGATGTTGAAAAGAACGTAATGAAAACATTATTTTTTTATGAATATATAATATATATATGTAGGTAACATCGAAATTCGTAAACAAACCTATTTCATTATATTATTTAAGTTATACCATCGGATGGATGGTAATGATTTTTTTTTTATTCAACTGACATCATACGGTCATGTTTAAAAAGAGCTGATACAGGGGACAGGAGCGGCAACTGTTCTACGTAAGAAGTTGGGAAGGTAGGATACATAAGGTTATTTCATTTATATCTGTAAGCAACGAAAAACTGTTGCTTGACGAAAGACGATTCCGAGCGCAGTTCGGTAATACATAATTTGAAGTGCCGTAATTTTTTTTTGCTATTTTTGTTTAAATTTAATTTTAAAATGCTTATTAAAAAAAAAAAGTCCGATGATTTTTAAAATTTTATCACGTCTAGGTAAGTCTAATATAAGTAGTATTATTACCAAGATTTAAGTCTCTACGTGTATTTATAACTGAACTACAACAAAAATTAAAATTCCTTAAAAGCTCAAAAATGGCTTAAAAGTTTTGGTGATGATACCGTAAGAAATTAAATCAAAAAAAGTGTCTTGTGAGTTTTTGATTAAATCATTTTTTCTGGTAAAAAAACGTGCGTGTTTTTATAAAATGAAGCCGAAAATCAAAACATAACCTGTTTAAAGTACCAGCTAGACAACTTGAGCTTTCAGAGAAGTTGTTACACGTAAAAATTGGAGCAAATTCACTAGGAAAAAACGTGGTCACAGACTAGAAGAAAGTAATATAAAATAAAGAAGAAAGAAATAAACAACATTGTAAAACCAATGGCTCCCTCGCTATGCTTGGAATCTAAAATGACTATTCCGAATTTTTTTTAAAGTTTTTATTTTAAGTCTCTTCTCCCCCCCCCCAAAAAAAAGGCTATATTGAAACTACAGCGCAGAAAGCGTATTGATTATTTAAAAATATATTTACTAAAAATATTGAATAGAACAAAAGTTGTTTTTATGACAGATCTTCCTGTTACACTCTGTATATTAAGTATAGAGTAGGGATAAACAAATTGAAAATAGTTTTAACAATTTCACAATGATCAAAAAAAATATAAATTAAATCCACTTAAAATCCATTTGAGAAAATTGCTGGTTTATGATAAAATGATCACTTTGTATACATTTCGTTAATAATAATATTATATTTTTTACGTGTATAGTATTATTGGCAAAACCAAAATTTCGCACTCTATCTCATATTTAGTTTTAATGTATTGTATACAGAACTAATAATTTTGTGTAGTTATTTGAATACCAATTCATTCGTTATCCATTTTTATGCAAAATATTTTGTTCACACCTTTAACTATCGTTGCAATCTACGCACATGGACATATACAGCAATTTAGAATATACCTGTTGTGATTTTATCCTTACAGATATTTTGACAGTTAAATCATATGTATATTAATTATTATTCCATATTAAAATTCCATCGACATGAAATCATTTTGTAATTTAATAGTTGATCGCCGACGAGTAATAACTCGTATAATAATTGTATTTTACTGCTACTATTATGAGTAGGTGTTATATTATCTTCCCTGTAATCTGTGTTGTAAAATTATTTTTATAACCTTCCTGCACTGTTGTAAAAACGTATATGGTTTGTGATTCTTTTTCAAGTAGTTTGGGAGAGAAGTGATGACAAACAAGGCTGGAATAACCTAAAAGGCGCCCCTAGCAAATAAAAATACAAGCCCCGTTTTTAGAACATAGACCACTAGCTCTTTGTCAAATTATTTAACAATTTTCTTTGTCTACGAGTATATAAAAATGTATAATAAATTAATTTAAAAGTATTTTTAAGTCAACCTAAACAAAATATTCCACTTTATTCAAATTAAACAAATTACTTCTATCCATTTTATCCAACCACACGTAATCCCACGTTTCACATGTTCATGAAAGCTACCGCTCTTTTGTACAAAAGATCCTAGGTACTTAAAACTCTCAACCTCGCCTATAACTGTGTATTGTCGCTTGCTGTGTTGTCCTATTTCTCCAAACTCATACTCTTTTTTACTTTTACTTATACTTAGTCCCTTTGATTCAAGTGCTACTCTCTATTCCTCAAGCCTACTGTTAACTTATTCCATATTGTCTCCTATTAAAGCTACATCATCATCTGTAAAACATCATGCACCATGATACCTTCTCTCACCTGTTGTCCCCGCGTACATCTGAGACAGGACAATCTGCTAAATTTTTTTTTAGAACTTCTTATATACTATTTGACAGAATTTTACATCGGTTGTCGACCTGACGCATCTACATTTGTCGTCTCTTACGCAGGTAGATACCGTGGGAGTATTCCGATTCCTTTTCACGGGGAGCGTGTTGAAAATATTATAAATACTTATTAATATATAATATAATGTAAAGTTGTTTTGCCCATTTACCTATGTTTGAATGATATTTGGTTAATTCCGGGATATTTTTATAATTTAAGAACAGCGATAAATAATTTACAAAAATAAACATTATTTAATATCAATATTCATGTTCAAAATATTTCTAACAATTAAATAGACATTTTTTTTTTCTAGTAGATGGCGAATTAAATTCATAGATAAGAATTAAGTATGTTTAAAAATTATTAAAAGTTCTGCCAGCCCCTGAAATCGTAGTATTTCTACTTTCTAGTCTTCGATGCATAATATAGGTAATGTCTTAACGTTTAAATTTAACGAGACGTGATTCGGTTTGTTTAGTTTATTATTGTAGCGTGAAACCTTTCGTGATGTGTCATTCCGAATAAACGGTGGCGCTGCGGCGCATAAATGAGAATTACATCTCGTGTTATCTGTGTGCGGCAACAGTAATACTATTATTATTACAGTAATATTATATTATTATTGTTATTACAGTAATCTTATGATATTATTTTATTTTATCAAACAGATCGAAGAAAAATTCGTAGACGTAGTCAACAGGTGACCTTTCTTGTTATCGCCGCACTCTTTTTTTATAATAATTGATGAGGCACATTTATGTTTATATATATAAAAAAAAAAGGTCGTAATAAATATTATTATTATACACATTTACTTAAATCGCGTTATAAGCAACCGCGATTTCTAGGAAAAAAACGGCAATTATCACGAATTTGTTTTTTATGCCAAAAAACCCGACCTACTATTTTGGACCGTACCCGCAGATGGGTATACCGAGAAATTCAAAAATACGCTTCCACGTATAAAACTACAATATAACGGGAATTACCCATTTGCATCAAAATAAAAAAAGCGCCTTTTTTTTGCAACAAAATTATATTATACGATTACGTATATTACTATTAATCAAGTTATTTGTATCACTGTCTGTAGATTTTAATATTGTGTTTATTATCGTGTACACAGACTAAAAACAAGTTTTGTAACAGTTTTCTAATGTTGTAAAATGCACTGCGTTATCGGATAAGATGGATTATTTAATAGATAACAACTTGTACATCAGAGAGTATTCCGATTTAAACATTTGAGCGGTATTTGCTGCGGATTAAAAAAGAACCACTGACAACTGTGAATCTTTTCATGATCACTTTAACCAACAATATTGTATAAATCGCACTCTAATATTTTTACATTTTAAAAAATTTTTAATCAAATTCGTTCAAACGGATGTTGATATTAAAATCAATAACAGTATAAACAATATTCCCAACCATTCAAAAAATGCACAGACTAAAATCTGACTAAAAAACTTTAAAAGCAAATGAAAAACTATAAAAACATAAACAAATGAACACGCTATGAATATTATGCAAAAATAATGACATTTAATTGCAAAAAGAATAGGTTGTTTAAAAAAAAAATTGTATTCATTAAAATTTGTTCAAAAAAAAATGTGAATACTTAACAACTTATTATTATTTATTTAAACCAATTTGTATACTATTAACAATTATTGAAAAACTTTTATTTGTAATATTAAAATTAGTTTCATACATAATTATTTAAGCGTCAAAAATAAAAAAACGGACATACTTCGCGCAAACTGTTGTAGGTCATAAGTTAGAAAGGTAGGATATAAAGGAGGATTTAATGTACCTATATCTGTACGCGATGATTAATCATTGTTAACGAAAAACGAATCTAAGTGGAGTTCGGTTATACGTGTCTTGAAAGGCCGTAATGTTTACGATTTTCGTCCAAATTTGATATTAAAATTCTTATAAAAAAAAATTATACATTACACTCAATTTTTTTTTTTTTTTTTACCACAATGTATGACTTATAATAAATTAATCTTTTTCCAAATTATAAAGCATTTCTGTTTGGTCTCATAATTTTATCCATAGAATATCTACCGAATAAAAATTACGTAAAAAAAAAAATTAACATTATTGTAAAATCAATACATTTCTCGCGTAGCTCGAAATCTAAAATATACTACCATGTTTAATTGTCTATCAAATAAAGGTCGTTTTAATAAAACTCCGTATTGATTTATCAAAATTAAAGATAAAAAGTAACATAAAATAACTTATAAATAAATAAAATAAAAAAACTTTCGAGTAATATACGTAATTATGTAATCGTGTAATGTACGCAAGTAAATTTGGTGCAAACGGGCAATTGGAAAAATGTACCTTTTTTATTTTGACCCAAACGGGTTGCACCGAAAACGATTAACCTTTTTTTTTTTGGCGCTAACAGGCGATACTCATTATAAATATGTTTGACCTATATACATGTATTCCAGACCTGATTAATGTAAAGATTATTATTATTATTATACGTATTATTTTATCTGTGGCCTTATGGCTGGGTTAAGTTATACACGGAATCTCGGTTGCAATAAAGTGGCCACTTTACAAAGTTCCATCACATAACATTTACTTCAAAGTAAAGATATGCAATTTCTAAAAATCATAATATTATGATTACGTTGCAGTAGCTCTAAAATTTCCCATATGAAGTCGCAGTCTCGGTACATAAATTCACCATTATTACCTAACCTAACTTGACCTAAATCTTAGAAGTAAAATTAAATATTATCGTACATAGGTTTAACGTAAAAAAAGAGCTGATACTGGGGACGGGTGCAGTTACTGTTGTAGGTGAAAAATTAGGAAGGCAGGATACATAAAGTTATTTAATTTATACCTATACACAAAGATAAACCATTGCTTACGTAAAACGATTCGGAGCGAATTTCGATAAGAAATATTTTTAAATGCCCTAATTTTTACCATTTTCGTCAAAATTTGATCTTAAAACGCTCGTGAAAAAAAAAACGTATGTATTAAACTCAAATGAACTTTTTAGGCCACTAAGTATAATTTATAATGCATGTTATGTTAAATTTTCAAGCATTTCTCTTAGTTCGTATAATCATAGTCAAATATATATGAAAACACGAAAATAACTATAAATAGCTAGAATGTTTTAAAAATTTGACCACGTTTACAAAACGACAATATATGTATTTTGTAAAAACTACAGGCAGTATTTTTTAACCGTATTACAACAACAAATTAAAATGATGTACACTTTTCCGAATTTCCTACGTTATTTTCCAGTTTTCAGTAATTATTAGGAAAACTATACGGAAAATCAAACGACTTTCTTACTCATAAACTAGACAAAATATTCCTTCAAAAAATGTAGTATTTTTGAAATTCGGATAAAAATTTCTGGTAAAAAAATATATTCGTATTTTTCGTCTTTTTAGGGTTTCCCTAATTATTATAAAAACTACTTTAGATATTAAAAAACGACGATCTTTGTCAATGGTTGTATATTAAAAGGAAAAAATTCGATATTTTTCTATTATTCGATTGGAACAATGTTTTTGGTAGAAAACATAGTTTGTAAAAATTAAAAACAATGAAATTAGTAACGCCGCGGCCACGACGCGCCGTAAATATTTGCTGTTTAACGAATAATTTTTTTTCGGGTTTTTGCAAATTATTTTAAAAACCCCTTAAAAAATCAAAAATTAACCTTCCAAATGCACCAACCAGAGAAAATTACATTTCAGAAAAGATACTACATTCTATACATCAGAGCAAGATTGCTGGTGGAAAAATTATTCACAGATAGAAAAATACAAAAAAAAAAAAACCAATAGTAAAACCAATATACCCCTCACTATGCACCCCAAATCTAAAAAAAAAAAAAAATAACACTTTATTTAGAACCTCTTTATTAATAAACTCTAAATTACATAAAAGTCCACGCTCATTCGTATAACAACCTACAAATTATGTTATAAAATATTAGTTATAAATTAGTTATATTAGTCTTTATTCATTACATTTTTAGACAAATTTTAATGATACAATTTAGAATAGTCCAACAAATATTATACATAAAATGTACGTTTTTTTTTTTTTTTTTATTGCATATAAGTACGCATATTTTGAATAAATGAGAAGTAGGTACACGGCGTGTACTCTCCACTACACCATTACACTACTGGCTAATAACTAATAAATATAGTTTTTATGGTTTTAAATTTGTCTTGCAGGGATAAAAGGGTTTTCTTAGTCTGATGCCAAGAAACGAGCGAAAAACCGAAAAAAGTGCGAGAAGAAACACAACACAAACAGTTGTTTAAAACAATATAGTTTCAGTAAAAAAATCGTTTAGGGTTTAAAATGTTTTAACGATTCCAACGCGTACCATATAATACCATACCAATAATAATGATCCGGGTCCCGAACGAATCGAGATGACCGCATCACAGACGAGTGTGTGTTCGACATATATATGAATCACTCGCTGTAAGTATCCGTTTTTTTTCCCAAATAAACTTTAATCCATTATTATAATAAATAAATTTCATATCGACAGTCAGCTTAAAAAAAAAAAAAAAATGGTTCGGTGCCAAAGAGTCTTTCGGCTTCTGCAGTAGTAGTAGCGATCTAAAACTGCAGCTGAAATACAGCCAACAATGTGTATAGTAAAAAAATGTTTAAAAAACCTAAAAAGTGGCATTTACAGTGGTTTTTTTTTTTTACTGCATCAGCTTCTTCTGGTGGTTTATTTCAGTGCACGTGATTTTACGACTGTACGCAAATCGGCCCTAAAATGACAACCCCGTATAAACTATAAATAATGGTATTTCTATATTATTATAGTAGGTAAACCTATCTAAGTACATTAATTATCGTAACGTACATTTTTTATCGACATAGGTAATGATTTTGTAACAAACATATTTTAGTTTCCTAAGAATAAAAATAAAATATGCATAACGTGAATTTTTAATTTTTTTTTTTTTGAAGATGTATAATTACACAAAAATACGAAACATGTTTCACGAAATTAACTGATGCAAGAAAAAAATTGATTATACCATGTTAACATCGTTATTAAGTAGGTATAAGTATATAATATGTATCATCGTCATACAAATAACGTGAGCGAACTAATAGATACACAACGTTAGTACTTTATATACATACTGTTAAATTATGTTTTTTTAATATACTTATTTATTTTTAAAACATATGTATATAATATTTTTTAATGTGAGCTGACTATAATGATTACGTAGTATGAATAATAGACGTTTTCTTTTCTGTATAGTCCAACATCTTGGTATAAATGATTTCGTGTATGTGATGAACGCGAAAAAAAACTTGGCGACGCGACGTTTCGCCTATACAGTAACAATATTTTTTTGACTACTCGAGTAGTACACAATTTAGCTAAACTGAAATTTAGCGATGCAAAAAAAAAAAAACTTTCCTATGACAATGGGAACGGTGCAGTCACTATTGTAGTTGGGAAGTTGGGAAGGTATGATGTAGACGAGAATTTAATGTATATCTGTAAACAACAATTAACCATTGCTAACGAAAAACGATTCCGAGCAGAGTTCTGTTATACATGTTTTGAAAGGTCGGAATATTTACGATTTTTATCAAAATTTAATTTAAACTCTAATAAAAAAAAAAAATTGTAAACAGTACACTTAATTTTTTTTTTTTTGATGATCATTAAGTACGACTTATAATGATTGTCTAATTTTCAAGCATTTCTGTTTAGTCGAGAAATTATATCCACTGAGTACCTAGCAAATAAAGTACGTGAGTTGTTAACAGAAAAAAAAATAAACATCATTGTAAAACCTATGCGTTCCTCGCTCTGCTCAGAATCTAATACAATGAAAAAAATCAAAACCTGAATTTTATTTTTACCACTGATGTATTAGTGGTACACATTTTATGATATTGTTGATTTTTACAATGGAATTTTGAATTTTAATTTATTTTCATTCACGTGTTACACAAAAATAAATAAATTGTCTAGACGAATCGAGTATTAAAATGATATGGGTTTTACTATGAATTGCAATACAAGTGATGAAAAATGCAATTAATAATTAAATAAGCACAGAACATACGGTGGGAAAATACAACTAAAGACTAGTTTTATTGCCCGACAATTATCGCTGTACTTAATGCTTTTTTTATTGCTACCACTATTCCTATTGTTTTAGGGAGCTCGGATATTTGAATGCATTTTGCTTAGGCTGTATCCGGAATAAACAATTATTTCGAACATACAAAAGTATGCAATGTGCGTATTTATATATACACGTCTCTGAATATGACCGTACTCATATACGAGTATATTCAAAAAGTTATAAACGTAAAAAGAAAATAATAATCGAACGTATAAAAATTCACATTCGTCATATTAACGGTATAGATGTGTTAATAATTATGTTAATTATGTATAAATCCTTTAATTCGTAGATGATAAAATTGTACGAGAAAGAGCGGCGTAGATGGAGTAAATACTACAAATGCTTAAAGACACGAAATGAGAAGTTACCAAACGTTAAAATTTTGCATTTTGACAGTGAAGCATTGAGAGCTACAGTCAATCAATCGATAAATTGAAGACCAAGGCAGAAAAATTGATTGATTTTTTGCACAAATATAATATAGTCGTCGAAAAGCAACAGTTAGTGTCTAAAATAAAAGAAAAATAAACGAATAAATATTATAAAATAAATTGCCGTATAATTGTATGGATTGTTAACTTTATATACCTTTGTAGTCGTCGTAAAAAACTATAATAAGTAGCTTAAAAAAAAAAATAATGATAATAAACAATTTTAAAAAATATTCTCAGAAGGATTTAACTGCGCTCCTTTTCAATCTTCTCGGTCACACGTAACCGTGTGTTTTTATTGTAATATGTGTACAGGGTCGTAAAAATTAGTCGAGGTATCTGCGATTTCCCGCGACGAAATTACGATATATATAGTGAAGTATAATAAGTACACCACCCTGTCCCTGCAGCCATCGAACGATATACAGGGTAATCGACCTAATGTAACATCTTGGAATTTTTTCGGAATTTGTATTTTAGAATATTTAAGAAATAAATAACTCTAAAATGTTACTTTGCTTTTTTTATTGTCACCCTTATTTAGGGGGTAAACCATCTACATTTGATTTTAAAATGGCAATCTTTATTAAAAATTCCAGAAATAGATAAAATATTAGTTTAAAAAAATGTTGGTGTTGAAATTCCTGATTTCCGTCAACTCTTTGATGAGATATTTCATTTTTAAGTTCCGGCGCAGCGAGAAGCTAGTAGTGGTGTATAATTTATGTGGCAGCACGGCGTTTTATTAGTAATCCACTACTCTTTACCGACCCTAAAAAAATGAGTGTTTTAAGTTAAATGAATCATTAAGTCTATATAAATACATTTATGTATGTTTCAAAAAATAAGTATGACTGTAAATATTAAGATAATACAAGCAAGGTGTCCTTGTTATAAATTACAATAGTTTATACATTATCTATTTATGGAATTTTTAATATAGGTTGTATTTTGAAAATCAAAATTAGGAAACTGTTCCGCCCCAAAAAATAAGGGCGAAAAAGAACTAAACACAATGTGACATTTTAGAGCAACTTATTATTTCATGAATGATCTTAAAAACAAATTTTCCGAAAAAAGTGAATACTTTCCGAGATTATGGAGTGGTTTACCTTATGTCGATCACCCTGTATTATACAATATACGTACACATTGTGACACAAATGCATACGGTATCTCGGAAATCATTAAAAAAAAAAAAAAAAAAAACATTTATCGAATGTTCTCGATTCTGACGGTCGGCGGTATCGATTGCCTCCGCGACGTTTTTATAGGCCCGTATCTCGCGTGCAGAAAAAATTATGCGCACCGTAATTTTACAACAGTATCTCTCTCTCAGAAATTTTCACTGTCGGCGAATGTTTTCTCATACCACATTTATGTTACGCGTGGACAAAAATATATTGTATATTATTCCGTGTACATTCGGGACGGTGCATAGGTACTTAATATAATATTAATATCATATAATATTAATACCATATAATATTTTATTAAGTTTTATTATAATGATAATATACGCGGTCGTATTTTGTACAGCAAACGGCGCGCCGACAAAGTGCCGGAGAATGCATTCATATTTTATCGGGCCGTCCGACCGCCGCCGCGTATATTGAATAATATGTCATTTTTATTATTATTGTATGATGGTATTGTAATATAACAAAAAAATAATAATAATAACGCTTCCGTCGCTTCCGTCTTAATGGGTGGTCGGCGAATCGTATTAAATCTAATGTGATCCGTGTCTTATTATATTAATATATATATATATATGTATATACCGGGTGCACGGTAATAACCGTACAGTCGTACCGGTAAATCGTATAATATAATACGTGTTTGTGTGCACACTATATTTTACACTCCTCCCTCTAGGCTTAAGGATCGTTTTTTTTTTCGTGCAGTCCATTTCGTAAGCTTATATTATAGCTCATCATACGTACAGTATTTTTAAAAAAATTTTCACTCGGTATCATATTAATTTTAAACTCGTTATGCCATTATTGCGGAGGACACGAAGATCGAGAGGAAGAGAAATAGAAAGGTATACCTGTAGGCCTATACGCGTTATTATATATAACGAAGACACCGCGAGACTCACGAGAAACGTACCTATAAAGCATACTATCTGAAATGACCCCTTTAGGGATCATTTTCATTGCGTATACGAATCGAGCGGATCGTTCACCATAAATAATTTCCATATTATGAAGAACATAATATTACAGTTAAAATCAGATACGTTTTTTCCTAGAGGGGGGAGTCCATTACCTTTTGATCAAGTTTTATTATTATATACAGTATGTTCACATTTTCAGGAAACACTAAATATTTTGGCCAGACGACCTCGGATTTATATTCCGTTTTTGGTAGGTCATAGGTCATAGGTGGTAATAAAATAAACTGTCCGATTACTGTATTTTAGGTCATTTTTTGAGATAAAAGAAATTGCATAGATCAAAGTGCTTGAAAATAATGGTACTATTCGAATTTAGTGCTAAAGTTATATGTATTATTAAATTCAAAAAAAGTAATATGCACTGCGCATGTATGCACCGAAGAATTAGAAATTCGGAGTTTATCCTCTAGTATGTATTTTAGTATCCCTTATCATCGTAAATGGAATTTATATACAAGGTTATCCAGTTGAAATATTTAATGCTACTTGGAAACATGAATATACTGTATATTTGGAAATTTCTTGGGGTTCCCTCATATTTAGACCAAATGAGCTCAAACTAGGGACGATTTGTTTTGTAAGTGGACTGAAGTGATAAAAATTTAGTTTGATTTAATCATTTTTTTGCTGTAGAAGGGTGTTTTTTTAATCTTGTACACCACTATACAGATCCCCGGTCTAAGTTAGAGGGTGCAGTTTTGTATAGGCGTTAGTATCGGGAATGTGCCTATTAAGAGTTTTAACTTTAAATTCTCACCCTTACCATTATTATGATTATATATTTCATAAATAACTGGAAGTAACATAATATTATGGTGAAGTGTAGTAGTGTAAATTGTATTATTATTTATTATAGTATTCAGGTTTACATTGTTTTGCAAAGAATTTTTCTATTATACAAAATAATTAGGGGAGCAATTCGATACTAGTAACGGTAATCTGCTGCTCATTGGTATTTTAACGTTAACTAATCTATACAACTTTGTATGCAGATTCAAAAATACTTTCTCAAAAGGAAATTATTTTATACTGACCCTTCTCTCCTCCCGCATACAAAAGTTATTTAGTAGCGCAGGGAATCGGTATTTATAGGCGTATTATTATGTTATTGAAATATATTTAGGTATACCGCAAGTGACTTCTTTATTTAATTCATTTTACTCAAATGTAATATGTATGTAATTACATGGCTTAGCACGATGGTTTAAGAGGTTTCATTTGTCTATATACAATGTATACATACATGATATGAATGATAGTTATTCGAACCTGATGCTTAAAAAACAAAAAAAAGGTTTACGTTATTATATAAATCTTTGTTTAACGTCAATTTACTTGGAATTTACTCGTCAGTTTGTATATAAATAATTAGAGATGGGCGAAATCCCTTGAAGTAGATTTTAAGAATCAAATTTCAATCCTCTTAAAATGGATTTTGAAAATGCAATGGTTTGAAATCCCACTTAACTTTGTATATAACCAATTATTACTTTTTATTTAGAAAGGGCTCACAGTAAGTAGTGCAATGGACTATTATTTTTTTAGATTAGGCCTTGATAGGTATAGGAAAAAGGGAATGTAGCGAAAGGACTGGAAGTCTTGGGAAACGTTTTCAAAAGAATAATAAAGAGATAATTTTTGTATAGAAAATCTAACAAGCTTTTTGTATCACAAAAATAATAATTAAAATTAACATGCTATTGAAAAAATTTGAGAAAGATAACAAAAATGAAGTTCGTTTATTTCAATTTGTGTAATAGATGTAAATAAATAACTCGCGAATTATATTGCGTAATAATGCGATTGTCAATGTGACAAGTAGATGAAATAACAAAAATAAACAAATATCCGTTGGGTTATAGAATATACAAAAGCAAAATTATCATGATAAAAATCATAATGGACAAATTTCTAGATTTTCATCACTGACTTATGTAATCACAAAGAAGAAAATATTCAAAAAGCCAAGTTTTTTTTTAGATTAGTTTATTTTTTTTAAAAAACTATTGAATTCAGCGAAAAAAAAGCACTTTCAAATTTCATATTTGTAAAATCAGTTGTAATTTGGCATAAATGTCTATAGCACTCTGCTAGATTAAAACAAAACAAAAATAAGTAAGTGCTGTAAGTCCCAAAACATGATCATGATATTGTCAATATTACTTATTAAAAAAAACTTGCAGTAATAGTTTATCGATGTTTTATTGAGAGTATTTAAACAAAATTAAAATACGTCCTACTAAAGTTTTAACACAGAAAAAGAAAGAAAACAAAGCCACAAAATAATTATTTTTCTAACGATTGTAAAACAATTTCGATGGATTTACATAGTTAACTACGTCGTCGTTATAGTAATTATATATAATGTGCATTCTCCGTGGTATAGGTAAAATATGTATATCATATATATGTTATAATATACAGTAACACATTTGAATAAATAAAACAAAAATGACATTTTAAAATACAATATAAGAGGATACTATAATATATAGTATTGTTTTAACTTTAACTTTTATAAACTGTGACATTATTGTCTGTTTCGAATGTTTCGATAATTCATTCTTCAATTATTAACAAAAAAATCCTTTAATGAAATAAAAAAATTGCCTCATATTATATTAATTGTTTAGATTCTAAGTGTAGCGCAGAATACGTAGATATATTTGAAATTTTTATTTGGTTTCAGATGATCTAAAAAATAAACACAGTTTGACAACAAATTACGGATACATTGGTTTAATCATTATTAATTTTTGGATTGCCTTGAATATTATTATACAAGGGAACAAACACGACTAATATAGGTATCTCATTAGATTGCCAAGTTCCGCTCAGAATAGGTTTTGATTGATATAATTTATTTACTAGATAACCGTGAACTAAATAACACTGTACCCTGTATACTTTCCAAACGTTCAAACATTCTATTCATGGTGCAAAACAATTTACATATTTCATTTATTTTTATACGAGTTAGGGTAGGATTCTTTTAATATGAAAAACAATAGCAACTGTTCGATAAATTACAAATCAAAAGAATAACATTATTGTTATTTATAGTATGTCGATAGGAAAAGAATCATTGTGCTATAATATTTACAATTAATCGTCTTTATACGCGTCAAAAATGCACTCGTTAGCGCGTGTTCGAATAATATATAAATATATATATATATATATATGCTTGTATTATTCAACAGACGAAAACATCCGAGTGCCAAAATGTATTTTTTTAAACAAATATTTAATTGGCTATTTTATTTTGCCGCCAAAAGAAAAAAACATGCGCACAACATTGACACAAACTGCAAGATTTGTTTTTAATGAAAAATGTATGACAATATATTGGAAATCGATGTTAAATTTTGAAATTTATCAAGATAAAATCGAAATCCTATAATATATATAATGCATATTATATAGTTATTTTTTGTAATTTGCATACGCATGTATTTTTTTTGTTGTTGTTCGGCCGACATGAATTATTTTGTTTCATAAAAACAAACTTTACGAATTCAAGGAGATTTATTATTTTCAAAAAGACTAAAAAAATTGCACGTCTCAATCGTATTAAAACAATTAATATAATTATATTATATTATATATCTATTCACGCTGCTATGCGTGATTTTTAACACGTTCACGATTTTCATGGTTTAAAAATAGATTACGTGTTATTTTAACGGTCTTGAAACGTTCTCGGTGTATGGACAATCGGCGGCGGCGATTAGATTAAACATCATTTCATGACGCGATCACTTGTGAAACATGTAAAATGTAAATTTCGTTGCTCGATCATAGTTTGTCTAAGTATATATGCGCCCGCAACGGTAACACCGGAATATGCCACTCTGCGGGCGTCTATTATTCATCCGATGAAAAAAAATTAAACAGTAACAAATTACGAAACCTCTCAATATTGACCTAATATGATTACGGGTATATAGGTACTTATAATATTAATGTATTATGTAAAGCGCGCAAAAAATTAAATTAAAAAGGGCGGGCATACATCGCATAATTGGGTAGGCAACTGTTGTTGTATAGATGTGAAATTGAGAAATTAATATGCAAGTGTATAATGTGATTTGTTTATATATACTATTTTTTATATACTGTATTGGCAATGATTTCTCACTGCAAATAAAAATCTACTCTGAACGGAGCTTGGTAAATCGACAAGGATTTATAGTATTAGTATAGTATTTTTCTCTTATATACCTAACCAAAATAACCCAGTTAAACCTTATATATCAAAAAAACTAAAACCTATGTAGGTAATTTTTTTTTTGTTTTAATTTGTTTGGAAAAATGTCGGAAATTTAAACATATTTTTAAAATAAAGTACTACTAGTGTAACCATGAAAATTGAACTCCGTGATATTTGCCACCTCCTCTTCGGTAAATAGATACCAGAGATACCGCATCTTTTAATCTTTTAAAGTATGATGTGATTTATCTGTCATATAATATATATAGTGTTTTTACAAACCAAAAAATTGTTTTCCAAGAAAAAAAAAAAATCACAAAATATTTTAGTAAAACCAATAGTTTTTTTAATATATACTTCGAATCTAAAATATGTAAATTGGGTTTGTTATAACTATTGTTACCCATACGTTAAATATATATTAATATAAAATACGAATAAAAATCGTCTCGAGTATTGTAAGGTAACCTATTGCAGTGATGATCGCGTTGTAAAACCCATTAGTCATTTTCCAGTGTTCATTTGTAAAAACGGTATGTGTAAATGCTATGATATTGGAACAGCTGAAAAGCGTAATAGTCGTGACCCCAGCGAACCATAAACCGTGACAATAAACACGTCGTCTGGGATGTGAGGGTTGGTTTAAAAACTCTATGGAAAAAAAGGAAGTTCGGTTTAATAAAGAAAACACAGTAGCGTTAGTAGCTCCCGCAGTGGCGGCGACGAGGGAAACTGACCGACAATGGATATCATTTGTCACGACACTAGTTTGCGTGGCCCCTCGAAACGTATAAATCAACCACAAACGTCCAAAACGCCAATATATGTAGTTTGCATCGTGTTTTTATTAAATATTGTTCGGCTAACCGATATAATAACATAATGTACAATACATTATAATACAATAATATATCCGTCAAGAATCGCTCGTTTCTGGTATAACTTTTTGGTCAAAAATTTAAACAAAACAAGAATAACAATATATAAAGAGGACTTATTATTACAAAAGCATAAAACGTAGTATAATATTGCTCATCGTATGAAAAGGAAAACTCCCCCGATATAGACTTTAAACCTTTATTGTTCTTATCTACCCCACCGTGATTTTAAAAAAATGTTTGAAAAAATTATCGAAGGAGTGATATTATTTCGTCCAAATAAAATTTTAAAATGTCCATTAGTATATAAGAGCAGTGCAAGTATATAAATATTTTAAAATAAAAAAAAAATACTATAACACCCCTATAATAATATATAATAATTATATAACTATTATATTGATCATAGATGTATTATGTGTGATACTAAACATGAATTAATGATACCCACGAGTATTACACAAAAATAGTTGTAATTTAATCAGAGTTTAAAAAAAAAAATCAAATCCGTTATTCATATCATGCTAATAGGTGTAACTCCAAAATTAATTATATATAACTATTTCCTTTTTACCCTAGGAACTTTAATATTTGTGATCAAATAATTAAAAACTTGCCCAATTTTGCTTAATTTGTGTATATTTATGTTGGCATTCATTAAGTCTTTTATACGTGGAAAATAACGAATCTGAGGGATTAAATACATTCAAGAAAGCTGGAAATTCATAAATTATAAACTATTTTTAAAATCTTACGGAATTCAAAAATAAAAAAATAAAAACACTGTTTTTATTATTATTATATGCGTTATTAAAGCGCCAAAAAAAACTAAATTTTCGTTAAATATTTCGTATTAAAATCCATTATTAATTATTATATCGCAGTAAAAGTAGAAGTTTTTTTTTATATATGATTTAAAGCTAAGTACTCTATAAATCAAATACCTTAGCCTTAATGATAGTCATGTACATTGTACGCGTTGTGAGTAAGCTTTAAAAAAAATGATCGGTTATAAAAAAAAACTAAGACTAATCCACGTATATGTTTAGGATTTTATTTGACGTGACTAATTAAACGATATGTATCTATGAGTACTTGTATTATTATTTAGTTGATCTAATGACTCATGAAAAATAAATATCCAAATTATAATACACATATATTAAACTACAATAAAATATTCGATTTTGTTTTCGAGACGTGTAGGTACCACATACTCAGATCACTGACAACACAATTTTTCATTGAATATGATAATACACCTAATCGAAATTAATCGCCGAGACGACTAGGTGTCCAATTTTTTTTTTCCATTCATAAGTTGAATTCTATTATAATTTTACGCTGTCACTTATTTAAACGATAGGTCTTATACATACTACATAGGGTTTTCAATATAAGATACTCATTATCTCAGAAAGTATTAACTTTTTACGGAATTATTTTTTTTGGAAAATTTAATATAAAATAGTAACTCTAATATGTCTCATTACATAGAGTTCCACTACTATCGCTTTATCCACAAAATAACAAACTTAAAAGTAGAATATCTTGTCGATGGATTGACGGAAATAATTTGAACACCAAAATATATTTAAACTCAAACTTTATCTATTTATGGAATTTTTAATAAATACATTGTCGTTTAAAAATTAAAATATGATAGTGGTTTCATCTCCAAACATAAGAGTGATGAAAAATAATGATAATGCAACATTTTAGAGCTGCTTGTTTCTAAAATTGGTTCAACAAAAAAAATATCCGAAAACAATTAATACTTTTTGAGATCTAATGATGTTATATTGTATGCTGTAGTTTATATACTTTTGGTGTTAGTAACTATCATGGGCTATCGTCATGTGAATATGGTGATAAGAACTATTAAGCTATCGTAATAGCTTATTATTAGCTATTGTTTTAGTTATCGTACTATTTTACTATCGTGACGACACTTTCACAAAAGTTTGTTTCGTAATTAATTTACTATAACGTCTTCAATCATCATGTGGGCCTGTCTCTTGTGATCATTAACTATCGTATACTATCGCTGCACTAACTAACACGGTAGTAATTATATCATTGTGTGAACTAGCCTTACGATCATATTATAATATTATTATTCGTGCCTTGAAATAGTCGCTAATATATTATATTGTCTCGTTTCTTATAAGTACTCGTTATACAGGAATGGTATTTTGTAAAAAAAAAAATAAGTGCTTTTGTATGAGACCGACACCCGATTTTTACGCACAAATAACATGGGAATACGAAGCATTCACCTTTGGGTTTAGTTCTCACTCAATATACTCGTTGCACTTGTACATCATGACTTGAACTTGTTTTCATCAGATACAAGACGTTTCTTTGTGGACATTTTTACTCTTTTAAATTATGTACGTATATAATATAATATATAACGTATTTTTTTTTTGCCAACATAATAATAAAGACATTTGAAAAATTGTTCAAATACCCCGTCTTAACCTGATTTGCAGGCGATTTAAGTAGTCCGGAATTTACTTGTAACTCTCGAAGGATAATTAGCGCAATAAATCTTTCATGTCTTTTGAATAAATTGTAATTCAATGTAGATCAAATTACCGAAAAAAAAAAAAAAAATTGCCAAATATTATTATTAATACATAATATTAATATAATAGTATTATTAATAATTGCCAAAGCACATTTTATTCAAAACAATTGACAATAAAAACAAAATTAAGAAAAAAATAAAAACAATACAATAAACACATATTGAACCAGTTAAATGTACCCGAGCATATTAAACTATAAAATAATAATTTTCCTACGCGAATATATTACACGTATAATATGAATGGAGTTTATAGTGTTTACGTTGTGATTTATTTGAAAATTGTATAAATATTTAGTCTTGATCGGTATTTATTATTTATTTTATACTATGTGTTTATTTTATAGTTAAATCTAATAAATAATTATGCTTAGGTTAAACCAATTATATTTAAAAAAAAAGGCGTATAGGCGTACGTATAACAAGATGATATTTCTAAACTTTTACGTATTTTAAATCGTAGTGTTTATATACCTATTTTTTAATAATTACAATTAATTTATAGTTTTATCAAACAATGGATGAAACTGACATTGAATTTTAAATTTGTGTCATACTGTATAACGTCTAAAAAAAATTACTTTGTTAGCTATATATTTGTATAAGTAATTTATAATATTACAAATTGAAATCAAATACTATACAGTAAGTACTTAGTATTAGTTTTTTATAGGTATATAATCTAATCAACTAATCTAATATCCTTCATATTATAGTGGTTCTGAATGTTCTGATCAGTCTCGTTTTAAACTTGAAAATGTTGTAAAACGTTCGAGTTTTTTAAACATAATATAATATTGACTAGGTAACACATTTTTGTTGTCAAATTTTCCCCCAAAATAGAGATTATTGCATTGTATTGTTTCTTATGTATTTATAAATACTCATATATACACAGAGTGATTTATTAAGCGTGCTCACCTCATTTTTTTTGTTAAATTTTGAATATATTCAAGTTCTAAATAATATGTCGCATGCCATTCTGCCACACAAATGATACTCTACTACTTACTCTCTAACTAAACTTAAAAGTGAAATATCTCATCAACTGATTGATATAGAAATCAAAAATTTTGACACCAACATTTATTTAAAGCAATACTCTGTCTATTTATGAAATTTTCAATACAGGTTTTCGTTTGAAAACCAAAGTTGGTATCATCACATGATACTCCTTAAATGTTGTGAAAAATCGAAATATTCGAAATATATATTATATATATATATAATAAATATGTAGCTTTAACTACACTTAAAAATTCCGAAAATCCAAATATATGCACAAACCGAAAAAATGGGGTGAGCACTCTGTATATTTTTTTTCTTGGTATCAACTTGTACACTTTTAGGGGCTCTCTCTGAATCATATAGCTCACTCTCGGGGATTAGAATTTTTTATATAGGTAGGTTTAAGTAATATAAAGTGTTTGTTGAATTTCAATAAGATCTTCACTAACATTCTTACAGGCCTCCAAATGAAGCTAGGGATGCAATTTTGTAGATATATATGGTGTAAGTATCAAGGATGTATCTCCAGGGTAGTTTCAACTAGCAACCTCTTCCCTCACTATTTTTACGCTTGAATTGGACGTTTTCGCAGGAAATTCGTCATCAAGATTAAGCTCGCCAAAGTAAGTAATAGAATTGAAATTTGTATACATAAATAAAATTGTTGTCAAGGATGTGACTTTAGAAGGTTTTAACTTGCAATCCCAATCCTCATCGTCTATTTACATAAAATAATTCCTTTATATATTTGATAAAATTGTTTTTGTTGGATTACTTATGTACTCAAGTATATATTTATTTTATTTTAAAAAGTTATAAGTTAAATTTTATAATTATTTATAAATCTATGTTTGATGCTATTTTCGTAGTTATTAATTCAGCAGTTTTTATTTCTATGTATTTAATGATAATGAAAATACTCCTACATCTAGTTAATTAAATGTATATCACCTTTTTAATTATAGACTAATGGGTGTCCAATGAATATAAATCATAAATAAATAAACATTTAATTTAATTAGTATATACCTAATATAATAGTATTAACAATATTAACACCGGTGAGCAACTCAGGCAATCATAAATATTTTAGATGAATTAAAAAAAAAAAAAAAAATGAAATATTGTAATGTTAACAAATCGGCTAGGGAAAATTATGTCACTTTAGGTAGTAACTGAGCTCTGTAAAATAAAAAACCAAGAATAAATCTCCCTAATCTCCCCCTAAATACACTATTGTATTATAATTTCGTACGTGTAAAATATTATTCCCATTGCGTTTACGTTGACGTGTCAACGGATATCAATAAGTAATATGAGTACCTACCTATGTCAACGTAAAGATTTAAAGACAAGTCTATAAACTACGTTGATATACGAATAGGTGCATTCCATTATGATTTGTTTAACACGATTTACAATTCTTTTTAAAAATTATGATATGCTTAAAAATTATATTCTCATTGAATACCTGTAATATCAAAAGAAGAATACATAAAAACGATTTCTGATACAACTAGTTCTTGATAAATACGAGTAGCTAGGTACTTAATTTTAGATTTTGAATGAAGCGAGGAATGTATTGCTTTTATAATGATATTTATTTTTTTATTTTTGTGTTTATCTACAAACATTGTTTCTGTGACAACTTTTCTACCAGCAATTTTGCTCCGTTTTTAAATGACAGCACTTTTTCTGAATGTAAATCTGACTGGGGTGGTATTTTAGATTTTCCAGGTTGTTTTCATAATAGATGGGAAAAACTAGGAAAAAACGTAGGAAAAACGAGACAATAGATACAATATTAAACAAATATTATTAGAGAAAATATTTAATGTATATGAAATTATTTTATCATAATATGAAATATATATTGTTGGCATAGCAACACTATTAACCGAACTCCGCTCAAAATCGTTTTTCATTAGCAATGGTTAATCGTTGCATACAGATAAACATTAAATTTCTCCTCTACCTTCCCAACTTCTTACCTACAACAGTGGCCCACACTGCACGTACGAAGTATGTCCATTTTTTTAATATTACTAACAATTTTTTTATTCATTTCGATACTTATTACAGTAGAACCTCGATTAACCGTCAGTCTTGGAACCAGAGCTTTGACGGATAATCGAAAAGACGGTTAAGCGAGCAATAAAAATTTAAACATACATACATACATATTAATAAAGATAGTTGTTGGGCAAACATCGTAAATTGGTGCTATGCTTACTGCATTTTCTCCCCTTCGTACACGATTAATAATATCCAATTTTTGAGATAAATCAAGTACAACACGCTTTCGTTTCTCACTCATTGTTTTTAAACTTAAAATATTTGCACACAAAGAGACTTAAAACGCGAACGGTCAAGCGAACGAACACACGTGCAATATATAACTGACTGACTTTTCAAAAACAAATTTGGACCGCCTAGGGGTTAAACTGTTGAAAATTTCATTTAACATTTCGAAAAATGTTTCAAATAAGGTACTACCAGATTATATTTTGTGTATTTTTAATAAATATAAAAATAAAAATAGTCTTGCTCGTTTTCAACATCACTCGTCGGGGGTAGTCGTTAAGTATTGTTTTAGAAATGTATCATAAAATGCAAAAATATACTACATCGTATTATTAAGTAGTGTTTCTGGATTTTCGGTAAAATTATACCTATATTCTTCCCGTTTAATATTTCCCCAAAATTGTAAATGAACCTAACAATGTAATATGTTGTAAAGGGCGCATAATACATTTGTCCAGTTGCTCGGCTGGCCAGTATGGGCCTATGTGTAACCGCAATATTTACCAAGTCTGTCCAAAAATTACCGTATATATTATGTAAGTTGTTGTACTATTGACTTAGTAGCATTGAAAGGTGATGGTATAAGGTCACCTAGGTATATTTATGTTATATGTAGTTTATAAACGGGCGATGGTTATCTATATGAATTATTAATTAAATTATATTATATTTTCATCTTCAGTTGAATAATTTGTTTTAGCAATGTTTTATATAACAAACCGTTTGGATGAGTTCTATTGGCGATATGATGATAATTTCCAATCATTAAGGTCCAAGGATGCCATTAATAACTGAGTGTTTATTATAAAGCGTCAATTAGTGTGTCTTACGAAATTTGACGATGTTTAATCAAAATGATAATATATATTCCAAAATTCAACAGTTTCAAAATATTCTATTGTCAAATCTTGCATCAAAATTCTACGTTATCAATTGCATTTCCATCGGATCCAACGTTTATTTTACCGAATCGTCTGATCAATATTTTTATCAGTTTTTATTTGATGTAATAAATTATATTCACTATCATAGGGAAAATTTTGCAATTATATCATTATTATTTGTTCTGTTATCCAACGAAATTTAAATATTTCGGTTTATAATACCAACAACATTCCAATAGACTATTTAATTAAATTTCTGAAGGCAAAGTTAGTGTGTTTGATAACTTCCAATAATTATGAAACATAATTATCAAAAATCTATAATATTATTAAAAATAAATAACAACACAACTATATTTCTAATGACCCTTCTCACTCCAGCGTCCCGCAGTAATCTCATTCCGCACACCTTATTAACATATCTTGATAACCCTCTTGATAAAACCGTGTAAAAAATTAAAATCATATCGTGCTTCCTTCCACTCTTCTCCATAAAACTGTTTGTGATTTTTTTTTTTATAGCTTCTACGGGACATGTAAGTTTTTTGTTCCTTTTTATCCATTTACTTCCATTTATATTTTCCCGGTTATCCGCTTTTTCCAAACTAGTTGCTTCATTAACTTCCCTGATATTTTTTCTAATTCTATCTAGCCAACATTTACACGGCCATCCTCGACATAGTGCCCAGGATCTACTATCAACTTTTAACAATACGAACACTGGGTACCCAAATTCAATATTTCAAATCCATCATGGGTTGCTTTGTAATAATATAATATTGTATATACGAATTAATAGTAATGATGCGTTTAGTGCCACTGCAACAAACTATTATTCAACACCCCCCATCGACCGTATCAAAATACATTTTATCATAGTCAAAGGAAATTAAATATATGTCGTTAACTCTGGAAATATATCAATAATCGCTAATATGTATTTATTACTTTTTTTTTCGACGATTACACTATGATCATTTTTCAAATATCATCATAATCAACCATATCAGTTTATTTATTTTCCTTTTTTTATTAATATAAAATATTAGATAAAATGTGCACACGTACCTACAAGATTGCCATCTTAAAAAAAATTGCTTCGGTAAGACGTAAAAAAAAACAATAATAATAACAATATACAAATTTAATTTAATTAAATATTTTACACTAACGCGACGTTTGAATTGCCTCGCCTACTAGATTATATTTTAAACGTAAAATAAATCCTCAATGACATCTCAAACAGCGGTATTTTTTCGTTATTTTTAGCATATATTGCCGAGGCGAATTTTTGTGTACCGCTGTACAAATAAATTGATGCATAATAAGAGTCGATAAAGATTATTTCCATAGTTTTTTGTAGTACTTATCTACGTCTATTGTTCGATTTATAAGTTAATTTGTTTGTATCATTCACATTTCAAATTAATATTATCTTATCTGCTAGTCGAATAATTTCAGTATTTATTCATTCGTATACGACCTATATAATTATATTACATTTTAATTTATTATCACAGTTATTGTTATATAGTCCGATAACTCTATAAATAAATATTTTAATTTTGATCGTAGCCAGGAATTTATTGGTTTTACTGTGACATAAGCTTTTACCCCTATTTTTTGTATACGTCTGTAAACAACTTTTCTACCTGAAATCACGCTCTAATCGAAAAACAACAAGAGAGATGTATGTAGTATTTTGGATATAATCGGTAAAATGAAGACATTGATTATTGATTTTTCTTGTATTTGTTTTAATAATCAGGGAAAAACAGGAAACTGTACGGCAATAACGGTTTCTTTATTTTGTATTTTGTTTTATTGTAATTTGGTTAAAAATAATCGTAGAAACCTGCAATTTTCACAGAATACTTATATTGGACATTTCTAAAGGAAGGTAATACATTTTGAAATTATTCTATCCATTTTTTAGTATGTATAGTGTATACACTACACTATATAATCATAAGAAATTTTCGAGTTATTTTAATTATTATTTAGTTTTATGTGAATACAATTTATTTAGCTTCTCAAAAATGCTCGAATATAAATTGTACTATTGAGTACTCTCGAAACTCTATACAAATATCAAAAATCGGTTGACACGATTTTTTTTTTATACAAGCGTTTAAATTTCAAATTTTTATGAAAATCGTACAATTTCAAAACATTAAACATATCTTACAACCGAACTTTGCTCGATTATTATTAATCGAGAATACTTTTTCGTTTTTAAGATTAAATTGCTCTACGTAACATTCTGAAACCACCTCAACAGTGCTGCCCATCGGTAGTATCAGTATCGGCTCTTTTTTTTAATGTTTGTTTTAAAGGTGTGGGTTTCTAAAAACTCAACTCCCCCCTCCACCCGAAAAAAATAAATAAAACCTGCGTAAAACGTATTTTCCGCTCGTCGCCTACCTGTGAAATTTCGACGGATTTTCTCCGGTCCGCTACAATCGGGGTACCAAAAATAAGAGGACGCCGCGCGTCGGCCGGCACGTGGAGAGTAATAAATCATCCGACTGACGATGACCGACCGAGTGCCGCGTTCGCGTATAACCGGCGAAAGATGCAATCGATTCGGACAACGAGTTTCGGCCCTCCCGACCCTCCCCCCTCTCTTCCCTCTAAACCGCTCACTAATGATAATAATTATTATTAGAAAACTCGAATAGCGCGAACCGCGCATAGTTTTGATAAATAAAAAAATTTAATAGAAAAAAAAAATGTATACATGCATATGTATCGTGTATGATTTGTATACGTCTGGAAGCGCGTGCGTGGGAACTCGCGACAAAAACGGATACAAATAGATCAAAAATAAAAAAAAATACTTCAGACGTACGCGCGTAAACGAGCTGGCGAAATATTAATTATCGCATAATATTACATACGGAGTGAATGGACATAAATATTAATATACTTTTCTGCGGGGTAGGCGATGTGGACAGCGTCTCAATCGTCGGGTCAATGACGGACAAACGTATATAATATACAGGGTGTTTTAATCGTTCGTTAAATTTTCAACGCCTGTCGTTTGAAAACGAACAGTCAACGGACTTTTCGTATTAGTTATATTACACGTTCTATTTTCTGAAATTTTTGATAATCACTCGAACAAAACCCCGACATATTTTATGTGACAACTTTTTAATAATAAATATCGTTTTATTATCATCGCCTTATTCATACAGGTTTTCTATTTTTTTTTTTATTATTATTATTTAAAACGATTTAAACTCGTAGCTGTAACTATCTAATTATAATAACATTGTCCCTGCCATAACTACAGATTTATTTTATTATACATGAATCGCTAAATCCAAAAAAGATATATGTTCAAATTTTAAAATTATTCAATATTAGGGAGAAAAAAATTCTTAAGCACCTAGAATTTAATAACATTTCATAAAATGACTGTGGCAACTTATTGGTGATATCTAACCCTATATTGTATCCTTATACAATATTAGTTATAAACATGAAGTTTATATTTTCCATTTTTTTCAGCCATATTAAGTATTTTTATCGTTATCGAAATATGTTAAATTTGGAACATGTGCCCTTTCTGCATTTAGCGATTCGTGTGTAATGGAATAAACACAAACAAACATTTTAACATCGAAACACCACACTTGTTTATATAAAACAAACTCGTATTTATTCGCATTATATTATGATTTATCTATACTTTGATGTCCGATAATGACTATAGTGAGATACATAGTTAGTTTATAGACGTTATACGATTATATTATAATTTATAACAAAGAGAGCATTGCTATATATTTTAATAGTAAAGTTTATTTTTTATTTTTTGTTGTTTGTATTACCTACTTTTTACGTTATAAATAAAATAGGTTTACCCGATTATTACCAAAATAAAAACTTGAAATTAAAAATTAAATAGAAAATCGTGCAGTTACATTCGTGAACTTCAACCTAAGTTATTTCCAAATAAAAATTAACGGGTAGGTAATTTCTTAATGACAAATAGCATGCAATTTAAATAACCATTGCGTTCACGAAAGCCTACAGCGGCTATAACCAGTTTTACTATATATCAGTCAAATGGTCGGTGAGTACTTTATTCAAAACGATACATTTTAGGTCTCGTGACCGCGATCGTGTTTGATTTCAAATAAAAAAAATAGATCGTATTATACTATGATTATTATATGGGTATTTGTATTAATTAAAATTGTTATCAAGCGATAATTAACGCCAGTAAAAATAAACGTTAAAATCACGTATAGGTAATAATAATACACCTAATACTTAAATTCAAATAAAAATTACGAGCGAAATATCATAATAATATTTGAATAGAAAAAGCATAAGTTGGCAAAAAATGTATTTCATCAAAATATCCCTCGAGAAATTTCTCGGCTAATTAAAAAAATAAAAATCACCAAATAAACTAAAATTCTAAGTACAGTAAAGTTCCTATCGGGGGCGTATTTAAGGAGTTCGATATAGCGATTGCCCCTCCCCTGGATTTGTATTTATGTAACTATAATTATGGTACTAAATATAATTAGTATTTTAGTATATAGATTTTATGTAGGTATGATATGATGAAAAAAAGAAGTTTACAATTTTATCTTCATGATTTTCAATGCAGAAATCAAAAGTACATTTTTTACCATTTTTCTGATTCCAAGACATTACCGAAAATTATTAAAACATTTAAGGTAAACCTTACACTGTTTACATTAATTGAAATTTAAATCCAGATAAGGAAGGGATGATAATTAATTATTATTATAGAGTGTCAAGCAGAGTTACAGGCATGGGTCTAGGCCAAAATAGAGAAACAAGTAACTGCGAATGTAAAAATCGCAAATTAATAATAACGAAAATAAAAATTCAAAATTATTTTAATTTTAATTTTAAAATAATCAATAATGCGTAATATCGAAACGTATATATAAATTTCAAACTATTATACTAATGATAATAAGAACCTTGTAAAAGGTGTAGCGTATAATTTGTCCTAAATACCTAATTGTTTTTTTTAAGCTTATTATTATCACTAAATATCCAAATTATTAATACTTAAATGAACTTAACGACACGCGATTAAAATGAACGTATATTCAAAACATATACTATATTTTATCCATTGTATTATATTTTAGCTCTTTTTTAAAATTCAATATTATTCGCGGTTCTTACATTCGAGATTAATTTTTCGCTATTTTGGTCGGATACCGTCGAGCACATATCTCGCCTTCATATTAGATACATTATAATTATGAAGTTTAAATAATAAAACCATTAATGCTGCTAACCATCCCATTTTTCTCGATTTTTCCCAATTATTAAGAAAACTACATAAAAAAAGCAAATGAAAAATTATATCCTTAACACACACACACACACTAAGTAGATACGAAATTTTACAAAAAAGCTTTCTTGTCACATTTTAATTGGTGAAAAAGTCTTGGCAAAAAAGTTATTTACAGACACTGAAAATACAAAAATAAAACTTCACACACATCATAGGGACACCAAACAATTCTTCGCTAGGTACGATCAGAATCTAAACAAATAAAACACAATTTTAAAAGACACTCTCTACAAAATATTTCTCCAAGATCCTTCTCCTAGTCCGGGCATCGGTTTTTAGATATGTGTGCGATGCACAATATTTTATTGTATTATTCATAAGTTTTACCTGAGCTCTGCCCAGTGCATAAATTACCATTGCAGACGACTATAATAATATATTATAATAATGGAACTTTTTACCCTGCAATTACTATTGTTTATAAAAGCGCATGATAACTCGGGAACATTTAAATTGTCGACACTTAAATTCGTAGTGTACTGTAACACCTATATCGTACTCACATACCGGCACGGTTATTGACCAAATCAGCGGCGTATTTAGTATTTCGTGTCGAGGAAAGAAAGAAAGATATTGAATATTTGAAAACCGTGTACCTTGTATTGTATAAAAACAAATTAATTTTAAATTTACCCGTGTAATTATTTGTCTAAGCGATACTAATGTATCTTTATACTCACCTAATTCAACTGCCCTAAAAGAAAAACTGAAATCGAATAACTATATAATATCAATAGCTAAAATAATAATATATGAATAGTATATATAATTAACTTAGGTAACCCTAGAAAGTGAAGTTGAGTTCAACAAAACAGAGCAGTATAAATAATAAATATAAAACAAAAATCCAAGGGATGAGATAATATCTTACTAATATCTCCTCTAAACACGTCACTAGACGAAATTACAATTTCACCTATATATTATGTGAGGGTATATTAAGGAAATAATTACTCTATCGTTGACTGTGTTCTCCTCTTCCCATCGGTTCCAGTGCCTGAGTTTTACTGGTTTGCGCGGTTCCTCTTCCTCCTCGTCGTCGTTTTCGTCGTCATCTTCGGCGCCATCGTCCTCGTCCTGGGGCACGGCCACGCTGGCCGCGATCGCAGTCCGGGACCACAGGCCGTGGTCCACCGCGGTCTGCGAAGCCGCCGGCTCGGATTTGCTGCCACCCACGCCCATCCTGTCCTGCAGAAATCTGTCCAGCTTCGTGAACCGTTCGCCGCCGGTCCACCCGTAATAGCCGCCCGTGCCGTTGGACAGCGTCCGCGCCCGGACGGCCAGCAGCATGGCGAGCGCCAACACTCGCAGAACCGTGGTCATAATATTATGCGGTATTATTAGGTATATGATAATTATGTGATTAGGTACATACGTTTCCCGCGCACGACCGTTACCGGCCCGGTGGTTAGAACACAATAAAACGATATTACGTGTTCGGTTAAAAAGCGCCTAAAAGCGCGTTCGAGTTAAAAATAAAAACAAACAAACGCGAGTGTAAACAAAACGAGAAAAGAAAATTGCCGGTAAAAAAAAAAAAATACGTAACGAGCACGTGTGAAGTACGACGACGCTCGGTAACAATAATGATATAATAATGGTCGAGCGCGCACAACGGTCTCGGACGCTCCGTTTGACGGGACTGCGGCAGCCCGCGACGCCGTCGCGTTATATTTCCCAAGTTGCACCGGCCGACGTTCCCCGACACGTCGCGCGCGGCAGCTGCTCGGCCGGCCCCGCCGCCGACGTACTCATCCTTCGCGCGCGCCTTTGATCCTCGCCGGGTACGCGAGTCAACCGGTAGGTATGGTAGGTATATAGCAAGGTATTGGTTAGGTACACGCCCGGACTGCGTTACGGCGCTTACTTGTTTTAATTATTCACCCGGAGGCATTTAATGTTTTTTTTTTTTTTTTCAAATAATAAAATCTCTCCGGAACACAATAGGACCCCGTAATAAAATATAAAAATATTGTTCTTCTCCCCGGATCATTTCGCCTAGTCGCATTAAATCATTATACGAATACGATAATATGCAGACGATGAATATCAGGTGGCATGTTTACGGGTGATACGATGGGGATCAATCCGCATCATTCCATGGACCGTTGTTAAGCAAATAAATATATATAATTATCCTTATCGCGATTCGAGATACATGTAATATTGTTCTACGGGCTATAGGCATACTCGACAGCACAATTATTATAAATTGTATATTATCACAATATGATGGGTGATAGTGTTCAGTCACAATATATTTGGTGACTAATATATGTAGTTTTTTTTTACTATTTTCCTCTATTGTCGTGTCATCAAACATCGTTCGGATTTCATCGGATGAGGTCATCATCGATGAACTATAATATTATAATATTTCCTGATGTCGATGGATGGCGTACCATCCTTATTGTAATATATTTTGTTCGTAGGCTCTTATAAAATCATTACTTATAAAATATTATGATGCACCTACTTATAGGTATCAGATACTTGTGAAGAAAAAAAAAAATGAATTTTGCGTCTCGTATAGACCACGAGAAATTTCAAAAGCCGCAAAAAGTAATTTAAACCAGTTCGTCTGTCTTATATTATGGTGTAACACAATACACATTACCACATTCTATAATTCTAAGATAAATAATATTATGGTAGCTGAATAATTTCTTTTTATTGTTTTCAATCTTTCAAATGGTTGGTCGTAGTTTTCCGAGCTTACTCTGTCAAAACTGAAATCCTTCAATTCTCATAAAAGTGTTCATTCCTACGAGTATGTTCGAATTATCGGTATATAATATGATGTCTATGATAACTATTCTTTCAACTATCCTCAGTTATCTTACTAAGATAGCGATAGGTTTTTAATTGTTCAATATATTTTATAAAAATATTGATGTTTTGTTTTTATTTTGCTTGCGAGTGTTCAATATTTTTATGATTTTAGCAAAGATAGTTTTGCCATCTCTTAGGCATAATTAAGAAAACTTGCGTTACCGGGTATATATTTTGGTGTTGAATAAAAAATAATTCATTACCTATTTGTGTAGGCACCCGAAAAAAATGTTAACCGCCTCGGGACGATGGTGCCCCATCGCCTCCCCCCCTCTAAATACAAAAAGAAAGTCAATAAATGATTAATGTTTTGTTGAATTTTTTTTTTATTTCGATTACTGCAATTTAAATATTAAATATTTTAAATTTTTGGATTTTGTGCACCCTATAAAAATTGGAAAACCCGAGGCCATGCCACTATATTCCAATTCCTACTTGTACTTCATCTTTTACTTCTTTCACAGCTTCGTTTCAATATACGTATTATTAAACAGTAGTTGATGAGCGATGAAGTAATAATATAATATAATTTGACCGTGGTTATTTGTCCGTACTTAGACAATTAATACACGATATTCGCGTATTATCTATTTTTAGATTTTGAGCGAAGTGGAGGAAATTTTTGTGGGGCGGTACTTTAGGGAGGTCATTTTTGATTTTCTTAGAGGTTTTCATAATAAATAGGGAAAACGGGGAAAAAAATTTAGGAAAACTGAGAAAATGTACGAAATATATTATTTTCAAACTGTAAATATTATGGCCTTTCAAAACACGTGTAACCAAACACCACTGAGAATAGCTTTTCGCTAGCAATGATTAAGCGTTGCGTAAAGATATAAATTAAGTTTACCCTCTATAGACTATATCCTACCTTCCCAACTTCTCACCTACAACAATGGACCATACATCGTGCGAAGTATGTCCATTTATTTTTTTAAGGTGTTAATATAATGTGCACGATTTAACGTGTCATGGTAAGATTAAATCATTTTATAAATTTTCTACCCGAGTTCAATTATAATATAGTTTATTGAGTAATTTCTATTATTGAAAATAATAGTTAGAAAGGAACGTGACTGTCGACTAACGATTTAAACATTTTAACAATTGTTTTTCAATAGATGTAATTGAAATTTGATATACAGCAGGCAAATAAATAAAATTCTTGGCGTTATATTGATTAATTATAAATTTCGTTAATGAAAAATATTCTATCAGAAATCAATGATAAGTAATACCAAAAAGTGAATAACCAAAACATGTTATATTATATTTATCAAGAGACAGTAGATACCTACTCATTTTTTTTTTGTCGTAGGTACTACGTATCTACGTCATTATTATTATTAATTCGATTTGCAGACTATTGTTTGTACGAAAAATAATGATTTTCATGTTTAAACTTGGCAGGTGACTATTGCAGTCATGGATGTAATTGATATTATATTAGAATATTATTAAAAATATCCACACACCAAAACATCACGTAAAATATTTGTCCGGCGAAATATTTGCTTGTTCCAAAAACAATCGATAAACTCATAGAATATAATATTGTTTTTATCAAATTCGTAATGAACTTAATTTAAATTGTTTTTATTTTTTGATACGTGAAAATACATTGAATTTTAAACGGAAAAAACAATACAGAGGTTTATCAATGATATTATCTATGATTCGTTATGTAATATTATTAATCAAAATAATCTTAATTCATTTAGTTATTCAGAGGGGTGCATTCTAAAAATGCATAAAAGATAATTTGTAAAATGAAAACATTTGTGATATGTTAAATTAAATTATAATATTGTTATACAAATGTAATTAAGTACATACTAATTATATAGATTTAATGATATAATAATTTTAGTAATTTTTAATAATATACATAATATGTATTAATAAAACGAACTCTAATAGGTGTCCGCTATTCGTAATTTTATCGAGTTCGTTATCGTTATTACATTATTACGAGAGTGTATACTATGCGAATGCGTTTTGAACCAACATTTTGTCACTATTTTTAAATTAAGATTAAAATAGCGGATATTTTCCCAATGAATAGTAGTAAAAATGTCCCCACTTGTTTCAGCTTTTTTAATTTCTAATGTAAATATAATGGGTACTTTTTATAAACGTTAATAATAATTTTTGAAATTTATTTAATGACTTATTCTACTTTACGTTATAAAGTAATTATTAAAAATTAAAAAAAAAATTAAAAATTACATTCAAGTGCATAAAATGGTTTTACCTACATCTATAATTTAAAAGTTTAAAAAATGTATACAATTCGGTTATAATGGTTCGAAGGAAACATACCGATGCATTTTTTTTATGGCTTCCGCGACTGGATTAAGTTTCCGCATTGGAGAATTTCCAAAATATATTATTTAATTTTCTCTGATGATGGTTTACGGTATTAAATATTAACTGAATTCTGAAAGTCAGATGCACTGATTTTCGAAGAGGATATTAAAATATGCGGTCAATATTATGTGCGTGTAATATTTGTATATAGCCGTTTCGATGGTTCACGGTATACATCTGTTTCATTTAAAACGAAATTTTAATATCGTATTGAAGTAGGTATTGAACGCTATACTGCTTTTTCATAAACAATATTATGATCAACCAAAAATAATAATACGCCACAAGTCTAAATTGTTGCAATACCACTTTTGAATGTGTGAAAATATTTATTGAATTAATTTTATTAATAACAATTGACTTCATATTATTTAAGTGTGACATAGATGTGGGCTTAATGATGTTAATATTTTATATTTCGATAATTACGCATGGGTACTTTTTTTCATTAAAGCAATTACAATTTCGGAGTACGTTTAAGTTTAAAATACAGTACGTTAAAATCTAATCGAAAACTCCATCATCATACAAGCTGCAATAATGGCAGAACCGAAGGTCCTCCAAAACGCTTAGTCTGCAGAACCAGACAATGCACTCGCTCTCCGTATAGGAGTCACCACTGATAGTCAGCAGGACTTTGTCATACACTTACAGACTTCCTATATATACTCCAAGAAACGGGGACAATACACGAATCTCGTAAAAGAACGCTTTTATAGTCCCTCCTCTCCTCGAAATGCAGTACACAAATTAGAATAAACCATATCTGACGTCTTGGTTCAGATTTTAATGCCGTTTTATATGAAAGTACCAGCATGTTTTAATTTATTATTATAATTTCTTTTTTCTACTCGTCCGTCTTAAATGTATTGATTTCCCATCATAAGCCGTTTAACGATTTTGTAACAATATTATTATGCGTGTCAGTATGCCACTCGGCAAATTACCCAGAATAGGTCAACGTTTATGACGTAAATATATTATAAATGTCAATATGGCCCTAACACATTTTAAAGGTTAACAAAACTTTATTCATATCGATCCGTATATCCATCGGCCTGAGTTTAAGTGAATATCATATTATCATGTCCATTTTTTTTTCGATTGTCCGCTAAGAAAGTAATGTTTTGGAAACATTTTATATTTTAACGGCCATGATAATAATAATAAAATATGTCCGTATTTGTACATTTTCGGCTGTTCTTATAGCATTTATAGGTGCCTACTACCTATTATACACATCACATCTGCATTATACGTATACTGCATACCCGTATAATCGCGAGTGTGTTTCGTAACATTATTATTATAATTTTTTTTTTTTTTTTTTTCAAACAGGCCTATAATAATAGTATATATATATTATTATATTACTTAATACGTATATATATGCATATTATAAAGATTCCGAATACGAATGGGATATAAAAA